ACCCTAACCCTAACCCTAACCCTAACCCTAACCCTAACCCTAACCCTAACCTAACCCTAACCCTAACCCTAACCCTAACCTAACCCTAACCCTGACCCTAACCCTGACCCTAACTGGTCAATTAAAAATAATGATCAAATCGATTAAATTAATCAAATTAACCAAAACAAGATTTTGAACTAGAAATAATTGAATATTATAGATCAAATAAAATAAATTTATTACAATATCAAAATAAATAAACAAAAAATTCAAGTTATAATCAATTCAGGAATTACAAGGAATTATATTATATCAGGAATTATGAAGTATTTGAAAATACAATTCTAAACGAAACAAACCTTATATTAATTATAATTAATTGATAAATAACTAATAGAATTGAATGATAAAATTTTGTAAAAGATTTATTTAATATAAATAAGTATAATCCAATATAAAAAGATTATCTAATTCGATATTGTTTTATTAAGGAATCAACAAATCATTTTGAAAATACTATAATTAAAAATATATAATCTCAGAATCGATTGAGTTATTGAAATTATAAACTTCCTAAACAAAAACAATTATTATAATATATTAAAGTTTATAAAATTGAATATATATAATAAAGAATTAAAAACAAATAATACTATCGATATAAAATATTCAGTTCAAAATCCTTTATTAATAATAAAGAATAAACAAAAAGAATTACTTAATATCATTTTTATATAAAAACAAAAAGGAATACTAATATTAATACAATATCAAAAATACAAAAAGTTATTCAAAAAAAGAAAAAACTATAAAGTTTTACTAAAATACAAATTATAAAATCATAAAATAATATTCAAAAAAGACAAAACATTTTTATTCAAATCAATCTATCAAATATCAGAATTAAAACTAAAAACATTTAGAAAATACATCAATAATATACTAAAAAAAGATTGGATCAAAAAATCAACTTTACAAACAATTAGTTTTATATTATATATATTTAAAAAAGATAATATTAAAAGATTATATATAGATTATTGCAAACTTAATAATATAATAATCAAGAATCGATATCTATTTCTATTAATTATAAAACTAAGAAATCAATTAGAAAAAACAAGGATTTTCTTCAAATTTGATTTAAGAAATAGATTTCATTTAATTAAAATAAAGAAAGATAAAGAATAAAAAACAATATTCAGAATTCGATATAGATTATATAAATATCAGATTATACTATTCAGATTAATTAATATGCTAATAATATATATATAATTAATCAATAATATATTAAAAGAATATCTGGATATCTATTATTTGAATAATATCTTTATATTCTTTGAAATAAAGGAATAATATATATTAGATATATATAAGATATTAAAACATTTAAAAAAAATAGATTTTCAATATAAATCTAACAAATACAAATTCTATATCACAAAAACAGAATTCCTAGATTATATAATCTTTTCAAAAAAGTTCAAGATAAACCCTAATAAACTAAAAACAATTCAAAATTGAGAATCATTGAATAATATAAAGAAAATATAATCTTTTTTAAGATTCATCAATTTCTATCAACGATTTATCAAAAACTATTCTAAGATAATTATCTCAATATCAAAAATTATTAAAAAGAATCAAAAAGAGTTCTAATAAACTTTGTAAATACAAAAAGTATTCGAGAACTTTAAAGAAATCTTTATCAAAGAATTCGTTCTTTTTTTAATCTTTGATTTAGAATTATCAATAATTATAGAAATAGATATTTCAGATTATATAATAGGAATTGTATTAAATCAATTCGGTTCAAATAAGAAATAATAATCAATTGTTTATTATTTATAAAAGTTATCATTAATCGAATTAAATTATAAGATATATAATAAAAAACTATTAATAATAATAAATATATTTAAAGAATAAAAAGTATATTTGAAAAAATCAAAATATATAATATAGATATATATAAATTATAAAAATTTAGTTTACTTTATTATAATAAAGGAATTAAATCGATAACAAATTAAATAATTGAAGATCTTAATAATTTATAATTTCAGAATTTTATATATCAAAAAAAACAAAAATATTAAAACAGATATTCTTAACCAAAAACCAAAGTATTTATAAAACAAAACTTACAAAATATATACAATATTAAAATAAAAAAATAATATACTAATATACAACAAATTATAATTGATTATTATTTCCAAATTATTGAATAATATAATTAAACTACAATTATTATCTTATTACAAAAATAATATTATTATATAATGAATCTTAAAAGAATTAAAACTAGGATTTATAATCAAGAAAGAAATAATCTACTTTTATAATAAGATTTATATCTTTATTAAAATAACAAAAGATTTTATCAAAAAATAATATGAATTATTAGTATACAAATATCAAAGAATAATTAAAATATTTGTAAGATTATAATAGAAAGTATATTTCTCAAAAATAAGAATAATAATTGAAAGAATAATTAGAAAATATAATATTTATATACAAAATAAAACTATTAGATATATTTTATATAATTAATTCAAAACTTTTAATCTATTTTCGGAATTATAGAAATCTATTATATAAGATTTTGTAGTTAAATTATCTTTTTTTAAAGAATTAGTTACAAAAAAAAATATAATATTATTTTAATAATAATAAATAGATTAATTAAATATGTTTATATAATATTATTCTATAAAATATAATCTGTTAATAATTTGATATATATATTTCTAAAGAATATAATCAGTGTATATAATATATCAAAAAAAATAATTTCGGATCGAGACAAATTATTTACTTTGAAATTTTGGATTATATTAATGATATTATTAGATATAAAAAAGAAACTATCGATAACTTTTTATTTATAAATAAATAAATAAATAAAACAGTTAAATTAAATAATTAAGATTTATTTATAATTTTAAAAACAATAGTATATTATAATATATTATATAATCTAATATTTATATTTAAAAAGAGAAATAAAATTTATTTTTTTCAAAAAAATATATAAACAAAACAATTTAATGATAAACTAGATTACAAAAAATTAAGATTATTCAAAATCGATAAGATAATTAGATTAATCAATTATAGATTAAAATTATTATATATTATAAATATCCATTTAATATTCTATATATCCTTATTCGAATTAATATTATTAGAAATATTCAATATATCTATAACAGAAATCGAATTAATCAATTCAAATATTATATATAATATCGAAATAATACTAGATTATAAATATATCAAAAACAAAATTAAATATTTGATTAAATAATTGGATTTTCTATATTCGAAGAATACTTAAGAATTAAAAAAAAACCTTAATTGTTTTAGAAAACTGAAAGTATTTTATTAGTGATATCTAAAGTTATCCAAATCGGATTATTAGAATCTAAAGAATCGAAAAAAGAAGAATCGGGAAAAAGTATTATAAAAAAATCGTTTTTAGGATTAAGAATAATAAATAATGAAATGCTTTTTTTTTTTTAATAATTTCTTTCTTTAAATCTTTCTTTTTTTCGAATTTTTTCAATTTATTTATTATTTTCAGATTTCGATGAATTATTTCATTATTATAAATTTGAAGAAATTTGTATTGTTTATATAATTATATTAAACAAGAAATAATAATTATAATCAAATTAATCATTTTCTTTTTCTTTTTGTTTCAATATTTCTATTCTTGAATTAGATTATATATATCTATAATAAAAGAATTTATAAAATTATATTTAATCTTTCAATATATATATTTATTATATCGAAAAGAATTCTTTTTCGAAATAATATAAATACAAGAATTATTTTCGTAATAGATATATGAAGATATAATATCTTTTTAAAATTCGATTAATTTTATAAATTTAATTCGTTTTTTATATTTCTTTGATTATATAAATAATATAATAAAAGAAAAGAAAATCTATTTTACAAAAATTTATAAAATCAATAAATAAGGTTATTATAAAAGTTTAAAATAAATACTAAACTAGAAAGAGGATAATATTATAGAATAATAATCAATCTATTTATATGAATTTAAATCTTATCAAAAAGTGAAGCAATTTATATACAAATTTGTATAATAAACGTTTTATATAATCTTTTTATCTTTAATAAACTCGAATATATAATCTAATTATAATTATATAATAAATTATAGGATTTAAAAGATCTAAAGAATCGTATCCTAGATCTATTAGATCTTTATAATCCAATCGATACAAAGGTCTATATAATTAGGAAAGGATTCCTTTTATAAAACTTTGTATTCAAAATCAATTATTTAATATACTCTACTATTAATTACGAATTGCAATTATTGATATTACTTTAAAGCTTCTACTTGACATCTAGTTATAAACCCTTCGAGGATCCAGGCCACTTCCACGTGATCTAGATCGCATCCCTCGTAACATCGTTATTACTTTAACCTCTATTTGCTATCTAGTTATAAACCACTTTAAAGATCCAGACCACTTCTATATGATCTAGATCGCAACCCTTGTAACACTTAAAAGCGAGCATGACAAAAATTATATAATAAAAAGATTAAACAAGTTTAAATGATTATTGATTGAATTATTGATTATATTTAATGAGTGTATTATATACAAGATATTTTTCCATATATTAAATCAAAAAACGCTAATAGAAAAACATAGAAAGGAATGTGGTATGAAGTAGTAAATCCAAAACATGTCTATCTCCATTCATTAAACCAAAGCACTAGATCTTCTATCATTTAGAAAGTGTAAACTGGTTGAGGACCAATGTCTCCAAAGTTACCGGAACCAGCTGGGCTTGAAGGGGTAACTGGGTTTTCATTGACGTATGCGATACCGAAATAAGCGTTGGTCTTTGACTGGTAGTTGGTGACAGTCATGACAGCGAATGCATTGTTGGCACCAAATTGATCAGAGTATCCCCAAGAGATGGTATTGGCAGATCCAGTAGTACATGGGATTCCATACCATGACTCGGTAGCAGCATCCTTTCCTGGCATACGAATAACAGTACATCTCTCGTCGGCGCGTCCATCATTTGTCGAAATGACAAAGTTATAGTCACATCCGGATCCATCTTCAGAGCAGTATCTGGTCAATTGCTTAACAGTCCACTGAAGACCTGCAACGACTGAGGACTGATTTGCGCCAGCTTGGGGAACCTCAGTGGCGACGGCAAGTGGGGCAGAGGCTGTGGTAGCAGTGCTGAAATAGGAACTTGGGCAAGATCCAGGGTGGGCTGGGTTACATCCACCTGGGATACCGGAGATGCTAGTTGGTGCTGCAGTAGAAGTAGTAACGGGGCTGCTTGAACATGCGGTTGGTGTGACTAGAGACCCGCCATTATCGAAAGGAGAATATCCAAGACATGAAGCGTAATTGGAAGCGCAATAGGATTGATTTGCGTCTGGAGCATTGCGACAGCTATTATATGATGCATTGCATTGAGATACACAGGCGTCAGCTGTAGTAGTTGGTACTGCGGCGGAAGTAGTAACGGTGCTGCTTGAACATGCAGTTGGAGTGACGAAGGATCCACTATTATTGAAAGGAGAATATCCGAGGCATGAAGCGTAATTGGAAGCGCAATAGGATTGATTTGCATCTGGCGCAGTGCGACAGCTATTATATGATGCATTGCATTGAGATACACACGCATCAGCTGTAGTAGTTGGCGCAGCAGTGGTGGTGGATGTTACTGGGCTGGAGCAGGCAGTTGGAGTAACAAGGGATCCATTGCTATCATATGGAGAATATCCAAGGCATGATGCGAAAGAGGAAGCACAACTAGATCGATTCGCATCTGGAGCACTGCGACATGTGTTGTAGGCACTGTAGCATGCATCTGAGCATGAATCTCTAGCTACCAAAGAAGCTGGTGCAGCGAATGCTCCAGAAGCAAAGAGAGCGAACGCTATATCTTGGAAATGCATTCTGAAGAGAAAAGATCTGTTTGTTGTTGATTGGTATAGCGTTGGGGACAGAGGGTGTGAAGTAATGATGGCGTTGAAATGAGGAAGTTTGTTGTTTGAGTTAGGAAATAAGAGCTGAGCTTCAGGTCTTATATATTCGAAATTCTTCTTGGCTTTCTACATGCCCATAAAATCCCCTGCGTCATCTTCCATACATGTTCTTTACTATGGGGTTACCCACAAAATCTCGTACCGATTGAATGGTTCCAAAATTTTACTTGTATTGGTTTAGCTAACACAGTCTTTTGATGTTAGACTCGGTTAGAGTTCAACGTGGCCGACAAACACCTTTCCAGATGAAGTTATCCAGTTTTTCTAGGTTCGGCGGAGGAAAATCCACCATGTTTGCTGGTCTCGAAATCAGAAGGTGTTCACCAAGAAAAAGCATCACCAGATATCGTGATAGTGGAGAAAGGTACACAGCGTACAAAATCATGCTTCCAAAAAGTCTTGGATTGCAACCTTACGAGTAAGTTTAGCAAAAAACAAGTTGTGGGGTTCGTATTTGCGTAAAGAATCATGAAGAAACTCTTTGATATCTCGTATCGGCACAACTGAATGAAGCTAAAGGATAGGAGCTCCGAATATCGAAAGTTTCGTTCCATTGCTAAATAACCTTGATATCCTATGTCTGAGAGGAGTTAATGAAGATCGTCGCCAATGATATTTGAAAATTTAACATTTGAATTTCATACAATTCCCGCCATCTATCCGATTATTCTGCGGATCTGTCAATCAGCACAGAAATTGAAACTTAAAATTTTGTACCGAGTACACTAAATTCTTGGCAGGAGCCAAGAATTAGGACTGGTGGACCTAGTGTGGAAGTTTAATAGGAGGCGCAGTAGCCACAACGATCAATGAGGGTGTGTACAGCCACAGATATATCAGAGGGCGATCATTCGGATATATATTTCCAACAATGATGTTACTACAACTAATCTCACGACTTGCTTGTAATTCGTGATAATCGATTAAACTACTAGTATAGATATGAACAAACGAATCGATTTTGAATTTTATTGAGAGCTTCAGCACAAGAGTATGGTGCGCTGGCGCGGGATAGATGTTCTTCATTCGATCATGGTTAGTGGGAGGATGGTTGTCTTTGCCCCCCACTCACAACCCGCTTCAAGGTCCCAGCTCTCGGAAAGCAATCATGGCAAACTACCTCCTTGATTGTTGAAAATAAGCTCCTAGCACTAAAATAACTATTCACTCAACAAAGTACAATAAATGAAAGGAAATGAAATGAAGTTTCTTTAAAAAAAAAAAGTTTATAAAAATCTAGATATAGATTTATATTTATAAAATAATAAAATAACAAATAATAAATTATAAATTATAAAATTTTAATAATCAAATCTATAAAAATTATAAAAAAGCTTATAGTGATAATAATTACTCTTTTGTAATAAAGATAGTCTTGTGTATTAAACCTTAATAAAGTAAACTAAGATATACGTCATAGTCTAAGCTTTTTCTAACTAGACAAACTAACATCATTAGTAAATATTTCTTCCTCGGTATGACCGGATTTTCACTATAATATATTGAAGTATTATATTGAGCACATATAGATTAAACATCTTTGATAAGAACTTTAAAATTCAACTTGAGATGTGTATCATCGGCGACGAGAGAGCTGCCAATTATAGCATCATATGTTAAGGTTTCTCATATACTATTTGTATCCTGAAATTGACTCCCAAGGGATTTAAAGATCAAAAGACCTGTCATCTGACAATGAATTTTGGATAAGATCTCCATAGCATCGAACATGATGAAGGGATAAACGTTGTAGTATATCGAAGTTATTTGTTAACATTCACTTACTTATAAAATAGTTGATACAAAACATCCTTTACTCATGTCCAGGTATATCAAGGGGTGTAAAAAGGTAAGTTAAGGTCTCTTTTATTATCAGCGTATCCAATAATCCGAACTGTCGTTAACAATGAGGGACCTTTTGAATACTGAAATCATTTCACAAATCGAATTTGACTGCATTCTTAAACATGGTCAGTGTGTTCAATTGATTTAAAGAAAAAGATTGGTCAAAATGATTGAAGCTTTTTTAAAGATACTCAGGTCTACTGAGGTCAAATTCAGCCGCATTGCAGACTATTGAACACTTTATGGGTGGAATTACTAGGGCGAAATGTTGTAAATCGTGTTGAGGAGAGAGTATGCGTCCAAAGACGACTCAGTACGCGACATGCAAAACTGTCCAAAAGGAATATTTGCACGGTGAATTGTGGCTTAAGGTGGGTTTTCTTTCATACTTACCCTGCACCCTCGTTTCCCTCTTCCTAATGAGTGATGCATTTCCCATACAGAAAATTGGGAGACCTCTGCGATGTTAGCTCTTCCTCACCATCCAACTTAAGGCCGTTACTCACATCAATAATTACACTTACACGGCTAAATAGCTCTAGAATCTACTCTTCATACATGACCAGTTTTTTACTTCTACTCCAAAGTAAGTCTGCTCCTCCCGAGTACCAAGAGGACATAGTTAGGAAGCAAAGATGATGCGAGACGGTATTCTTCCATACATAAGTGGAGTGCTATGAGCCTGTTGTACTGAGAGGAAACACGAGACACGATCCAATCTCTTATACGAATCGATATGGTCTAGTAGGCCTGCCTTTGTCAAAACAATGAGGGCAAACTAGCGGAAAAGTAAAGTGATGGCTAATTTCCAGAGACTCATCAAAGGTTATGGATGACAAAAAGTAAATGCGTCAATGGAAACGAGCCTCTCCTGAGTTCTTCTTCCTCGATACCGTCTCAGTTAATGCTCCCTGAAAGCTCTAGCGACAACAATATGTCATGCTTTGGCGAATTTCTTAAGTCTCTAGATCCACTTCAATATGATAAAGTTATTTAAAGGCACGCAATCATACTACTGTATTTCAGAGTGCCTTCAGAACTGTGAAGATATTATCTTTAAAGACTTGGGTACTTCGAAGCCCATAATGAGGATTTCTTTCCAAATACTACCAACAGTCATTTGCCTACCGATCACAAAGGATGAATCCAAAAGAATCCAAGGTATTGCTCAATTTCTCCCGATCCAAGTTTGATTATTACCTGGATTGAAACATTTTGACCTTCTAGCCATCCGGAAGTTACAGAAAAAATAAGTGTAATCATCAAAGCTCGCCTGGTCATCTGGAAGACAACAGTCCCGGAGTTTTCGATATGGAAATTCTAGTCATGGATAATGATGGAATAGCAACTTTCACTGAATCGACTGCATCGGAACTTCAAACGCAACCGTATACTTACTATCTGCTGAATCGGCAAATGCTTGTAAAAAGTTAAATCTTGCTATTACTGATATGAAGAAGCAGAAAGATCCATGGAAGTCTCCCTCAATCCGGAGAATGGGTAACGACCGACGGTGTAGAGAGTACAGCAATAACCACACATAGACGGCAGCTTTCGTGGAACATTGCTCAAATCAATGGGCCTTCCAATGACTTTATGATCTAGTTCGAATTCCGTGGACAGAATTTAATTGACATGCTGATAACTTCTAGGCAGTTTCATAGAGACCAGAATTATAGAAATTATCAATATACTAGAAGTCATGACGTTGATTGTGTTTCTCCAAGTGAAGTAAATGAGCAAATAGCTTTCTAAGCTCAATTGATACTCACTCCGCTGATGACCGCCAAGTAATTATACTCGGCGTCAAATCAAATTCCGCTTCCCCCCGCACTCCATGCATAACTATCCCATGAAAACCAGTCGAAGTTTCCATCTAAAGACTGTTCGGTAGATAAAAACTCTAATTGATTGAATAATGGATCTGCTACTGCTGCGGCTTGCCCGGCGAACGAGTGCATTTCACGCACTGATGTATCGTCTGGATGCTCATTACCCGACATGGGAATATCCATCGGATAAGAAAGGAAGCTGAGTAAGGTTGGATCCGCAAGGTCGCCAGAGAGGTTTCTCATCCCGATTTCCGCATCATGGTTGTAAGTGTTTGCACTCTGTGTATTATCGTAGGAAGGAAAAGTTCGAAATTGATTTGAAGTTTGCGAGACCACTTCGCTTGTAAGCTGAGAAGTTAATTGTGAACTTCTAGTTAGCTGTTGGATAGATGGCGTAGTTGGTACTTCTGGTGATCTGCTCTCCAAGGATTTTCGATTCATACTTCCTCTGACAAAACTTTCTGCTAACCTAGTAAAAGTTTCCGCAATACGTTCGAGCTTTTGGGCACTTGGATGTTGGGTATGCATCCTTAAGAAATAGTATACCACCCTCCGAAGCAATTGGAGGTCATCGAAACAAGTTGACGAATGTGGGTCGGCGATTATGTTAGAGAAGAGAACAAAGTAAGGCATGAAGGGATAATAGAGAAGTTGCCTATGGTTTGTTAACAAAACGGGAAAGGAATATCTGAGCAGTAAAGGGAATGACAGTTGGTACTCGGGGACAGATTAATGAAAATACGAAATAACTGGGCAAATCAATCACAAAACAATGGATAATTACATACCATGTGATACCATTAAAAACTTCCATGGAACTAGAAATGAGTTTCTCCAGTATCTTGATCGCTACTCGCGCAGAAAAAAGGCAAATTTCATGATTCTGTTTGGAGCTACGAGTCAAATAGACAACAGAGTGATGATATTGGAATGTGAGGAAGTTGATGCCCATTTTTACTGACTTAATTTCACTAGGCTCTCCCTGGAAATTTTTGTATACCGACGTTTTCTGTATTTGTAAGTTAATTAAGCGTCTTCCTTATCCTGGCGCAAAAAAACAAACATGATCCAAACTTTCCTTCCAAATTCCAAGATTTTCTTTCATCTTCGAAATCTGCTCCGTTCCAGACTCTCCATTATGAACCATGAGAGCAACATCAATTATTTTTCCTTGCAACACGAACAGCTCTCGTGCCAGACCAAAATATAATGCGCCGAAATCATCGCTAAGCTGATTTTGCTGTAGATTTCCAATACCTGGAGTTGATGATCGATGAGGTCTGAATGTCGCAAGAAATGCAGGGTCCGGGGGATCGACCGCCTCATATAGCTGACTCAATAGAAATGGAGGCCTCCCAAAAGCAAGCGATAGTGATTTATCAATCATAAATAGGTTCCAGAATAGGCAGTTTCTTTGATCGTTTTCTCTGCTTTTCCTTGGAAATTTTGGGGAAGGAGCATGAAGATTGAGACTCTGGGCCATTCGACAAGCATGGCTTATGAGTGTCCAACATAATCCTGGTGGGACGAGATCTTGACAGTGACAGGATAACATTAATAGCGCTTGAATACTAATCACTGATGGTTCGAGAAAGAATGAAGAATCTTGTAGAATTATCCATACGTTCCACTGAAGACCTCGATTAACTCTTGCGTTGGATGGCTCCATGAAAGCTATTGTGGTCGATAGGAATGCATTGTATAGTAAGAGCCAGGCTCTTTCGGATATTATCTTTGGTTCAAAGGCAAGCTTTGGGATAATATCAAGTGGAGGCATTGTAAAAAAGGGTTTGCCTCGTTCAATACCTGCCATGAAAACTTTGCAATGTCAGTGTCAGCGACAAATATTCATGGATACTAGAATCAAGAACATCTTACTCTGTATCATCCGCTCCCCTTCAGATTTTTGTGGGATAAAAAATACTTCCATTTGCCTTCTAAAATGCTTGACGTTTGAATAAACGTCGGGGTCATTAAAACTTCCTTCAGAAAATGATGCAGTGAGGAATGACAATCCATTCTCAGCATCTTGTTGTAGCCCTGGCTCGAGGTTAGTTGACTTTATTTCAGCCGTCGTAATACTATTCTTTGCTTGGCTTAATATTGAAGGAGTTGAAGAATCTTCTGGAAGACATTCGCCCTTGTCGCTACTATATTGAGATGCAATAGGACGACTTGAATTAGTTATGATGTTCTTGTCGCCATCATCTTTTGATGACCTCGAAGAAGCGGGGCCCTGATCAGTGATCAAAATATGACCATTGCATTCAAGAACATCTGGGCAATTCCGATCTATAGAATTTTGGTCACCCTCTCGTATGATGCTTTCACTACTCGTCAGTCATACGGTAATGAATGTGGTGACCTTAGACTTACTTCATCCTTGCTCGTCTTGGTATTCTCCCGCGGCGGGAGTAAGTGCATGGACCCGACCATCCCCGGCAATTCAAACATTTTGGTTTCTCTCGGGAGCATTTGAGCTAAAGGGGATCAGATTTAAATTTGTCAAGAATGATGTGTGGTAGTAGGACCAACCTTTCTCCGTTTACAATGGTCGCACTGCACGGAATTCCATAAGTTCTTGAGTCACATACTTAGAATAGCTGGAACTCACAGCGTACTGCTCAAGCTCTCTCTGCTCTGTGACTGGTACTTCGGGAGGTTCGGTATCTCTAGCTTCTGCGTTTGAAGGAGGATTGGCCGGGTCTACCATGGTGGGTCGACAGTTAGTGGAATGTATGATTCTTGACCACGAACTTTCTAGATTATCTAAGGCGAACGGAATATACAAAGGACAAGAGTACTCGCAATATTAACGAAAGGTTCCTGAACGATAAGAAAGGGAGTAAATGGGTGTAGGTGTAGCACGGAACTTAGACGGATGTTAGGGTCTTTGCTTACGAGATTCAACGCTGCTTGAAGGTCAATGCAGGCCATTACGTGATGGCTGTTAGTTACAACAAAGCAGCGTTGCTGATGAATTGTGCCAACTCACCATACATCACTTCAGCAATTGCGAGGTCGACTGAAAAAATGGTGTTGGCTTGGTATCAAAATAACAACTTCCTCCCCCTCCTCTTCGAAATCAGAGAATCGATTCTGGGCACACAGAATAAAGCGCCAGATTGCCCCAAATTATTGTTGAATAGAAAGGATCGCCAGCCGAGTAGGACTGGCGACCGGCAAAGATCAATCATTCGAGGCGGGCTTGATCATAGACCATGTAATTATCAATAATTTGCCGCTGACCACCTTCAGATTCTGGAACTTGCCAGAAGTCGTGGTTGTGATTCAATATCTCACCCAGAGCTTTTTTTTTTCAACTTCGTTTGAAATTCTCATATGTTTGATATATTCTAGCAAGTCCAAGGAAATTTGGCAGCTGGTACCGAGTTCTGCTGGCCGTGGGAACATGCATCGTGCTTGGAAGCATCAATTGTTTAATCTTTCACTTAAACACGCGTTGGATATTCTACCCTGTAATGAACTTGTGACCCAATTCCTTTGCTGCCATCTCCACCACTTCGCGTAAATATTCATGAGTAGGGATGTCGACAGGAGTATGGGACAAGAGAGTGGCAGTTGACGACCTGTGGAAGCTGTGTTTGTGCGGCGCTTGCCATAACGACTGGATTTAGACCATTTATTCTAGTCAGATAAGCAAGAATAGGATGCGCATCGATACCTGTAGAGCGGAGAATAGCTTTGATAGATAATCTATTGATAATCTACTGGTGAAGTGAATGATTTAAACGAACACCGTGCAAATTGTTATCGATTTATCCATACTTGAGGCGAGGTAAAAACCCAGGGATCTACTTACCTCCTGCTATTAGAATTCATAATTTAAGGTTTATAAAAATCAGATTTCTTATAAGAATTCTGAAATTTACTTAATGCATATCGTTTGAATTCGTAATAAAATCCTAGCAAAAAATATATCTTTCTATATAAATTAAAATATTAAAGAGTTTTTAATATTAAATAAAATAATTAAAAATTTTTATTAATTGATTATAAGAATATCATAAAAAATTACATAAATTATTTTAATATTTTTACTTTAATAATATAAATATTAAAACTTCAAATTCTTCAACAATTTATTATATAGTAAAAAAATACATTTATATTAAAAATTATATTTTTATTTATTAATAATTTTATAATAATTTTATAAAAATTTATATTTTAAATTCTTCTAATTCAATTTTATTAAAAAAAATTTTATTTTGTTTTATTTTATTTTAATATAAAATAAAAACTTAATTATTTAAACTTTTTTTATAATTCTTTTTATAATTTTATTTTTAAAAAATAATAAAACCATTGTTTATTAATAATTAAACAATTTCTATAAATACTATATAAACAAACCAATAGAAAAACACTAGAAAATCTTTATTTGATGAATAATATATATCAATTATTTGTCCGAGAATATATAATGAGGTTGATGAACCACTGGTACTCATACATCGACGATACTTAGTTTAATCCCACCATCAGACCTCAACCATTCAGTATCTCTCTTCTCACTGAAAAAAAAATCAGTCCATGACCTCAAGGCCACGGAGAAGATTTTAGAATGTATTATAATAGCAAAGATGTGACTGTAAACTTAGGACTAAGCTATGGAAAAGCTTTCGCCGGTAGCTGTGTTCGTCCCTCCTCAGGTAATCGGGAGTAGGGGAGCCGTGTGGTGGGATGTGAGGAAACTCCATAGCGATACCATATTAACCCATGCTTCTTCTAACGAAACTCACTTTTTTTTTTTGCAAAGTTTCCCTTGGGAGTATCAAGCATTAAGATGAAGGTAAAAGGATGAAATGAATAAAAGTACAAGGTATTTTCTCATACTGCATGCGATATCATCGCCGTGCGATCATCATATAATGGCCTTTCGAACCAGCATTATTGCCTCAACTTACATTTTCGAACTATCCATTCTAAAAAGAGTTTACTGATATAGGTAAACTAGACTTCCTCTCAAGCCACTCCATGTTCAAGAAATGAAACAAATCTTACCTCATTACCAGTGAAGGGAGATGACACACACATAAATACATCCATTCCATCATTCTTTGAATAATGCCACCTGTACATGCATTCATATATGTCCAGCACCCTCCTGCAACCCATATTCTCGCCGTCTCGTCTCATGATACATCCTTTTGGCCCAAAGATAATCCATTGTTCTGCAAGCCACAGGTATCACAACATCTGCCAAGCCACGTGGTCATTCTGACAACTTTTCTTTTCCAGGCTTTCCGCACGTATGGCCATGTCGTGATGTCCCGTTCAAGACACAGTCTCATCCGCTTTTTCGTGCCGTTTTTGGTTTGATACCCGGTTCCTTAATTGGAGAGCTGGCTGGAAATAGGGAAGCATACATAGTGCCGGATTTGATTCCGGAGTAGCCGGGTGTACCTGTAGGTAGAAATTTCTTAGCTAAGAATGTAAGTGGAAAGTATCATTGAGTAGAACTGAACATTTCCCGGTTCAAGGTGGGAACTCGGATGTCTGCGAAGTACTGAGAAGTTTTCAAAGCATCGAAGTTGAAGATACATGGAACGTAATACGCTTCGCCACTGGCCGCTCGGCGTAAAGTACGGACAGCTCATAAGGATAAGTCAAAATTCTCATCCCTTCTTTTAAGCCACCTGTAACAAGATCTGCACGTCATCCTAACACAAACACAACATATTTTGTCCGCCTATTCTAGCATATTCAAAAATCAGTGCATGTCCTTTATTCCCATATTCGTTGCTTGCACAGAGATGCGCGTGAAGGTAGATGGGTATACTGCGCATCATCTATTTCCCACATATGTACAGTATTATCTGATCGCCGAGTATGTGAAGTCGTACTGCAGCACTATAAACTTCACACAGGATTGATGGTTTCCCGATGAGTTTCGGATGGTGAATTCTTCTTTTCCTCAATTTCTGCCTTTCCTCGATATTTCCTGGCCCTTCTGATGCGAATTTCGAGATCTTCCATGGCTTTCTCGGTAGTGACCAATCTCGGAATGACATCCATCATCTTGATACTATCTCCTTGTGTATTCTTCAAAGCCTGCGGGGTGAAAAGTCCAAACATCCTCAATGGATCCTTCTTGGAAACGGTTTTCGTGTCTTGGCCGTTTGTATCGTCTTTTGAAAGATCCGATTCTGATTCCGAAGAGGAAGTTTCATTGATGGCGAATAGAGGAGGAGCGGTTGATATTGCACATTGTGTATTTGAGGCGTTTTCGGGGATCGTTACAGTGCATAACCTTTGTGCTTGCATACGGTCATCATAGAATGAGGTGTCATAACGAATTCCATTCTGCGGCATGAAGTTTGCTCGGGATAGGTTGATGTACATCTATTGTCATTTGCGTCAGTACTAATACGTACCCAGTAGACTAGATTTTCCAATTATCCTGGGCATGAAGGAAGACACGCAGCGAGGTGCAAATAGCAAATGAGGGGTGAGGGGCACGCGATGGATGGACGAAATAAATCGTTACACGGAAGGATTTATTTGTCTCATAGGACTCTGCAATACATTCTGCAATATCTCCTGAAGATTTGAAGATCAAATGATCCTCCACTTAGCTCAATATCGTGCATGCCTAAAATTGTTTAGACATGCGGGCCATCTCATCCATCGCGAGGAATCAGGGTAGGGGGATAATTAACAGTGGAGGTTAAGGAGAGATTTGACGAACAGATGAGGATAATGAGGAAAGCTCAGACCTTAGGGAACTGTATTGATCCAGAAGATGAAGGTATTGTTCTAGCAGTCGATCAATTTCCGAGGTAAGTTCTTGGACGGTAGAGATAGACATGATGGAGTAAAATTGATGAATCTGGTTGGTGAGCTTGGTGAGCTAGGCGCCGATGAAGGGGGCAGGTAAGGATAAGATGGATGCTATTGCTGGCTCTGTCGTTCCTTGTCAAGTTGTAATTACAATCAACAACGTTGGATTCCACCCAAGCTTTCAATATTTGCTTCTGACTCGAGTGCGAGATGAAAAACGAGATGATTGTTTTTGAACCCTGGGGATGTGGAGGGAACGTAATTGAAGTTTGAAGTTCGATAGCTAATGTTCATAAATGAGGAGAGCTTTGATAGAGCTTTGATAGAGTTGAGCTTTGGTGGATGGGATCATGACAAAAGTGGAGTGAAGGGATTTGTGGCTGTCTCGTGACTCGTCTCCGTTGTCAGTCATAGAACCGGCTGGTGGACTAGTCTATCAAGGATCATGGAAGGAAAGAAGAAAACTCGCAGAAGGTGGAGAATATCCAAGTACGGAGTACCGGGGAAAGTAAATATAAATGATCATCATCTGCTTCCTTTTCACAGTCAAGGTCAAAAGTCTCAATTCAAATTTGACAAATCAAACATTTCCAATAATTGTTATATCTATCAATTATATCTATCAAATGATTGACCCTGGTTATGCAGAGCCTTGTATCTTTCTTCCCTTCCTGGCTTCATTCGTAAACTGGGTAGTAACGACTGATGTGTGGCGTATATGGATATGGTAGCAACCAAGACGATAGATATATCGTCTTGTCATTTGTGATTGTCATTGCTATACCGAATCCGCATGTTGTAATGTTATTTGAATCATCCTGTTGTTGCAGTATTGTTGTCAACAATTCAAGGCTTTAGATATCTATTTGGATTCAAGGATTGTTGGAAAAACGAATCGTCCCTTCTTGTATATAGGTTTTGCTATCTTTGACATTATCGACCCTTCCTTTTTTCCTGGCCTCGACGTTGCAACCTATTCCTCACTCACCGCTATATCTAACTCTCACCACTAGACGGGAAAGATTCAGTATGTACTGTACAGTGCTCAGTAACTTACCAAGTATACGAAAGTCAGCATCCTAATCGTGAAGTTTGTAAGATTCAATTGTGTTTGAGGTTACATCGTCGAGTGCTGAGTGCTGCAGATACCTTGTCCCTACCCTACCTATATCAATCTCAGTTGCTCTTAATACTCTATTTCCCTCAATTTTAATTAAACCTTCAGACTCGAAAGAAAGGCTTTCCCTTTCGATACCCAAGTACTGGATATCCGATACTGGAGATCAAAAAGAAGACCCTAGACTTCCTTTCTATTGGAATCTACGGAGTACCGGCATTCACCATCGACCCAAAGTAAAAGTCCCATCCAATTTGATGGGATTAAGTCCAGATTGATGAATGAGGTATGTCAATATTCTCAATTTGAATTAGCTGGGTAGCATTGTCGGCATTGTATTTTGATTGCATTGCATTGCATTGCATTGTTCTTAGAGCTGCTGTTGGTTGTACAAAGTGTAAAGTTGATGTGATGTGATTGGTAGGTTGCTTTCGTAGTACAATGTTGAAGTGTTCCGCCCTATCTATCTAACCTTTATGTATTGAGCAGTTTCAGTCTAGGCTTGTCCTTCCTTTTTACCCTACTGCCTCTGCCTGCCTGTCTCTGCCTGTCTCTGCCTGTCTCTGCCTCTCTCTGCCTCTTCATTTACCTCCAATTCCTTTGCGTTGCCCTATCTGACACTTTTAGCTTGAAGGCTACAAGGTCACGGTTAGAGGTGCTAGATGGGTGCTAAATGCTAGCGTACAAGCTTCCACGTACTTATCTTTCCCAAGCGATTAAGTAAAGTAAATAATATCGTTCTCCTCTATATCACAATCCTCAACACAGTTTAAGAAGAAGAAGAAGAACAAGTAAAAAGGATTAAAATAAGAAGAAAAATCACGTATTTCACATTACTAAACTCCATTTACATTATTCCACCAGCTCATCATAAACACTGCGTTTCCATACATAATCAAAAACTTAACAACAACCCAACCTTTATCATTCAACCATTAATTTCACATTACACAGGGTACTTTTATTACAGCACAACACAACACAACACAACACAATACAACACGACACAGCATAGCACAGCACAAAATAGATAAATAAAAGGGCACGAACCACCCTACTTGCATCGCCGAAACCACTGAATCCTCAAAAATAAAATACGCGAACCATAGAACGACGTTGAAAATCAATAAGAAGGGGAAAATAAGGAGTGCGAATCAATTTCAGGAAAAAAAGGTCGAATTTGTCCCCCCCATCCCCGTCCATCTATCTCCATTGTCGGCTTTCTGCCTGATAACCCAGACCTCAGATTCAAAAAAAGATTGGAAATCGTTTGCTCATATTGCATTAACTGGCTGCTGCTGCTGCTGCTACTCAATCTACTTGTCCCGGGTCATTCGTGTGTTCAACCTGACCTCAACCTCACCTCACCTCACCTCACCTCACTTCACCTCACTTCACCTCACTTCACCTCACCCCTTCTTTCAATTAATCATTCAATTCAATTCAATCATTCAAATCATCCACTTCGCACATATCCACTTGGCACGCATACACATACACACAACCTCTTTTTCAATCCGACAACCCATTTCTACCCAAACGTCATTTTGCATACGATTCCTAATCTTACAATCTTTCAACCCTTCGGCCCTTCAAGACTTCACAGATAATCAATCAATCCTTCAAAACCGAGCGCAAGTCGACACAAACCACCGATAGTACCATATTTGTTAAGTGGTAGAAGTGCTTTGAAAGTACGAAGGAGATAAAGACAATCGGAACAATGGTTGTCGCAACGATAAAGTTAGTACCTCCTTCAGAAACCTGCTGCTGTGGCATGGATTGGATAATGATTTCGGAGAATTATTTGCTTCAGTCATTTCATAGCTAACCTATAATATCAATTTACAGATGTGTCGTCGTCGGTGATGGTGCCGTGGGAAAGACTTGTTTACTCATATCCTATACTACCAATAAATTCCCTTCCGAATATGTCCCTACAGTTTTCGATAACTATGCCGTTACAGTTATGTGAGTTTGAATTTACACCGACATTTACCTGCTCGCATCTTCCATCTCCGCAATGTAAAATACAATTTGGGAACAGTGTTCTGATGATCATTTATTAGGATCGGCGATGAACCATATACCCTCGGTCTATTCGATACTGCCGGGCAAGAGGATTATGACAGGCTTCGACCCCTCTCATATCCACAAACCGATGTCTTCCTCGTTTGCTTCTCAGTTACTTCCCCCGCATCATTCGAGAACGTACGCGAGAAATGGTTCCCAGAAGTTCATCATCACTGCCCTGGTGTACCTTGTTTAATCGTGGGCACACAAACCGATTTAAGAGATGATGTTAGTGTTAAGGAAAAGCTTACCAAACAAAAGATGAAGCCGGTCGAGAAGAGTGATGGTGAGAGAATGGCTAAGGATTTGGGGGCTGTCAAATATGTTGAGTGCAGTGCTCTGACTCAATATAAGTTAAAAGATGTTTTCGATGAGGTATGAATTCTTCATTTAAGGATGCACCGCAGTTTCTGCCAAGACACGATACATCCATGAGAGGATGGGAAATGCTAATTATGCGCAGGCCATTGTTGCGGCATTAGAACCTCCTGCGCCAAAGAAGAAACAACATCGATGCTTAATTCTTTAATTTAATTGTTCTAATAATACCCAACAATTAACTTTCTGCCTTTCGCACCGTTCTTCAACCACCATCACTACTTTCTCGCCTCTCGTTGTCCATATCGTGTTCGACAATCATATGAATCCGGAGAATCCTAGGGTTGATATACCGTTGAGCGAGTTGGTCCGAAAGCTACGTTACATATTGACACATCACCGAAACTACGCGGATAATCATCATTTTTCTGTACCCAGTTTCGGCAGGGCGGGGGTTGATCCGTCATTTCACACACGCTGGGAAGTTGTTTGGAGGGGGCAGCAAATATACTCAATAGATGACGAGGTGCTTCTACATTAAGGGAAAGCGCATTTGGTGAACAAAGTCCGGAGTATGAAATCTCTCAATCAATTTTCTGGAGTAGGACTTTGAGGTTTGTGGGAATGGGTAGGTAGAGAAATGGCATGCCACGCGATGGCTTCTTTTTTTCTATTTACAGTCCTCTTTGTTACTTTGATCCCGAGAATCGATTCCCAGCAACCCTACTTTGATTACCTCCTTTTTTCCATATTGCGGGTTAAGATGTTTTTTAGGTAAATCGTGGGGCCAGGAATGCAATATACAGATTTTTTTTTGGTCTTTTGACGAATACTATGGTGAAGTAGATGTCTAAGTGGTGAGCTTGAAAGCATGATCTGGCTCGTGATCATTATCGCCTGAGCTTTCAGAGAACACGGCGGCGGAGCGTTGGTGGCGTCGCGCGCCAAGAAGGGGTAGATGTATGTTTCTCGAGTTTGATATCGATATGCAAGAGAAAGACATGGCGTTAATAACGAATGATGGCACTATCCCTTTCTGCACGAGCTGGCGACTTCCCTTAACCTTTTTGATGTGAGTTCATTTGAGTTAATCATATAACTGTGTGAAATGTATGCCCTTGAGTTTACAAGCAATGCCATTTGTCACTTTGATTTTAGTTCAAAAACGGGTGCCCCAATGAAACTACTATGAAAGGTCTAGACTTTTAAACTAAAGATAGAGAGGATTGATAAGGTCGACGTAACATTACCGACATTAGTGGGGGTTAATCGTGTGGAAGGCTCTACATTATGTTGTATATGTATGAAGAGGTTATCTTATTATTGGAGGGAGCTACTACTCCGCCACGGGAAACATTTGGATTGTGCTTATGTAACAATCTCCAGTCTGCAAATCTCCCATCTATGAATGACAAAGGCGGAGTGAATAACACGACCGGCAGGAGCTTATCAAAGTCGCCATTATCAAAACAATTGGGAATACTTACCTATAAAGGGATATGGATGATAAGACTATTTCCATTCTCTCTATGTCTATCAACACAATCACCTCTTCACCCCAACTTTTCTCTTTCGTCTGCCTCATTCAATACTTTCCTATACTCGAGTAAATACAAGAACCTAGAAAGAAGAGAAATGAAGTTTCCCATCTTCAACTGCCTGTCATTACTGGCAGCATGTGGGGTTTTCTCATCAACTTTTGTGGTGGGCCATAGCCATCACCATAAAGATGATGGATTGGGACTTGAAGAGGTTGATCGGAGTTTGAACGACGAAAGAAAGCAAGAATTGGAGAGACTTTGGGGTTTTGAGGTTAGTGGACTTTTATGTTTGGAACTTTGCTTGTTAGCATAGTAGGTAGGAGCAGACAGATGCACAGTTTGTGGAATCATGAGGTACAGTCAATGAATGATGAGGACGATATTTGGGCCACCTTCTGGCCTTCTGGATTTAATCTGAGGCACTGGAATGTGATGGACGGGGACATAACCCGTGGCACATTAGTAGGACCCGGAAATTCCCCAATTATTGCCCGTAAATGGCGTTCTCGCCTGGAGTAAGAGGATGCAAAAGACATATTTCTATCACGAAATCGACGCGATTACTACTTTCTTGACTGACTCTTCCATTTCTTTCGAAGAAACAACCAAAAATGGGAGATGCGAGTGCATTCATTTCTCATGCATAAATCTTTATTTTCTCCACATCTACTCATCACCATAAAAACTGTGAGACCACCACAGACTGACGAACCAAACCCTGCATATAGTGGTCATTCTCAGGGATCTCAACATTTGCTCATCTGGACTACAAGAAATGTCTCACAACTCCTGATGAACTTTTCGATATAGGAATCTTAGGTGTCCCATTCGACACTGCAGTTAGCTATCGACCTGGGGCTAGATTTGGGCCTAAGGCTATTCGATCAGCGAGCGCTAGGCAGACTAGCTTTAGAGGATGTAGGATTTTAAGCCGTCATCGGCACTGATGATGCTCCTTTCTCGAAAAGCATGAAGCTAACCTCACGGGCCCAGTCAATACACGAGCTGGTATAAACCCATACACATCGTTCGCACGCATTATCGATTGTGGGGATATACCAGTCACTCCCCTGAGTAACGCTGTTGCATTAAAACAAATGACAGCAGCCTATACCGAATTACTCAACCGAAAGCCCGTTTCCTCATCTCTTACCCACCCAAAGATCATTTCCCTAGGAGGTGACCATAGTATAGCCTTAGCAGCACTCAGAGCTCTCCAAAAAGTATACAATCAACCAATCGCCGTTCTACATTTCGACGCTCATCTCGATACCTGGCATCCGGCCAAATATCCAGATCCATGGGCAAGTGAGCAAGCGCAATTCAATCATGGGAGTATGTTTTGGCTCGCTTCAAATGAAGGTTTAATCATAAATGGAAGCAGTGTTCACGCAGGGTTAAGAACGAGATTAAGTGGTAACGATTTTGAGGATTATGAAGATGATGATAGACAAGGTTTTCTGAGGATCTCGGCGGATGATATTGATGATCTTAGACCTCAAGGTGTGGTTAAGAAGATTATGGAAAGAATTGGAACTGAGGTTCCGGTTTATCTTAGTATTGACATCGATGTTCTGGATCCAGGCGTAGCGCCAGGAACAGGCACGCCTGAGCCCGGTGGCTGGACAATGAGGGAGTTAATTAGAATACTGAGGGGAATTGAGGGATTAAATGTTGTGGGTGCGGTGAGTATTGTTGATCATTTCATCTTTCCCTGAAAATGCTACCATCTCCAGCGCAGTTAATGGTTCATTTTTGCGTCTCTTAACTTTGAGAGATTCTTTTGTTCATGAGTACTGACTCCAACATCTTGTAGGATGTAGTGGAGGTGAGTCCAAGTTATGATGGAGCTGGAGAGGAAACGGCACTCAGCGCGTCGCAGGTAGTTTTTGAGATGTTGACGAGTGTTGTCAAGAGGGGTTTGAGCGACATGGGAAAGGTCGCCAAAATCAAGGAAAGCAGGAAGAATGATGAGCTATGAACACGATGCTTTTAAGGCAACTGAAGAGTTAGCGCAGGCATGCTAGACACCAAGATATTATCACCGAAACGGTAGTGACCGTCTTCCCGAATACTAGTAAGAGATCAGGAGTCAGCAATCTAGATATGCCGAACTACAATATGAACCCGAAGATTACCGGAGAATGCGTCAACGGGAACTTTGCATCCATTGAAGGTAATTTTGATAGATACCAGACCCGACAATCAACCCGAATTCCATGTCGTGTTGTTTCACATGGCAATTGCGATGGCCTCGCAAGATGAATATCGTCTCAAAGACTCTTGGGCCTGGTAAATTATACGTTAGTTCCTTGTAAGGATAGAATTTCCGGAAGCCTACGGAGATTCGGTGAAATTAGGATGAGGCTCGGTATTTGATATGGAACAGATGAAAGTTGCGTGCTCTGAGTGATACTTCTAATTCAGCGTCTAGGGCAAATTGCGGCACATAGATCAATGTTTGTGTAAATGGAAAGTCGAAACGAAATCCCTGGCGGCATGTTTTTCCAGGAGTGCATATGCATGAGGCCAATTCAAGCTAGACGCTTTGCACATCCTCCATGCTACTCTGCATTTGGAGATTTCTGGGCAAGCAAAAATATTTGTAACCAGGATGTCTGTGGGGAGATAAGTATCTCTAAACAATATAGATCAATAGTCCAAACTAGCGGATTAGATATGAAATTTTAACTTTTGAGAGTTTTTAAATACTCTGAATGTAATTCATTACTTCAAATTATTTGACATTTCTTTTTGAATTCAATGTTCCAGACATCATAGGACCTTTGCAGTTATATAATATTTCAATAAAATTTAACAACTCAAAGCATCTCATTGTTGACTGTACTTCCGGGTATTAGGTACCTTGCGCACAATCGAGGGAGCATGATGGAATGAATTGATCTCGGGCTATTCGCTCTTTGACAATCTTGCGAGTTCAAGCATTGATCTATTGATACATTCAGGTGACCTGCTCCCTTGCCAATCAATGAATACCCCAGTCGACACGTTTCCACTTCAAGCAGTGGAGTACAAAACACCAGGCATGTTACTAGGGACCCACGAGGGTTAGGGTTAGGGGGATGTACTTTCATCTCTTCAACTCTAAACTAATGTCATTCCATGATTATTTTCCGAAGGTTCTCGACCTGGTTTCGCCATAATAAGCCACAGTAGTATATGGTTGTGACACCAGATGAAAATGTATGATAGGATGCCAAAGGATCTCGCAATCGGTGTCTGAAACGAAAGACTGCCGAACACTCGAGAGATAAGAACCCGGCGATTTGGAAAAAGGCGCAGCTGCCAAGAAGAAATGTTACATCAGCCTATGAGGATGACTTGACAAAATGGCAAAAAAGTAATTGCCAGAAATCGTCACTAGGACATTGGAGTGCAGAAAATTTTCACTACAAGATCATACTCATGCGAAAGGATCTAGCGAGGATTTAAGACAGGAGGAAAGCCCGGAAATCCGGAAAGCCGGAGGAGGAATATAGAATTAGGCGTTAAGAATTATTTTATATCTTGGAGCGTCAGGCCATTTATTACACACCTCAAACTCACAAATTTCAGCATTTTGGGTCAATGCTCCAAAAGCATTAAGATGGGACGGACATCCACGTTCTCAGCGATTGAGTTGACAAGGGAACTCTCGCAATGTGACCTAAATCCTCGAATGAGCGACGATGACAGGGGGGAATGATTACGAAGCGGGGTCAGAACCGCTGCTTCCGGAGGTAAAATCTATGCGCCGCTCTATTTCTTATCACTTACTATAGTCCAAATATAGTCAGCCACGAATGAATTTGAATGATTCGAGTGACTGACTGGTTCAAGTTCAAGTGATTTGAATTTTATACCGGCAGACGACATCCGACACAAATTAATCGAATAGTTAGTCACACTTCTTTGGATGCTGTACAATTATTTGATCGCAGTGTTCTCAGTCAACCACACGCAGGAGTCTATCCACGATGCCTTCAAGAAGATCACACATCAAATCACATCACGGCTGCAGCCAATGCAAACTCCGAAGAGTTAAGGTAAATTGTCTCTGCATCTCGAAAGGTTGTTGGGGTTGTCAGTTATATCACGGCTCACAACTTCTCAATTATCGTGCTAATTCCAACTTTAGTGTGATGAACGTCAGCCTGTCTGTTCTAGATGCAAAGCATATAAAAGAGAATGCACGTATAATTCCGTCATCAGTCAAGCACCTGGTCAACATAGTTTCGAGCTACGGCCACCGCCGTTATCTAAAACACATAATCATAAGCCGCCTCTCATCAGACCATCTTCCCGATGCAATCCACCTCAAAATCAAAACCCGATTTACAACAATCAAGCATGGATTCCATTTGCTTTACACAAAGAAGAAGATGCTCTTCTTCATCATTATGTCAATGTCACCGCTAGACCCATGACATCGGCATTCAATCGTCCGGATCAAAGTAAATGGGAAGGAGCAGTTCGACGCAACGCTTCAACCCATGGTTTCGTATACAACGGAATGCTTTCATTTGCTGCATTACACCTAGCTGTTCTACAACCCCAGAATCGCTCGATGTATATAGCCAAAGCATTGAAGTTTCAAAATGCAGGCATGACGGAGTTCAGACCCGTGTTGGCAAATCTCACAGCTTCGAATTGTGAAGCTGCATTGGGATTTTCAGGCTTGCTGATAAGTTCCATCTATGCAATCACAGTAGCGCAGGCCGGGCCAAATCGATCCAGCGAGAGACTATTGGATTATCTACCTGTGATATTTAGTCTGTTTAATGGAACTGTGGCTATATACAGGATGGGTTGGATGAAAAGCCTCGATTATAATCTTAGCGTACATCTCCGACAAAAAGTAATGAGAGTTGATGTAGCCAACACTCCAGCCAAAGGTGAAGAGTACCTTGAACAACTACAATGTCAAGAAATCGAAAGGCTCAAAGATCCACATCTCCGAAACTTGTATATCGATATATCCTATAAAGTTCGGCGAAATTTGAGAAGGACACAGCAATTTCCTGGAAGAGCCTGGCCTGGAACGGCACCACCAGCATACATTCAATGCGTAAAAGAAAGAGAGCCGATTGCGTTGGTACTAGTTGCCTATTGGTCGGTAGGACAGGATAGAGGCGTTGGGTATAATTGGTGGGCGAGGAATTGGGCGAGAGACTTGGTGGAGACGATCGGAGAAGAGTTAGAGGAAGATTCGCGATGGGGCTTGTATATGAGGTGGCCAAGGGAGAAGATGGGACTGGTTTGATAGGAATTGATTACGAATTTTATGAATATATTGGGCTTGATTATGTAAAAAGAAAGATATTGGCTCGACTGGACCAATGTTTTATTATTTCATTACACGAAGACATTGGCTTGTGCTCGCATCTACCATTTTCAACTCCTAATTTTGCCTTTCACCGTCATTGAACTTTCATAGTTCTTCCGCGCCATGAAATTACAGAATGTATTAATCTATTATTTTAGCTTTTAGCTTCAGCATCAGAACCCACAGCTACACTTGAGTCATGCCCCTTCTATCCATCTCTCATTTGAATGCCGGCCGACTTTGGAAACTTTATTCAGAAACCCTTGATAACTCCGGCAAACGGTGCAACTACTGACCGAATCATGCCAACGGACAGCTGTCAAGGATGCTATAGTCACCATTAATAGATGGCTACAGTAAATGCCAAAGTTCAAGAAACTTCGATAATTCAGAGAACCTGGAGGCTTCTCGGTGTGTTTGAGAGTTTGCATAGTTTGGATTAATAGATCAGATCTGATTGTCTAGCAAAGGTATTTGGGGAGGAATTTCCTCATGCAGGATACCATCAAAGAATACAACGATGTCATGAAAATCGGATGAAAATTCTCTTAATACGAGAGCCTTTCCTTGCACTCTACGGCTAAGGTTGGAGGGAGGGCCGGCGGCGGTACCTTGTTGCTGTCCTTAGAAGCGGTCACTATGTCCTCCCTCGAAAGGACAGTTCTTATGTACATTATCCCAATGTCGAGATATGGCATATAGCAAGAGAAATTTCAAGTCAATTCACTTGTCGCAGCGACTTCAGCAAGTACTCCTTCCCTGCCTTCTTTGGAAACTGATCCTTTGGAGAGGTTCTCGCTGGGCTAAACAAGGATGCCACTCAGCATGCATTCGTCTGCTACAATTGAATTGCCATATAGTATATATTTGTGGATAGAAATATATTTACTATTATAACCATTATCAAAAAGATTGTAATACATCGATTAATTAAAAGCCCATATAAATTGTTATACACATATCAAAAATGCCTTTGGAAGTATTCAAAACGATTCGCAGGATGAACTGTAAAAGAAAATATTTCAAAGAACGACTAAGATAATAAGAGAAGGTATTTAATGTCCAAAACCATGAAAGACTGGCACGCCGACGGGGGCATATACCTCATGGTTTAGTGTCAAAAGACTGTCGTTCCTGTCAACTTCCACCCGGCTTCCATTACACAATTATTAAGAACCACAATGAGCATTAAACAAGCGAAAACTATGAGCCATTATGAACGGAAGACATTAACCATAACGCTGATGTTTGTAAAAATAACCATCTAATATACAAATCCCGCTATAAAAGAACAGGCAATGCACAAAAAATGACAGTGTCTAGTCCATACATGCTATGCTGTTGGTCCAATGCCTTGAGTGGAGCCTTAAAAATCCCGTTCATTAATATGTCCAAATCGGTAGCACCGATGAATTCAAATCCTAAACCCCAAGCCACTTTCATTTATCTTCGTTGAATGTCGTGAGTACCGCTTCATATTTTACAATCCGATGAATCCAAAATTCATGCCACGGGCAATGGATCCGGTGCATTGTCTATAGTTTCTGTCGATGGCAAAATAACTGCAGCTTTTTCGGCCGATGATTCTTCCTCATTACTTCCATCTTCTGTCGTTCCATCCGAAGTCCCCTCGACTTCAGCTTGTGGGAACTTTTGAGTTATTTGTTCCTCATCCTCATGTGATATTATTACAGCCTTGACATGACTTTCTCTACTAACACTTTCCGCCAAACTTGTCCGCGAATATACGGATGAAGAGGATGAGTTCGCAGCACCTATCAAGAATCGGAATTTCTTTGCATCCTTCTTGGCTTGTTTCTTTTCCTCTTTTGTGTCTCCCGAAACCTCATCATCGGTCAAATCCTTCTCGACTGGGATTTCCAAATACACCGAGAAACCTCTGCGTCTGAATCCTTTGTTCCATTGTCTGAGTGCTGACTTCAACGGGGATTCGTATTGAAGGTCTCTTTTGATAATCGCAATGATTTTCCCACGTTTCCATCTCCAGCTAAAGCTCTTCGACGATGGAAGAGTGTCCAATATTTCTTTGGTGAATTGTGACCATTCATGCTCGGTGACACCATATTTGTTCAACTTCGGGTTGTACGGGAATCCGGATGATAGCACACTTTCTTTCGTAGGTATCATTAAAGTTCGGGTTTGTGGTCGTGGGGCATCTGCGAATGAAACTCTTCGGGAATCCGGACCTTGAGATCTTGACCTCTCGGTTCCACGGTCAAATGATGTTCGAGGGGTAACATTTGTTGATTGTGTAGTTCGCCGGGGAGTTATATTCTGAGGTGGGATTTGAGGCGGTGCTGGAGCTGATATGGGACTTCGCGTTTGCGATGGTCCTCGTCTTCAAAGAATTAGCAACCAATGTGAAACGATTGCAGAGAAATAGTTCAAAACTTACGATTGGACCGAAGATGATCGCGAATTAGCTGCCGATCTACCTGTTCTTGGTTTTGATTGACTATTTTTTCGACTTGGAGCAGCTTTATTAGTGTCCTTTTCGAGCTCCGCAAGCAAGCTTAATGCCCCGGACATGTTGTGTTGATGTTTTTGGGGAGAAGGATAACAATGATGAAGGTTTTGATTGATCGAAAGTAGTCTCTATATAACGGTACTGCCGGTGGATAATTGGCTGATTATAGGCTAGAAAGGAGGCTTATATATATAAAGTGGCCGGTAAATGAGTATTTGGGAGAGACAATTGGGTCAAAATATGGAGAATAAAATATGATATGATTATGATGATACCGGTGATGTCGCTGTGGGGGGATGAGTACAAATGGCAGGACACGACTACTCTTTAATCAATTCGATGCCAAAAACCTTAATTTTTGGATTGTTGATGAATCATTGTGTTCGTGGCCTGGCCTTGCATTATATCCACACATCATAAGCGCTGATAGGTCACATTGGTCATGATTTGTGGCGTAGCACATGGTAGTTTGTAAAGCATGGATCGTATTCTGTCAGCCCTGCTTAAACCAGAAGAAAAGTCAATCAGATGGATCAATGTAGGTGGTGCACGGTGTGTGAGCTAATATGGCGGCTTGGTAAATGACGGAGGAGTTTTCTCTTGGATTGCTTATTGATTAGAGATGGGATTTTTTAATTGTAATGATCGACAATGATAATAATACCTAAACACCTAACGAAGTTTTGGCACAATGGCTTACATACTTTGTACTGTGTTTCGCTTGGAAATGGTTGATTCAGGGGATGGATGCTCCTTCATTACACTCATAACCGAAGGCCTACTTCAAGCTAGCCTACTTCTAAGCCCAACCCCAACTTTCACCGCAATCAGCGATAATAATAAGTATTTCCATGCAATACTTGGATTTATACAACACATCACACGATCAAAGAAATTCAACTCTTTTCTCTTGAAATCTCTTCTTTTTAGTACACAAAATCTTCAAAGAGTCATGCCATGATGTACAAAGATTTCAAAGTCCCCCAAATCTGGTAAAGGATATCCACCATGAAAGTAGCAGTGGCAATGAGTGGAGCCTAATGAACTCCAAAACTTAAAAGGCGGATATTGTGATGGTCGAGATGTCCGGAAGTCCTAATGAAAGTTGGTTTGCTGACTGAATTGGCGGTACAGGGTCTTTTTGGGCCGCCACATTCTTTCGGGGTGTTCCTGGACTCCATCTTCCCGGAACAGACAGTTCATGGCATCATCATACGAAAAGTTTAACACCCTACATAAGCTTTAACGTTCGACTGGTAGCGAGGCTGGGTCCTGTTTTCTCCCGGATTTTTCAATTTACCGAGGTGCTTTCATGGTTTGATCGTTTTCTTCGGTATCTTTGTGTAATTCCACATCCTCGTCCGAGACTCCGTCCAAAACCTACAGTCTACAAAGACTTCACGCCCAATCATGACATCTAACCTTGGTACTTCACTCGAAATACAGGAGGAATGATATATCGATATATTATATAATCTCGAGAGTGTCATGGTCTTGGCATTCGGCTTAACTCCGATCGGACAAATATCATGCCCACTCCGCCCGGAGAATTCTGTTGTGGTGATGATTAAGCATTCTACGGTTTAAATGTGGCTAACCAGACCAGAAATCTGATCTAGCCACAATAATCTCGGCAATCAATCAAACTACAGCTGGGTACTGAGGCGGTTTGATATTCATCCGACGGGGAAGGATTAGGAAGAAAGATATGTAGGGAGTAACAGCGTACATACGTGTGAAATACCCCACACTCCCACGGCAGATGCAGATGCGGGGAAAGGATAGAAATGTTCTGGTCGATGGCTATTTTTACTCGGTGATTACAAACGGTGGGTACTTTATGCTCAACACAGCCTCGGAGCCTCCTAACCGACTTATTGGCCTCGTAATTGAGAAGGTCGCAGGTCATACGGTCGTGACTCTTATATGCTTGGGCGTTCGCTTGATTGCAGCTCCTCGTTGGTAGGCTTTGCAAGAGCAGACCATGAAAGTCATCTACTTGGCTCATGGGGTTTCGTGGCTTTCTTCGTTGCGAATTTCAATTTTGCGTGTTTCCCGTTTCCCGTTTCTCCTTTATCCTTTTCTCCTTTCGCCTTCCTCCTCATTCCTTTGAACGCTCCATCTGATTTTCTTCAAGTGCAGGTACAGGCATGGTAATATCCGCTCAATACGGATTAGTTCGAGGTAATTCTTACGGTCATACGTTTCTGGGAGCATTTGACTTTTCTACGTATTGGACATACCATTCTTGGAATTAACAGCGGCCTGTGAAAATGATACCCACATTATAACAATGCCATTGATTTTTCGTTTTGTGCCGATGGAGAGATTGCAAACTGACCAAAAAAAAGGGTTGTTCATCTTCAATCTATTCTTCCTGGCTGATTCATTCCCAATATATGTATCATCTAGTGGACTTCTGGGTGTTTTCTCTTAGCAGAAATCAATCAATGCATTAAAATGACGTATATTGCCATGTAATTCTTCATACAAATTGCTTTCACTCTTATAAGTGCATCATATTTCTCCATCGCCGACGGCAATGCTGCAACCACCGCTGCCCTTAAGAAAACGGCGGTGGCATTTTCTCTTATGGTTGAAATGCTCAGCTATTACATTGTGGCATATTTGATGTGCCAGGAAGCACTATTTTTTGACTTCCCGATAGGTGATATTAGTCAATGTTTCAGGAGAAAGTTGGATGATGAAAAGCCAGTTCCGCAGCATCATGAGCCGGAATATGAAGTATAAAGGGTAGATTGTAGACAAATGAGAGCTCACCGCTGGATAGGTCGGAAAGTTTTACCTCAATTGCTTGTAGTGAGAAACAAAAAGGAAAATACATTGAGGTAGTACAAACTTCATTTCCGTCTTGAGTCTATCGGGCATCTAAATCTTGGCCACTTACTAGGTAACACATTGTGCCATCAAGATGTGTAGATTACTATCATTACCATCTGATATATTGAGAAAGTTTTAGATGAGTAAGACCAAGTCAGCAGGAAGTCTGACTAGATTCTGGAATTGAGATTTGAACCTATATTAATGGCTTTCGTTGGCGTTGCACTATAGTTGAGATGGATTATGAGAGCGTAGGTATGTAGTTGGAATCAGATCTGGTATTTATTAAGATATAAGAATTTAACAATAGTATTATATTATTATTACTTTTAATCTACTCTATAACTTATTTAAAAATGGATTTTTATTTTTCGAATTTAATATAAATTTTTTCATTCTTTTTATTTTTATTTTTTAATACATTTATTAAATATTTAATTAGAATCAGATTTTACTGTTTTTTATTAAAGTATAATTATTTAATATAGTATTAATTAGGATTACTTTTGATCTATTTTAAAACTTGCAACAGGTGACTACGGAAAGGTTCTCACAGCACAGGTTTCTTTGAGGGGATACAATGTTGTCAAGCCTTTCATAACATTGAATATATCATTCATTGCTTATACTTCTCTTTGATTCAGTAACTCAACCTCTCAGACAAAACCCCAAAAAATATAATTAGAAAAACAAAACCAAGTATATCACAACCAATACTTTACATTCCCATTCACAATTCCACCAGAAATTGATCCTCGCACCTCCAGAATCAACCTCATCTATCGAATCTACTTCCTTTATATCGAACCCGTCATAGCCCTCGGCGGCGCTTACCTAGCCTATTTCCAATTCGACGATTTTTTAGTCCGCACGACCCCATGGAAGATTTCAGAGCCCTTTATAACCTTCGTCGCAGTCTTCGCATTTCCAAGGCCAGTGGTAAAAACTCCTCTCCACCGACATCGCAGCTCTTTACATTTTACTCGCCATCAACGAAGCTCTGGTTCTGAGACTCACGCGTGATTATTCCGTGTGGGAGGCTGTGGTATTTGCGATGCTTGTGCGTGATATGGGACATCTTTGGGGGGTTTATCTGGTGGATCCGGTGGGAAGCTTGGATGTGGCAGTATGGACGACGAAGCAATCTATCAATAATGGGATTTTAGCATTTGGATTTATTTTGAGATTGGATTCTTGTTGGGATTTGGAAATGGGAATCGGAGAGAAAATCGATGGCATTGACTTATTTGACAATTTTGGAGGATGCATTCCTAAGAGGGTTTCCGAATCTGGACTGCATTCCTGAAGACGAAGAAGTTTTTGACTATTTTTGTTTAGAAGAGACGGTGATTCTATTTTCTCGCCCCTTTCCCCTCTCTATCTCAAAGAATGATAGTAATTTTATTCTATACTTCGGATACTCATTCCGCACTCCTAAAACAAAAGAACGTCAAATCTTCTGCATCCATCATAATCCAAACATCAGTTCCACACCATGAAATATTCACAAAAATATATAGGCTACTTCAATCAAGCTCAAGGGTATATCTCTAATCATTTTGCTTAGTTCGCTTCGCTGCGCTTACAGAATTGCCTTTTTTAATTACACACAAACCACGACTCCTCTGTAAATTCATATCCATTCATTCATCCCGTATCAATATTACCAACCATAAAATATGCTCCTTTCTCAGTAACTCGGATTGATCATCAAACCATTTCATGGTTTCTGAATTAATTAGCATCTATCTTCTCCACTTCAACTTTAGCTTCCTCCCAAGTCTCTTTGTTTTTCTTGGCCCATTCGATTTGAGATCTAGCGTATGCAAGCTATGAAGTTGATTAGTATTGTGAGTCGTACTACATCATGGGTGGTAAGGGATATAAGATACTAAAAATGTGAATACTAACCATATATCTCTTCAAGTCATCCTCTTTCTCCGTTTGGAATCTTTGCAAATCTTTGAGCACACCAGCACTTGCATCTTTTACATCTTGTGCAGATGCTAGTTGAGCCTGCTCCAATTGTGAAATTGCTTCCCTAGTCTTACTAATTTGATCCCTTCGTGTTCGCTCCGGGTCAGCATCAACAACACCATGAACTGCATGACTTATGCGGCCGAAAATCTTATTGGTGATGAAATTTCCACTCGAACTCTTTCTATGAGTAGGGGGTATTTCCTCAGGTTGAGGAATACCTTGTGATGCAGAAGGAGTATCACCATGAGTGGGAGGAAAGTCAGAATCAATCGATGCTGTGTCATCATGTGGTGATTCGCGACTTGATTGTGGCGGTTCTCTCGCAGATGAATTTGACCGCCGTGGAACATTAGCAGTTCCACTATTGCTAAGATATTGGTCGATTCTCTTAGATTCAGCCTCACTTCTTTCCAGTTGTTCTAGAAGAGCCCTTTTCTTAGCCAAGTCCTCGTTGGTCATCTCTTGCTGCACCCTCTTCAAAACGCGATATCTTAAAACACTTCGAACTACTCCGGCAAATTGTGCACTCTCTCGCATTGGTTCGGCAAAACTTGCACCTAAAGAAGCAGAAAGTTCCTCAGTCGCAATGTATGAGGAATCTACAGCTTGACCAACTCTTTCAATAGCTGCTGCAAGAGATGCCGAGGGTTCCGAAAGAGAAAAGCCATTGAATCTAGCGCCAAGTTCTGCCAAATCCGTCGACAAAGAAGACAAATGAGTCAAAGTCCTCCGGTTTACTCGTTCAATAGGTCCAGTCAACAACAATTCTAGATCCTTTGTGGAAGACTCAAAGCTTATGAAGTATGGATCCAAATCTTGTTCACTCAAATTTGCACTTTCCGGTGGGATCCTACCAAAGACTGCTGGTCCGGATTGAGTATGCGCCGCAGCGGAAGGAGTAGCAGCATAATCGGAAGGCTGTGCTATCATACCTTGAGCATTTGTATTTGCTGTAGAAGCCGCCTTGAGTTTCGCCGAGGTTGCGGGTACAGGTAGAAATGCGTGAGCAGGTGTGGGGTTGGCGGGGTCGAGTGGTGGGGCTTTCATGTTGGATTTTGGAATTGATGCGATGGGATGGGAATGTAATACTTCGTTCTAATAGCAGTCAGAGGGAGCATAGCAGTAGAGTGGAAATGGTCAGTGACTCACCCAACTTGCGTTTGGATCTAGAAATCTCCACCAAACCCCATCATTCCGTACCTCATCCATTCTCCTACATCTGTTTAGGAATACAGCCAACATGCGCTTTCGAAGGTCTATGATCTGTTGATCCTGCTTCGCCTTTGTTGGGTTGGCAGCATAATCTGCCATGGTATGCTTCTCCGGAATAGGTGGAATAATCAAAGTAGGGTGTAATCTAGAGAGCGCATCTCTGAGAGACGCAAACTCGGAATAGCGCCGACGAACTTCAAGGTCCTACTGTCATGTTAACTTGTAACATATTACTTAAACTTTAGACATACTCCAGTTCTTATCGTATACACAATGTATTTCCCTCCACTCTCAGAACTCTTTCCAGCATCAACAATCAGAATAGGTAGTTCGGGATTCTCATAGAGAACTTGTTCAATGCGACTATCGTAGCCTCCTTTTTTCTGCCTTCTTGTAGCTTGAGATGCTTCGCCATAATCCTCATCACTCCCAGCCTCACTCGTATCGTAACTTAGGTTGCGCTGATCTGGTATATTATCGTGGTTTTCACTGATGGTCGAAGGAGTGTGCGGCCTGCCAAAATCATGTTCTATAATATCCCAACCCTCCAAGTCAGCACCATCAACCCGAGGATTTGGCGCAGCACCCAAGAAGACAGAAAACATTTTGAAATGAGGAGATCAAAGTTGAAAAGTTGAGAAGAACTTACGAGATCCAGGTGAGTTTGGAATAGCATTTGAGGAGGTTATTGAGTCTCTACGCTCAAAGCTGGTGCCGTATGGATTATTGTCTTCATCGTTCCACATCCTGTACAAATCATATGCTTGCCTCTTTGGGAGATTTTGTGTGAATGGTTAAAGAAAGATTAGACAATCGATTGTAGTATTATGGTGTTGTGGTGCTGTGATGTTATTCACAAATCATGGTAATTGAAACAAACAAGTGAAGGAGCTTCCCTTCCTACAGTTCCCATACAATTGTTGATCACCAGCCTTCCGTCATTGAGATGCACGGACCATATATGAGTCTGAAGTCCCTCACAAGACAAGAAGGAAGGATTATTACTGTACTCAAAGATAACCGTTATAATGTCTAATACTGTAATACTCGAATAGGTAGTTTTTAATGTTTTAATTCATATTTATAAAATCGAATAATCTTTCCAGCCAAGCAAAATATCTACAGTAGTAGCAGAGTACTAAAGAAGAAGTTTGTTCTAATCTGCAGCTTATTTCTATTCTTACATTCCCTCCTCCTTTATCAGAAAACGATCATTAAATACATTCTCACAGATCATTTGAAATGTTACTTTTTCGTCATCATATGATGAGCTTCTTATATGAATGTATATCACTCTCCTTTATCATACTTTTACTTCTAGCATTTACTAGATCTTATCATACTAGTGCTTGCTCACTCCGCTCAAGAATCATCCATACAAAATGTTTCCCATACTACATAAAACCTATCCAAAATAGCACATCCTAAAGACGAATACCCCTTCCTTCAATCTTCCGATAAAGTCAATCAAATGAAGACACCAAAATAAGACTTCTCCCTACTTCTTCGCTAACGAGTTAGGAAGTGACTAGACTAGCATGCGCTTCGGGCCGTTCGGGAAAACCCCTTCTAGTTTGCCCTGCTAGTAATAAATTTTCCAGGTTTTAAGAAGATTACTTAGTCAAATGCTTGCGATGGCCAATTCTAGTATCCCTTACTGTGTGGTTGTTTATTCTTCAGAGCGAAACAAGCGAGGAGACTGGTTGCATTCCTACCTACTCACTTACATTATCATCAAACCACATACATATGCAGACAAGAACAAACCACATACACATGCAGACAAGAACAAAACATTCACACACACATTTCATATATCAAAACACTATCAAGATAATGATTGGAAAATCTTCTTCATTTTCATGTTCATTCTCGTTCCACTACCCAGAACCAACCTCCCTATCATCGGGTGGGATTGCCATGTTCCTATCCTAATACCTAATCCCATACTATTCATCATATCAAATCCAAATTTCTAATTACTTCCTCTTCCCCCTCTTGGGATATCAATATCAGTCATACCATCTCTTTCAATCGGACCAAGCGTTTTCCACCTACGAATGCTTGCCCACATCCTCCACAAGATAAAAAAACATACATTGAAAAGCAAGAGCTATAAAAGACAGAACGCGAAAGAGAAAACACAACGAAGCGGATGAAGGTCATAAGGAAAAGTTGAATGGAAAAATGAAAACTCGGTATTACAACACAATAATTCCTATCCATGCCTATCAATGCACGCAAATCCAAACTCAAATCAACTAGACCACTTTTTCCTCCTCCATAAATCTCAATCAGATATTCATTAATTGCCTGCAACTTCTTCTTCAGCCCAACCATTAAGCCCATGTCCCTGTCCATCAATGCCAAGTCCATATCCACTATTGAAACCTCCATTGCCTAGACCACCTGAAAAGGAATTTTGATATTGATGTCCCCTTCCTCTTGAACCTCCTTGTTGCTCATTTCCATTGCCATCAGGCTGTGCAAAAACAGGAAGAGAAACAGCTCTGCTGTGGCTTCCTCTAGCTGGAGCCAATAATCCATTCATGGTTGGTGCTCCAGAGGATTGGAATCCGTTCGTGTTGCTGATGCTTGCGCTCGAACCATGTCCGCTAGGTTGTGATTGTTGAATGTTTAAATCATCCATGTTTCCACCACCGTACAAAGCAGCTTGTTGAGCTGCGAGGACTTGTTGCTGCTGTTGTTGAAGCGCTGCGACGGAATAGGGGTCGAGGTTTTGTTGTTGCTGTTGAGCTTGTTGGGAAACTTGGTTGAGATACATGGTCAATGGGTTGTTGCTACCAGCATTGAGGATAGAAGATGGAGTAGATCCTTGTTGCTGTTGTTGCTGCTGGTGGAAATTTCCATTGGAGCCATTGATAGAACCTGGAGCCACAGAGCCTGTTGGAGAAGAACCATTCTGACTTGGTTGAAGACCACCTGAATGAGGAGGTGAGTTAACACCATCACCACGAGGAGATTGAGATTGTTGAACTTGTCGTGGAGGATTTCCACATCGATCCTTTCCAAAGTTAACCTTGAATCGACGGTACTCGTCCTTCCCTCGAATAGCTTCAATTGCCTTGATAGCATTTGCGATATTCGTGAAGTTGACAAAAGCGCAACTCTTCTCTCGAAGAGTATTAACCAACTCAATCTCACCATATTCAGAGAAATCCTGTCTCAACCTCTCTTCGGTCCATGATTCATCCAAGTTACCAATGTAAACATTTCTTGATGCTCCACCACTAACAGCAAGAGCAATTGCAGCTGGAAGTGCGCCAGAATGTTTTCCCCATCCAATCTTCAATCTTCTATTGTGAATCATCAATCCTTGCAAGTTGCTCAAAGCATAGAAAGAAGCCGCGGAAGTAGGATCAATGAATGTGACGAAGCAAATATGCTTATCGGGTATATATCGAATGTGATGTAACAGACCGCCTCTAACAACATTGCAAATTTCTTCGATGGTGGTTTCGGGATGGATATTTCCCAAGTAAACAGTTCGGTTTCCAAGGTTGTTGATTCCACCTGCAGTAGTGGCAACGGCAGCAGCAGCTACAGATTGTTGAGCCAAAGCATTAGAAATCAAGTCACGGTCAGCCCCATTGAGAACGTGTGCATATCCTGGGGCAATGCCAAGATATTGAGCAGCATTCTGTTGTTGGGTCTTGGAAACGTATGCGCAACGATCTTTTCCGTAGTAAACCCTACGTGGTGATTGCCATTTTGCCTCCTGAGGTAATTGGGAAACTGCCTTGATAGCATTTCCGATTGACAAGAAGTGAACAAAGCCAATTGCTTTTTCTCGAACAATCTTCACTGTATCGATGGGACCGAATTTTCCGAGATCCTCACGCAGTTCATCCTCTGTGACTTCTTCACCAAGGTTACCCAAATAAACGTTTCTCGAAGCACCCGATTGTTGAACAGCAAGAGCAACAGAAGTAGGTACTTGTGAAGGCTTTCCCCAACCAACCTTGATATCCTGACCCCTAATAGAAAGCTTCTTCAAAATCGCATCGGAATGGAAATGGGTAGCGGAGCTTCCATCTAAGAATGAGATGAAAGCGCAGTTCTTATCTGGCAAAAGTCGAACGGACTCGATTTGACCACTACGAACGTGTCCGAGAATTTCTTCCGCGGACGTCTCAGGAGGAATATTTCCCAAGTAAACTGTTCGGCTCGTTCCAGAAATTAAACCGGGTGACATTTGTACTGGAGAAGAAGGTGCCAAGCTCATATTTTGCATTGCGTTATTCATCTGAGCGTATCCACCAGTTGGGGATTGTGGGTTATAGAATTGAGGCGCGCCATAAGCTGAGGGAGAGACCAAGCTCTGGTAGAGTTGAGGGGACATAGGTCCTGTTGGGCTTTGAGGTTGTTGTTGATTCTGTTGTTGCTGTTGATAAGTCGCATAGTTTTGAAACTGAGGACTTTGGAAGGCGGAAGGAGTCCCTGGTTGGAATGGGCTACCGAGGAGAAGTTGAGAAGGTAGCAAAGGTGTAAATTGCATATCGAACGCGGTGCCAGGCGTGGCCATATCATTATGGCCTTGTTGACCCATGCTCTGTGTATTTATTGAAGGAATGTTCACTCTGCGAGGATGTCTATCACCATAACCACCCATCGAATATTGATTTGAACTGTATGCGCCATGAGAAAAGCCGGTATCGCTGTTGGAGGGCTTCGATGCGTGGCCAAATGGTCTATTTACAGACGTCGCTCCAGATCCACCATTTTGAGCTTGTGACTCCTGCATCCCGAAAAGATGAGGTGGCAGGACAAAGCTGTCCCGCACGAGAGAGGATATTACCGCCGTTTTGAAAGATTAAAGTGTGCCTGCGGAGGCACGTCGAAAAAGTTTTGGTCTTGAAGATTGAATCTATTCAATTGACCAAAGAATATCCAACTGAAGATCAATCTGCCAGAAGTTGTGAGAAGAATGAGTAGATCGAGAAGCTTAAATTTGAAATATTCGCCTGAAGTGAAGATAGGATATGTATTAACAAAGCTAGGTATGTAGATATTCGAGGTTGGCTGGTTGGCTGGAATTGAGAATGTTTGCCGCTATAAACAAATTCTTGTATAGATAGAAATATGAATATTAAAATAGGTTCAGTCTGTATACAAGTATTCGAATCGAAAAGAGGAAGTCGTCGATGTGAATCACCGTAAAGTATCTATATGGCAGATGTTCGAAATGTTGTGTTGTTGTATCGAAGGAGTGAAGGTCTGAAGATTGAGTGAATGCTCGAAGGACTTGCTCTTTTTACTTTGACCGCAGGATTCCAATCGAAGTTGATGGTCGGTCGATGCGGAGGCAAAATCGGGAAGGTCTAAAATAAAAGCTTCAGAATATCTGGTCGATGCAATGAATGAATTCGATGCAAGGTTTTGAGGGGGTTGTATAGAGGATATTGGAACAATAGTAACAACAAAGAAGTTTTGTTTAAAAAAGGAGGTGAACTTTTCGTCAAGCTTGGGGATACTTCAGACGAATCGATAAGGACTGTTTGAATTTCTTTTTCTCTCTTCTTCTTCTTCTTCTTCTTCTTCTGCTCTCTCTTCTCCTTCACATACACACTTCTCCTTCTTCTTCTTCTTCTTCTTCTTCTTCTTCTTGTCTCTTCTCTCTTGAATTGATCAATCAATCTATCAATCAATCAATCAATTGAACCTCTCGTCAGTATTCCGAGATCAAGAATTGGAATTGTGAAAGATAAAAAAAAAAGGGGAATGCCAAAAGTAAGTCCGCTTTTTTTTAATCTCTCTCGGAGATGGGAACTTGTGGGTGGAAATGATCTTTAAAAGAATGTATTCAAATTCAAATGAATTAACCAAAGATGGAATAAGAATTGGAATAAAAATCTACGGAAAAGGAGTAAAAATGAAATTGAATAATTTTATAAGAGAATTGTGAATTGTTCAGAGCATAAGAAAAGAGTCAAAGTAATGTAAAAGTAATGAAGGGAAGAGAAGAAGCGTTGAGAAAGGAAAGAGAGTGGACAAGTTAGGATGGAATAGGATGGAATAGGATGATGAACATGAATAAGGAAGGGAACAGGAGGAAATAATGTGGTAGGGATTAGAGGGGTCTCTGATGTTGCATTTACATTGGGTAGAGTTTGCGGTGGAGAGATGACAATGACTTGAATAATTCAGGTCATTAATTACTAGGTAGGTAAGGCAGCCAGTCAATCAAGTTGAGCATATATTGAGTGATGTTCTCAATTTTGACCAATGAAAGAAAGATCATGAGAGATCATAACCCATGCACCAGAGGAGGGATTATTCATTTCAATTAGCACCAAATGTAGTTTAGTCCTCAATTTAAATGGGGAGAGTATTGGGATAGGATTGGGATAGTATCATCAATATACATACGATAGCTCCTTTCCTATAATTGATTTCCCGCTAGTACCTTTCTTAGCTTCTTAGCTTCTTAGCTTCTTAGCTTCTTAGCTTCTTCGCTCCTTAAACAGATCAACAAGTCGTGTGCTTGCTGCTACTGTGGTAGTTTGCCTTGAAGACGGCTGCTTTGTAAATAGGCACTGCGTATTTATTTATTCTATAGCATGATCATGGAAAGATATATTGGTTGTACAACATGAGAAACATGAGAAACATGGAGAAACACCAGAGACATCACAAACATCAGAAACATCTCATCAAACATCATCAGATGAAATCTTAAATCTCTTATTCGAGATATGATGAAACAGCAGCATGAGAGCAAGTTATTCATCCATTCTCCTCTCCCCATGAATCAATAAAAATGTCAAAGATATCTATCTATCCATACGCACGCAATAAGGCGAGGCGCTGCAATCCCAAGGCCCCCCCTATCTCGGACCCTTAAACGCGGACAACTACCTATGTATCATTCAAGTACGTACTCTAGACTACCAGGAATTAAGGTACTTGTGCTATGGTATCTTTATCGAGCGTCATGATATCGAATCATTCTTCACGTCAATCATCACTCATCACTCATCAATTCCTAGGTAAGATGTGGGATCCTTTACAGCCGCGGTGCATATGTTAGACATTATCAGCAATCCAAACATAGATCCAACTATCCCATCCACATATAACAAAGAACTCTGCCTCTTTCATCTTCTCAGCACGCACTCTACTCTGTCGATACCAAAATTAATATTCCATCAACTACACCAGCCGACACTACCTAGGTATGTTCTAGACTTGAGCACCGCATAAATATCCTCGCTGAGCAAAATCCATCACATCTAAATCTACAATCTATAATTCGTAACCTTACAAAACACAAACTTTACGAGTAAACTATGGAGCAAGCAAGCAGAACAGCACATCCACATCCACATCCACACATCCACACATCCACACATCCACTCCATAATACGATATGCATCAATGGAATTGGATCTCGCATTGAATTCGTGGTTCATCATCATTCATCAATTCAGGGTCCAGCTCCATCAGCGATCTTCCCACTGCATGCGATAAGAATAAATCTTTTCATTTCTACCATTTTTATTTTTCAAGATCTTACCATTCATTCATTTTCTACCCACCCACCGACCGACTTTTCCATTTCCCTTACCCATTTCCTGTGTGATCGATCATGCGAGCACCAAAAAGATTGATATTCTCCGATGAATACGGTAATGTATCCCCATTCATTTACGAGTGTCATTTCCATAACTTCCATCGTATTTATTTTCAATTCCCAACAAGTCATCTCCTCAGTCTCCTCAGGTTCATCCAATGATTGATGGATGGATGGATGGATGGATGTGAATAATTTCATAAATTCGTCTCATTTCTTTCCCCTCGCTCTCCCCCTTTCAGCCCCAACTTTATGCAAACTCAAAGAACAGATCTCCATATCAGACTGCGGCCCCACGTCCCATTTTTGGCTTCTGCTATCCGTTATATTTATTATATTCCCTGAATACAAGTGTATGAGGTTACTGCATTTAAGCGCCAGAAGATTTAGCGAAGATTTATTCAAGTATTCTATCATATGCATTTAAGTATTAGTTGTTCTAGGTACGAGTGCGGTACGAGTACGGTACGAGTCCTTGAGTATTGCTGATATAATTAATATTCGTGCCCACTTAGTAATTACAGCCCTGAACTTATTCCCAAGATATAAGGTTAAGATCGTACATATATCATTTATCTTTTCATTTATCTTGAGATGTACATTGGATAGGAAGAAGTACATTGGAGAGTTCAATCAATGTTCAACGTCCTCTTAATCCCTTACATCTCAACGCCTTTATTTGACTTGACCATTTTGATCGTCGAATCAAAGCACAACTTTAGTACCTAGGTACGCATAGGTATGAACTGATAACTAAGAATACATCTGATCGCATCCAAACACCTAACTATATATCTTGGGAGTACTAGTCTCAGCTACACAGACACAAACTTTCATCCCTCATTCCTCATCCCTCCATCCTTTCCTAATGATCCCTCATAATCTAACCTATTCAGTCCCTCTACCAGCCTTCCATCCTTCCAGAACAAATGAACAGATAGACAAATCCCACAGCCAGCCAGCCAGCCAGCCTGTGTGAGTGTATCACCATCCCATCCCATCACGTCCCATCTAAAAACTATCCATCAAACACCAAACACTAAACACAAAGTCCCCCCCTCCTTCCTTCCTTCCTTCCTTCCTACCCATAGTCCTCCCACTACTTCATCCAAGCAATCGCATAAATAATATACGTCCAAGCGGTCATATCTACCTGCTATCTATTACCTAGTACCTACTATTTATTACCTATTACCTATTACCTACTACCTACTATTTATTATCTATTATTTACTATCTACTACCTATTATTTATTATCTACTATCTACTACCTACTACCTACTATCTACTACCTACTACCTACTACCTACTACCTACTACCTACTACCTACTACCTACTACCTAATAGTGTGAAAGTAGTAGGTCGAGATACGTGCGTCCCAATAGCACGCTGTAAAAAGGAATTGAAAGAGAAAGCTAAATTAGAAATCATATCATAATACATCACTTATAGAAAAAACGGAATTCACAATGGTTTTAGGATTGATACTATATAGATTCAAATATATATATATATAGAAGATTGATTATTGTAGAAAGAAGAAGTAAAAGCTTTCCCTTTATATCTAATTACAAAGGGTCATATAATTGATTGATTAAAAACCTCTATGTATCTGGCCTATAATTCCAACTTTCTCATAATAGATAAGTATTAATAAAACGACCATCTATCCTACTATCCGACTACTCCATCCACCACACCACACCACACCACACCACACCACAGACCCCGACTCAAACCTAAAAGAAGAAAAAAGTCACACAAATGCATCTAAAATCGACCCCAAAACTACTATCTTAAATTTCTCAAGTTTGAGTTTGAGTTTGCGCTTGAGCTTGAGCTTGAGCTTGAGCTTAACCCTAAAGGGGGGAAATTCGAAATTCAGGCTCGAAATCCAGGCTGTGTGAAAATTTTCTTTTCTTAAATCATTGTGATTTTTGTAATTAGTAGGGAGTTGAGTGAGTTTATTAGGTGAGATGATGAGATGAGATGAGGGTATATGTACTCTTATAATGCTTTTTATCTTTGAGGGGTTCTTTTTATCTTGATGATATTATAAGGTTATACATCTATTCTATCTATTTAAAATGAATGCTTAGGTTCATATGGAAGTTAATCTCTACCGACGTCGTCTTAACATTTCCTTCCTTTACTTTAAAGAAAAGACCCCGTGCCAATCTAACCATTCATTATTTCGTATCTTGATTGAACATTCAAATCACATGCATGTAAAATCTTCCATGGGTAGAAAATCAAATGATCTATCATTCTTTCATGTATCACTCTACTAAAACGTAAATCTGCTTGTTCTACTACCAACACCACTCATCCCAACCACGCAAGTTTATTCATTTATCAATCGGTAAACGTTTTTCTAAGGCTTGCAACGACCCATGAATCTTGGGTACAAACAACATGTACGAACTGAATGTTGTTTACAGATCCAAGCAATGAATCTCTCAAGACCTAATCCGTAACCACCATGAGGGGATGTACCATACCTATCTATTGTTAGTTTCATTCATTCGAGACGTATGTTAAAATGGAAAGTGGAGAATGAAATAACATACTTTCTCTGTTCAGTGTACCAGTAGTATTCCTTAGGACTGATTCCCTCTCTCTCATAAGCAGCCATTAATTCTTCATAACCTTCCATTCTCATACTACCTCCAACAATCTCACCAACACCTGGCATCAAAACATCAACACTCTCCGTAACTCTTGGATCTTGAGGATCTTTCTTCATGTAGAAAGCTTTGATTTCAACTGGGAAATGCGTGAGAAGAATAGGCAAGTTAATGATATCAGTCATCCTCCTCTCGGCTGCCTCAGCAATATCATCACCGAATACATGTGGGTTGCCCTCTTCGTTAAGGATTGGGGGATCTTGAGCGTTAAGCCAGTCAATGGCATCTGAATAGCGCATGCGTTTGAATGGACGAGCTGGAGCTTGGAACTCTGGGTTAAGTTCTTTGATATATCCGGCAATTTCTGGATCGGCCATAATTGTACCAATAACGGTGCTGATCATCTCCTCCAAATGATCGAGAAGGTCCTCAAAATCAATAAAATCTAATTCAGCCTCAACGTGTGTGTATTCAGACAAATGACGACGGGTCAGTGACTTCTCAGCACGGAAGGACTTTTCGATACAGTAAACGTTGCCAAGACTTGGAATACCGGTCTCGAGGTAAAGTTGAGATGATTGAGTAAGGTATGTCTTCTCTCCATAGTAATCTAATTCAAACAAAGTGGAGCCTCCTTCAACTTGTGTTTGAACAAATGCAGGTGGACTAATCTTGGTGAAGTACATCTCCTTGTATGCCTTTGCGAAAGCCCATTCGACAGCGGAACGAACCTTCATGACTGAAGAAGCAGTATCCCCACGGAGGACAAGATGACGGTTGTCCAACATTGAAGACTCCCATTGATCTTGTTGATGAGAAATTTTGTTGGTGATAGCATCAGCATCAGATGGAGATCTGCCAATAACTTTGTAGTAATCAACGTGTAATTCGCGGTCATCTGGAGCTGATTGACCAGCAGGGACCTTTCGCATTTCTCCGTAAAGGGTTAGAGAAGTACCCTGTGCGAAAGTAAGAGCATCATATGTCTTGGTAAGATCGCCTTGCAAGATACATTGTAAATGACCATATCCATCAACCAATGTAATGAACGTGGCTTGTTTTTGTTCCCTCAATCTGTGAATGCGACCTGAAACCTTGGCACGAATGCCCTTCTTTTCGCCCTCGCCCAATTCAATATCTTTACGTCCAATCTTAATCTTAACTGCTGCGGGTAATGAAGTATCTTCGGTAAGAATAATCTTTTTCGAATCCTCGAGTGTCTTGAGTCTGGCATCATCCTTCTCCTTCTCTGCAGCAGCCATCTGTTGTTGTTTCACAAGCTTCTTCTTGTGTGCATCCAAAGCATTTTGAGCCTTTTTGATGGCAGCTTTAGCTGGTTCCTTCCATACCAATCTCTCTGCTGGATCTCCATCTGCACTAACGGCACCGGTTGTCGAGGCTCTCGATTGATATTTTCCTCCCTCGCTACCACCATGTTGAATATATGCATATGCTAAAGACTTATATGGTTTGCTTTCAGCACCGGTTGCTGTTTGATCATCTTGACCAACATCGGTGTCAATGTAGATTGCGTCCATCTTTGTTCTCTCTGCAAGTTCTTGAAGTGCGGCCATAGTTGTCGCGTGGTTTGATAATGACTGTTCAAAATTGTTTGGGAATTTTGAGGGGGAACGTGGGTAGGTGGGGGGATTTATCCTCAGCAATGGCCAGCCAATTGGTGAGTCAGATGGCCAATAGGTGAGTCAGAAAGGGAGGGACAACTTGGTGGGAGGAGAAAGCTGGAAATCTGGCTGATAAGGTTGATAAGGGATAAATTTACTGGGTGTGTTCTGTATCAATTTAGGGGACGGGATCTATTAAACTGACCAGGTACCAAAAAGTAATCTACGCGGTAGCTAACAATAATCTACGCGTAGGTAGCTTGAATGTTAGTAACGCGACCGAGTGCCTAGAATTTATTAGAGATCAATGATAGATTTTGATGAAAATGAGTGTTAATACGAATAGACAGAACGTGGACCCCGCCAGTTCAAACCATATATTGTATGTATCGTATGTATCGTATGCAAATGAACTTATAAGGTTACTTGTTCAGTTCAAATAGTTATATACAATAACGCCTATAAAGCTATAATTCACAACAATCCCAAATTCCTCGCCTCTCCTTGACATTACTCCCTGTTGTACACAAACATCGATACCTACCGCCAATTGGCTAAAGTATTTCAATTCCCCTGCAGCCACACAAGTAGACATTGTGGCTTCACGGAGGCTTCTTCTTCCTGTGGTGGGCAACCTACACGCTTCTCTATTCATCCGATCGGTTTGCGCAATGCCTCCAAAGCAGGCCACACTGGGGTATGTTAAAGATTCACAAACTACGTTGGGGTTCGTTCTTTCCTAGCATGTAGGAATGATTTGGCTGATGGTTTTATGATGAAAGCAAGTTCTTTGGCCAACCTAAGGGTGCGCCTGCGAAGCAATCGAAGCTCTCTTTTTCTTCCAAGTCGAACTCAAGCAAGCCGCCGACAAGCTCCTCATCCGCTTCAGAAGAGAATCAAGATGTGGAGATGAAGGATGGGGAGTCAGATGTCGATACCAAAGATACAGTCAAAAAGGAGGAAGCATCTGATGCTAAGGGAAAAGTAAAGAAGGAAAATGTAAAGCAAGAGAAAGGTAAGTCTATGCAGGTAGCTAGAGCGCATTGAGTCCAAAAAGCTAAGAAGATCCGCAAACGCAGGTGTTAAGAGGTCGAGGTCGCCCAGTCCGAAACTCTCGGCCAAGACTAAAGCTATAAAACTCGATGAAGAAGTCAAGGAAGAAGAGGATGAGGACGAGGATGAAGAACCGGTTGTGAAGAAACCTCGAAGAGCTCGAAATGCTCAGGTAAAAGAGAAGAAACCTTCACCAAAGACCACCGCCACAAAACCCAAGATCAAATCTGAACTAGAGTCATCCCCAAAAGAAGACGCCTCGAAAAATTTGTCACCACCGCCAAAGCGTGGTAGGAAGGCTAAAGTGGTAGAGGAAGGAGACGAAGACGAAATTGAGGGAACCGCGCCATCACCGAAACCTGCAAAACGTCGAGACTCAAATGTATCTAAATCGGCTTCAGAATCAGAAATTGAGGAGGACTTGGAATCCAGTGGAGACGAGAAACCGGAAGTAGCTGCCAAAGCTAGAGAGAAGATCCAAACAACATTAAAATCCAAGGATAAAGACCCATATCCGGATTGGAAAGCAGGAGAGCCAGTACCATATGCTGCTCTTTGTACAACTTTCTCCTTGGTAGAGATGACGACTAAAAGATTGATTATTACGGCTCATTGTTCCTTATTCCTTCGTCAAGTACTTCGTCTCACCCCTGATGATCTTTTACCTACTGTTCTTTTGATGATCAACAAATTGGCTGCAGATTATGCTGGAATTGAGTTGGGTATCGGTGAATCATTGATCATGAAGGCTATCGGAGAATCAACTGGACGAAATTTGAGCGTTATCAAGAACGACCAGAAGGAAATCGGTGATCTTGGACTTGTGGCAGTCAAGAGTAGATCAAATCAGCCGGTGATGTTTAAGCCGAAGCCATTAACAGTCAGAGGTGTTTTGAAGAGTCTGATCGATATTGCTACAGTGCAAGGCAACGGCGCTCAGGGCCGGAAGGTTGATGGCATCAAGAAGTTACTTTCCGCGGCAGATGCACATTCTGCAGGTAAAGTTGACATAACTAAGGATAAAGGTGGGGCAAGCGAAGCAAAGTACATTGTTCGTTTCCTCGAGGGAAAACTTCGTCTTGGATTGGCGGAGAAGACTGTTCTCGTATCTCTGGCTCAGGCGATGGTATGTCATGAGGTTGAGACAAAAGGATCTGGCAAGGTTCCAAGTACAGAACAATTGGCTAAGGGAGAGTCAATATTGAAAGCTGTTCACAGGTACGTTTGGTTTTCTGATAGATGATATAGCTACTAACGAAATTTAGCTCCCTTCCTAGTTACGATGTGATCATTCCAGCAATGTTAGAGCATGGAATCTTTAACCTGAAAGATAACTGTAAGTTACAACCTGGTGTACCATTGAAGCCTATGTTAGCCAAGCCTACAAAAGCAATCACGGAAGTTCTTGATCGATTTGAAAATCAAACATTCACTTGTGAATACAAATATGATGGAGAAAGAGCTCAAATACATTATGTCGCTAAGGATTCTCCTAAACAATATCTTGGTGCTACTCCAGCTGCAGCAAAACCTTCTGCAGGTGGTCTCGCTGCTATATTCTCGCGAAACTCTGAGGATCTTTCCAAGAAGTATCCGGATATTCTTGGCAAATTAAACACATGGGTGAAGGAAGATACCAAGAGTTTTGTTCTTGATTGCGAAACTGTTGCCTGGGATATGGTTGAAAAGAAAGTCTTACCTTTTCAACAGCTCATGACACGAAAGAAGAAGGATGTCAAGGTTGAAGATGTTAAAGTCAAAGTCTGTGTATTTGCTTTCGATTTGCTTTTCTTGAATGGTGAAGCAGTTGTTGAGAAATCATTAAGAGAGCGTCGTGCACTTCTCCATGAGGCTTTCCAACCTGTTGAGGGCGAATTTCAATTCGCTACCAGTATGAATGGTCAAGAAATTGATGAGATCCAGACATTCTTAGACGAGAGTGTTAAAGCATCATGTGAGGGACTGATGGTAAAGATGTTGGATGGTGCAGAGAGTGGTTATGAGCCTAGTAAGCGAAGTAGGAATTGGCTGAAGGTATAATTTTCCCTCATTCATATTCTTTTTCCTTTCCCTTGGTACTAACATTCTCCTCAGATCAAAAAGGACTATCTCTCTGGTATCGGCGACTCCTTAGATCTTGTGGTCCTAGGTGCCTATTATGGTAGAGGAAAACGTACCTCTGTCTATGGAGCTTTCCTCCTCGCCTGTCATAACCCACAAACCGACACTTACGAAACTATCTGTAACATTGGAACAGGGTTCAGCGAACAAGTTCTTGAAGAACTTCACGCTCAACTATCTACTATCGTCATCGACCGCCCTAAACCCTTCTACTCCCATTCATCAGGAAATCAACATCAACCTGATGTATGGTTTGAGCCTAAATATGTATGGGAAGTTAAGACAGCTGATTTAACGTTAAGTCCAAGATATAAGGCAGGATGTAAGGAAGTTGTCGACAAGGGTGGAGAGAAGGGTATTTCATTAAGATTTCCAAGATTCATCAAAATTCGAGATGATAAGAAACCCGACATGGCGACGAGTAGTAGACAGGTGGCGGAAATGTATAGAAATCAGGAGAGTGTTACAAAGAGTAAAGGACCGAGTGTTGATGATGATTTTGAGTATTAGCGCTGAAATAGAAGAAGTGGGGGGTAATTGGCTGGCTATGTGCTAGTTATAGAATTTGCGAATTGCGAACAGCCGCCGTTGAAATAGGTGGTCACCAATCGACGGGGCATAGGCGCTAGGGAGAATATACTCGCATTGTACGATATGAGATGAGATAAGATGAGCTTTGCAATATAGCTTCCTAGAGTGATAGATACTTGCAATATTATCATGCTAGCTTTATAATAATGCTAGTTATATATCTAGCTAACTCAGCCGAAAAGCATATACATATACATATATATCCCATCTCAACAAACTTTTTTGTGTCCGCGTGGCGTATTGGTCGCCATCAAAAAGATTTGTGTGGTTATTGAGGAGATTTCTAGTTCAGATACGGATAGATACTACTTTTCTCGATAGAATTGATACATTGAGACTATTATAAATATACAGTGTTCTCTGTAGTTAGTATTCAGTATTCGTTAAGTAAGATACCTATTCATGAGCTAGCTATTAGTATTCCTTTCTTATATTTTCAAGTTATAATTAATCTAAGATTACCTGGTAGGTAAGTAGACGAGTATTGGTATATACGCATATATAATCTTACATTAGAGTGTGTGCTACAATTCCGTCGTCTGTATTATCATAGTAATTATATCATACATAGCATAGCATAGCACTATCCCAAACCATTAAAACCCACCCCCGCCGGTCCTCTTCAAGCTTCCCGCCCGTCCAAGTATGTACCCACGTATGTTTATCCCGAATTCCAATCCCAAATACCGCTATAAGATCAAAGTTGCCAACGCCTTTACAATTACAATTACAATTTCACTCCTTCCCTTGTTTTCCCTGCTTTCCAACCCTCTTGACCTCTCCTCCTAATCCCTCAATCCTTTCTCCTAACTGTTCACCGGCATTTCCTAATAGATGACCTGCTTCCTTATTCACGTATTCATTTGTATTTTTAGTTTTTTCCGTTAGATTACTTCCCATTGCTGTTGCGTTACCAGTTGCTTCTTTTGTTGTTGGTAAATTAGCATTCGTTTTCTCTCCTACGCTTTTGACTCCGTCGATTACTTTTCCAGAAACGTCTTTTGCGGATTTGGAGATGTTTGTAGCGGAATATTGAGCCGTGGATGTAAGATTTGAGCTAGTTTCGCGAGCGGATTGGAGAGTGCTTTCACCTGTTGCTCTGAGACTATGTAGCGCATTTTCGCCTTTTTCTCTGGCTTTCGAAGCTAGGTCTTCGCTGTTTTCGATTACTTTTTCTTTTGCTTCGCTTATTATTTCTTTTGGTGAAGGGGTGCGATTCAGTAGACGTAAGACCGTGAAATAAAGTGAGATGATTAGTTCATGAACACGGTCTTTGACAATCATTGTTAATCCATGGCCGAGGAATCCTTTGATGATCTCTCCTCCGATACCCTCGTACAATCCTCCTAGTCCTTCTTCTTTATAAATCTTGAGTATTGAGTGTATTATGGTTCTTCTCCTCGCTTGTTTGGAAACATCTGCCAGGTGTTTTTCTGCTTCTTTCGCAGATTCCCTGGATTTATTCCTTGTTGCATCTTTTACATCCCCTGAAAACTTCTCGACACTTTCCTTATCGACTGGGCTCGAAGAAGAAGATCCATCGACTTGTGCTCGAGCCTTAGCTAGACTGACGGGGTACGTAACGCTACTCGCAACAGCCTTACTAACGGCCGCCAATAAGAATGTTATCCGCGCCCCCGGATCATCGCGTTTATTTCTCGGTACCAGTACTCGTTTGAGAAACTCGTATAAGAAGAATGTAAGGCTCGGATTTAGAGTAAGAATTAAAGAAGCACTATAACCAGACCAGAAACCAGCGATGCCCTTCTTCTCTCGTATATCTGATATTATGGAAGATATAGTGGGAGCCTTTGAGCCAGCAGCGGAAGTCATGGAATGTGTTTGCTTTCGTACGACGATATTGGACAAAGGAGTAGTGAAGAACTTTGACAATCCGCCAGCTAACGCGCCAACACCCAATTCTTCTAGCGCTGGAAGAGTAGCTTTGGAGGATGAATTGTGGGATCGTAATCGTTTCGATCGAATGTATCCATAGAAGAGGAAAAAAAGGAAAGAATCCGCGATAGATTTCGATGTATCTTGTAGAACTCCACTGTAAAATGCAGCGATCCCTCCTTCTTCATGGTAAATCTTGTCAAAAGCATCTGCGAGTGACGTATATTTTTGCGTTTTGGGGGTAATTGAAGAAGAGCTGTTTGCGAGGGTTCTTTGAACTTGGAGACGCGTTGTTATGAGATCGAGAGGATAGATGCAGAGATTCGAAATGGCAGTTCCGGTTGCACCACTTATGGCATGGCCGAGTGCTGGAAGAGCTGTTGAGGTAGTAGAAGATGAAGGGGTATCGTGATACTGGTGATACAATGTAAATGCATCCTATAAATTATTAGTGTCGAGTTGGAGGAGGTAAACGGAGGGATGTACAAGTTGGCTATTGTATATGTTTGCCATGGTTATTCTCCCAAGTCAAAAGTACTCTGGTACTCTGCGAGAGTCTTGGTATTATCGTGTTGTTGTAATAGATAGTTGTGTATGTAAGATCGATAAAATCAATAAAAACATGACATTGTTTTGAATTTGAGGAGAAATAAATGAAGTTTTGACGTATTTAAACCGACATGTGAGATGTAGGTTAGCATTTACGTCATACCTCAGTGAACAAAGGATGGAAGCCCTCCCTTGTTAACCTTAATTACCCCAGATTATGCTTATATAACATTGACCTAATCACCAATGTAACCGCATCCGTACCATAAACCTGTCATATTTCAATATTAGAGAACCATAATGACAACCATGATGCACCAAAACAATTATGCCAGACTAAACAGTGTCGCAAGAATACCATCCTCAGACTACCATCCTCAGAGTACCATCCTCAGAATACCCCTTGTAGCAATTTCAATAGAATCGCTCTCTGCGCATGTTTTCTTGTCTTTCCCTCTACTGTGTGTAATGTTTTGTCCTCCATACTGATTCGCGGCTGTTTCTCTGATTCTCCAGTCATCTCCTCTATCATCAATTCTCAAGTGAGGTGACCGCATCATTGTGCTATGGTGGCCATACTGGTGATTGCGTTCGGAGTGTGGGACATAGTAATCTGTGTCTGGTTTGGTCAAGTAACCAACCACATAGGGATTCGTATGGAATTTGATCTGGGACCCGCGATCAACATTTCGGATCTCGTTAGCCCAGAAGATTCAGCTATACACGCAAAGCACGTTCAAGTTTTTACTATCCTGCAGAAACAATAGTTTTTGAGATCAAACAGGAGTGCATCAAGGTAGGTGCATTGTCCGTCTGCCAACGCCTTCGTCAAAGTCAGCATTGTGGCCTTGCACTAAATCCATTTTTAGTTTTAGGCTTGTGAGATCCTCTTGTCGCCATAGCCTTTCCCGTAAAAATACCTTAGTCTTCTCTTATTCAGTTTCTTCATAGTCTTTACTAAAACTTACATTCAATCCCGAATGAGCCGGGTTCATTCTCATTTCATCTCTATAAAATATTCTGTTTTAACAAGTCAAATTAGACTTTCGTCTCGGATGATACTCTCGAAGCTGTACCACAATCGGTAACTCCAATATCTATTGTCTCAGTATTCGCATCGGGTTCTTCCTCAATGGTATGCCTCACATTTTGCTACAAATACGATTATTACCATCCAAATAAGCATAACTTGGAATGAGATTACTGAAGTGACGAATTTAGCTGGGGGCGGACGATTGATTCCTTTTCTGATTAGACTGGAATCTTTACTTAGGGTTTGCCTTATTGCGGCGAGGAAATGAAAGGCCATTTCTGGTAAAGATGGTTGTTCATGAAAGGACTGTGTCAGGTGCTGTTGATGGTTTTCATATCAAATACCCTTTATTGTAACTATTCGATGCCTCTGGCTGGAATTCATTTAACTTCACACGTCAAAACAAAGAAGGATTTTAATGATGATCAGCTGTATTACCATCTAGTTCCAGAAAGCAACTAGCTTACTTGCTTTAGCTTCTTCGCCTCTTTAGAAGATTATCTTCTCTTCATCCTCTCATGTTAAAGAATTTTAGTCTAGATGTATGGAGATAATGGCGGTGATAACAAGTGCTCGAAGCAACTGAAGATTTTGTTGTTTGTGGTGCGGGTCTGCATGGTCTGTAAGAGAGGATTTTGCAGCAAGTTAATGAAAGACGTAAGAATTATCTTTTTTCAACAAGGAAGGATAGATCTGCAGCTTTACTTATTGGTGGAATAAGGGAAATTGGAGTATATATACTTCAGTTTTTCCCCAATCAGAGGGATGATATACAGATGTTTTGTCAACTTCGCATCCGAACTAATTTGAACAATTGGCTGGTTGCGGAACCCGTCGTTTGATACAAGCTCAGTACAATCAGGGAAAGTTCAGGAACGGACATAAATAACAATCATGGCCCAACATTCAGCATCCAATTCCAACGGTATGGGCTTCAATCAAAATCACCACCCGCTCCCTGCAATTCCTATTAGGCTTCCAAACGAACTGTGGCAAAGACACTAGCTCAATGATCTTGCTACAGATGTGACTGCGACTTTGGAAGCGACGCCCGGGGAAATACTAGTACCAGATTTTTCTTCAGCGAAAGCAGTCTCGGACGCAGTCGCTTGTTGCAATAATCTTCCGGTCGGATGCTATTTCAACATTTTCGCAACTTCGATAATCGACAGGAGGTCATAAATAATTTGGATGCCATTGGACAGCCCGAAACAGGTTCTACTCTAGGATACCATGAAACTACTCGACTCTTAACTCGGCACTCCGTAGTGGATTTCATTCAACGTCACCCGAATTTTAAATACATCTTATATGCGACAGTCACGGTGGAGATCACAATCCCACCAAATTCTGACCAGATATCTCTTTTGCCGGCAAGACCGGACGGAACTACTAGGTTGATGGTACATTGGCTTTGCGATTTGGATGATAATGGAATGAATGCGAAGATTTCCAATGTCTTAGGTCTATCTCCAGAAGTTATCGGACCTGAAGCATCGTTACCGTTTGGTATTAGACCTTTCAATGTCTATGTTGCCTCTGTAGTGAATAATTGATTGGGGTATCTTTTGAAGGAGAGGAGGTTGTTTCATTGGCGTGGGGGAGGTGGGGGCGGGCAGCGACTAGAATTTCGACCCAGACAGGAAGGCATGTTTCGTGGTGATCGAACCCTAATGAGAGCATCAATGATAACACTAACATTAACTGGTATGCTGCTGCTACTTTGTGATGGAAGACAACTTTATTTTATAACTTTGATATCTCGTTCTTCGCCCAGAGTAGTGCTTTAGCACTCGCTTAATTTATCAACCTTCTACCTGGAAGATTCTTATTAATAGCTAACTCGAGTCCCATCACCTACCTAACACCTCAAAGAAATCCGTCACGTATCATATTTTGTAGGGTGTCTCTATCTTCTCGATCACACATTAGCGCGTTCTACCCTTTATGAACAAAAAATCAAATATAATTTAAGTTTAATGTGGATAGTGATGGGCGGAACAAAAGCACGCCGAGACAGGTCCCCTTTTAGCAAGAAAACAAAAGCAACTAGCACATCTACTTTCAGTCCAGCACATTCTAAAGCACCGAAAGTCTTCAATGCTGTATCTGGAATACATAGATCCAAAGAAAGGCTGTCTGACGGAAATTACAGTTCAGAATTTGACGATCTCAGCTCTCTCAATGAGTAAAATTCTAATACCACCATCTCATTCTCTGTAATAGAATATGGCATTGGAGGTTGCACGGTTTCATCTCATGCTATTAAAACTCATGACTCTGAGTCGCTCATGATGACGATGGAGACAATATTAATTGTTTGACAGAGTCGGAAATTCAAAGTATATCTTTTGCATCGGTGATACTTTTTATTTGCCCTCTCATATTTCACGATAATATCCACGCTGAAAATCAATCTTTCTATCGAAAATAATGCAGCCTACCAACTTCATTTCTGTCTTCCTATGAGGCTATCCTAGCCCTCAGTCCCTCACCTCCTAACATACCTATTCCTCAACCCCATACCACTCCCACCTTTCTTTCTTTCCTCCATCTCTAATTCCTCAGCAGCCTTCACATCTCTCATCTGTCTTTTTTCAATCGTCTTTTTTCTCTTTCTCTCTCCACTATATGACCTCACCACAAACCTCACCGCATATACCTCCCCCTTTTCATTCTGAACAAGGTTAAATGGCCTTAAATGTACGCGTCGAAGTTGTTCGAGCATTATTTGTGCTTTAGCTAGTTCAGATTCTATCAGCCGCAGCTCGTTATGCTTTTTTACTATCAAGTGGGATATTTCGAGCTCGATTTGATCGCTAATATTGGTTGTAATGGTTTTAAGGGCCGGATGTTGGGCACTATTAATTTTCGTATTTGAGGTTGAATGGTGTGGTATCTTTGATGGAGATAGTACCAGGTTCTGAATGTTAAAGGCAGTGATTGGTGAGTGGGTGGAAGCTGGAACTGCATCTTCATTCTGACGACCATTTTCCTTCAGGACAATGGCCAGTTTTGTACCATTAATATCCGGCGCGTCGCTCATTTCAACATCCACTGCTCCAATCCCAACATCATGATTAGCAGAAAATCGACCCGAGTTAGATGGTTGCTGAAAATGCGTATATGGATGCTGAAGAGGTCCTCGTACCGAAGGGCGTCCCTGTGGCGAGGATGATATCTGTGGCCTCTGAAGACGACCCAAGAGATTGAAATTAAGACTCGTCTGATCTCTCAAAAGCTTTTGTGTTCCCCCTTCAAGAGCATTCAAGTCCGGACCAAATTTCCCAAGTTGTTCGGTCTTGGTTTCTGCTCTGGAAATGCACTCTTTTGAGCTATTTTTGTTTTCAGGGAGTTTATTGGTCGAAGACCCAGTTGAAGCATTATTTTTGTGTGATTGGTAAGATGGGATTTCGATTGTAAATAATGGACGCATTCTGTGTGAGAAAGCTGATGTTTGATGCAAGCTGAGCATAAGAAGCTTTATTTTATTTCGTTATAGGAAGAGAAACCCCAGACTCGAGAATCGGTTGCGATCCTTTATGAAGAGTAAGGTGACATGTATTGCTGGATGTTTATTGATGAGTGATCGTGCTTGCATACCATTCCACCTAGAGTCGATCTGACTTGAGATATTGTTGCATCTAGAAAATAACAATTATCTCGCTTCAGAATATATGACGCCGAGATCCATAACGATACGGCTTTGAAAGGTATTGTTTAAGTGTGAAAAAAGAATAAAAACCATAAACAAAACTAGCCTGTTCCTGAAAAAAAAAGGGTATCTATAATCACAATACGGTGAGAAAGTGAATCATTCACATCCACGAGGAAAAAAGAAAGAATGCGTGTATGGGATGATACTTTCTATGACTCCAGGGAGTTGAGGATATAGAATCACTCCATCAGGAGCGAAATAGGAACTCTGGTTGTTCAGATGAAACCGAGACTTTGAAATGTCGTAAAATAGGAGGACGCTTGCATTCAATGGGTAATTCCTATCTATTTGTCAAGAAATGATTTTAAGTGAATATTTCAAAGTCCGGGAAAGATTGAAATACTGAAAAGTCACGATTCCTCACGACCAATTTTCATTAGCGAGCTATGTCAAAACCGGGATCTAGACCCTCAAGTCATCCGCCATTCTGAGGAACCATTTAAACAGTCACGTATACCTTTTTTTTTATCACAATATCGTAAGTATTAGCTCATAGCAGTCACCATTGGGAAAGGGCAGGGCTATGAAATTCTCGGTACTCATTATCACTATTCGATTGAAGGCTGGGATTTGGAGTAGGCAAAGTGAAGTTTCCTAAGTTATTTCACTTACTCAAATTTCCAAGAAACTCAGCAATTTTTACCAACTGTAGTTAAATTTGACAAAAGGAAACAACTTGGGTGGCTCACATACGAATATCTCTCATATAGGCACAATTGGATTTATATATTTCCAATCGAATTCAATTATAGCCTTGAAAGGGGGGAAACGAGGGGGTTGCGCTAGGAAAGGAGAAGGTGAGTCTGGCTGGATAAATTCCTACGGTTTTTCCGCACCGGAGGAATACCAACTGATGTAAAGCAGGTTAGCCGATAGCTGCAGAACAAAACAGTTAAGTGTGATGCATTGAGTAATTCACAGTCTTGCAAACATTGTTCCTTTAGCCAGAAGGCAAGCAAGCCAAAAAGCTTGATAGCTTTATGTGCTTGATGTGCTTGATGTGCTTGATGTGCTTGATGTGCTTGATGTGCTTGATGTGCTTGACGGATTGTTTTGATGTCTTCTCAGGGTGTCTCGCAATAGTACGAGTCTCATAATTGGGTTAGTTTGCCATATGGTTGGTACGTTTTAAGAATATACCCTTATAAATAATCCGGTGGGATAGCGTTCCTCCTTGAATATGAATCCCTTTACTTATTGCAACCAAGTTGAAATTTGTGACCACACATTATTTGAAGATCAAAAGTCCTGTAAAAAAAATGTCAAATAAAATAACTAACGCTCGCATTGCGGAACTTCAGAGGCTGATGGATCGAAAAGACGAGTTGAGAACCACCATTCAGGAGAAGCAGGATGCCATGCAGAGAATCGTAGACACGATGAATGAAGAAGCTCAAACACTTACGTCATCATCAGCAAAAGCAGTGATGGCTGCCCGAGGCAAAGTCTCATCCACGCTGAGTTACCAGGATGAAGTTGATAGCTATGAAATCGCCATTGCTCGCTTGGAGGAGCTATATGCCGAAGTTGAGGCGGAGCTGAAAGGGTTGCAAGAGTTGATGGAGCCACAAGATTCAACATGATATTGGGGATCGCAAGATAGGCTTGAAAAAAAGGGATATTGTCTCACACGACACTTACCAAACGTTCCAAAGCCAATTGTGCAAAGGTCGAGATAGTATTTTTCAGTAGCTGATAAACAACGAATGCTTTGGTGATTGCATATGCTGAAACGTGATTATCACTCTCGCGACGTGTTAATTCATTAGTTTTGTGGTACCATAATCCAATTTTGCCCTGTAGACAGCTCCTTCATGAAATTTTCTTGCAATTAAGGCCTTGAGAATGGGTTCTTTATAAAAGTATTTACTTGCTCAGTCAGGTAAACCTTACGGTAACACTTCCAGTTGAAATATCGGTTCGAAAACCACCTGCAATCCATGTTCGACCAGTTTTCTAAAGTCTTGGCCACAAGAAACCCACTATTTCCCTTTGCCTTCCTCCATCCGTCTGCTAGTAGTTGATTCCCATAAGTTGAAAGGTTCAAAATCACCATGAATCAAGACAGACGGACCTTAATCAAGACGGTTATCTACCAAGCTCTCGGCATACTCGCGGAAAATATGGAGACGATAAAGAGCATCCTCGCCCTGATCTCCATTTGGTACACTGCTTCGACCTTCTGCAAACGCGTTGTGTGCAATTTAGAGAAGCATAGCCATATAGTTATAGCCGAAGTGAGAAGGTTCCTATCATCATAGAATAAGTGTTGAATTTTGGAAGGCTGCAAACCTTCTAGCTCTTGCGCATTTATGTCGGCGATAGTGATTTTTTACGCACTTCAAGCCGTCTAAAACGCGATTCAAACACCCAATTGAAGGAAAATTGAGCCTCTTAGCTGGATGTGAATATCGACAAGTGAAGTGCATAAATGTTCTCGGTGCTCGTCTGAGAGATCTCTCAGCTGGCCGTATGGAAACTCCTGCCACACAGGATTTATCAGTACCACTCCTGAAGATAAAATGCGCAATGGTCCTACTGCATTGTAGCAACATTGTCTCGAGCCTAGTTTCGCTCCCGTATGCCAGGCAAGAGGCACGCGTACCACCCACTTCTCAACCTCTTCATTGGAGTTCTCCGATGTAAAATGCACAAAGTAACAGATATTGTAACTATCCCGAGCTGGCGATTTGAAGAAACCGCAAAGATCGGCATTGTGGTATGATGATGAAGCTAACAGGCAAAAATCATCCTCACGGATAGTTTCAATGAATTGGTCGTGTTCATGGTGGACGCGGGATTGCATAATGCGATCCTTCAGTTGTTGTGGACCATGACACCCACCTGACATCTTGGCTCGACCTATCGTGATGGATGGTAAATTGATGCTGTTATCAATGCATTCTTTCCATTTTAGTCAAGCCCTGCAATTCTCTAGCACTTCATGACCTCGAAAAGCTCGACTAACTTGGGGGTCCTCAGTCCTGAGGTCGCATCACAGTGCGGTTGTATATAGAAGCAGGGTAATCAAATCAACGGCAGCATTCTCCTTTGAATGAAGGGAAGAAAGATTAACATGAAAGAGACGCACAACAGAACTATGCGCAATCAGGGCATAAAAGATATAGACTGATTGAAGGAAAGTCAGCCCGAGAACTATGTGACACAAATATTAATGGCCTAATTCACATTTGACAATCAGATGATCCTTCAGACTTAAATGCTTTTTCATGTATCTAACTCAGCTTGAACAAATGAAGAGAAATTCAGGCTAGTCTGGATGCCATAAATGTTGTTGGACACTTTAAAAAGAATTCATGTCCATGATATTCCACCGTATGTATGTTATGTCGTCTTCATTATTGCACTAGTCCATTTTCGAGCTAGCATCAGGTACGGACTAAAATTCTCCCGGGCGAAGCAACTTCAACCAAATTTCCCGCGCCATTGCATCGTCAGGTGATCATCTTCGAAATTATCTCGGAATATCGAACTCTTGCCAATACTCCTGTATCTCTGACTGCTATCTTGTCTAGCCTAGACGCAACCATGTCTCACAGCAAACGCAACACTTCCCGTGCCGTCTTCACCTCTCACGAGCGGGAATTAGCAAAATCAGCCTGGACAAGCAGTAGTGCTCGCCTATCTCGAGACTCATTCTTACCATTTGCTTCATGTCGTTTATGTCTCCTTCCAGCGCGTACACCTGTATCTTGTAGTCATGGTGATATATTTTGTCGCGAGTGCGCCTTGAGTAATATCTTGGCGCAGAAGAAGGAAATCAAGAGGCTGGAGAAGAATAAGGAGAAAGACGACCAGGAGAGGAATGAAGATCATATGAGAGAAGAAGGCGAGGCGAGGCAGAGGGCAGTAGAAGAGTTTGAGAGGGTGCAAATGGGCTTAGAGGGGAAGACCGGGGGAAAGGGCGGTAAGATTGTAGGGAGGGAGGCGGGCAAGATTTTGGTAGAGGAAGAAGTAAATGGTGAAGGTGGAAAGAGGGGGGAGAAAAGAAAATTCGAGTTAGATGAGGATGAACTTTTGAGGATTGCGCAGGATGAGAGATCTAAAGCTAGGAAAGCTATCGATGAAGAAAAGGTATAATTTCCATCTCAATAATCAAACTAGTTACTAAGACTATGATAGGCTTCTAAAACAACTTTACCAAGTTTTTGGGTTCCATCTGTTACACCAAGCTCGAATACAAACACTACTCTTCACAACATCGTCAAAAAAGTCAAACAATCACCAGTTTGCCCAGCCTCACAACAAGATAAACCACACAATTACTCACTCCATACCTTGATTACGGTTGCCTTCACAGAAGAAAACGATAGCGTCACAAAAAAGTCCCAAAGAGTCTGCCCTTCATGCAAGAAGCAATTGACCAATACTTCGAAGGCCGTACTCGCGAAGCCTTGTGGTCATGTGCTCTGCAAATCATGCGTCACAAAATTCATGACTCCAAGCGGGGTTCACGATCCACACGCAGAGGCTGGGACAGACCAGAACGCTGTGGCTTGTTATGTGTGCGAAGCGGATTTGTCGGAGCTGAATGATGGGAAGGAGAAAGCGAAAAAGGGAGATAAAGAAAAAATCAAGCCGGGGTTAGTAGAGATCAAAAGTGAGGGAACGGGATTCGCTAGTGCGGGTGGTAATAAAGTGGTAAAGGAAGATGTCGCTTTTCAATGTTAGGGTTCTTGGGTTCATAACGGACTGTGTGATAGAGCGTAATAGATTGTAGAAAGATATCTAATATTATACTCTATGCTTTTCACAGCAGTAGTAATAAATCAATGCTCCAAACATGCCACTTGAATATTGAAGATATTCTATATATCTTCATGTTTAAATATCCATAAACGTTGATCTCTCATACAGCATCCCACCCAAAACATGACAGTGCTTTTGACATCAGTTTCACCAGCGTTCAGCCAATCCCAGTTCCAGCCAGACACCTTTATGGTCAGAATTCAAGGAATCAGAACTTCTTTTCTGTAGCACCTTTCAACAACCAAACCTACTGCACCGGCGGCCTCCAAGACTTGTGGTCATTTACGTTCGGGCCACTCAGGGAGTGTGCATCGTATGAGTATTTCTAGGCATTTGATGCAGTTCGATTGTCAGGATATTCGCTACATAAATATGGAGTTATAGATGTTGATAAAAATAATCATGGATAGTCGCTGAGAATTGGGAGGATTCATCTTCCTGGAAGTAGTAAGCACCCTTTCTATCTTTCTCGGAGAAGCTTTCCAATTCATTGCAGTGAGACGACTATTATTCCACACAGTTCATAAACTTTATACATTGAGAAATGAACGATGAAAAGATTAGTAGCTGTCCGAGAATTTCTGTATATATTCGACGCACGATGCACGTTGGTAAAACATGAAGTGTGGTTGGATTAATCGGGATTGGCGGCCGCATGTGGGGTCTAAGCAGGTCCCAACCCAAGATTAGCAACTCGCGCATCGAGACGTCACTTTTTTTTCTGGTCAAACTTAAAAGTTCAACATGGCATTCTCAACTTTTCAATGTTGCAACTCATCACATTCATTATAAATCCATATTGCTACCTACCTATGAAATTTCTCACTTGTATATACATTTCTCTTTCATAATGTTGAACCCTTATACCAAACTCCAGTCCGATCCTCCATCAAAACCCAGTCTGCCATGGCGATTTGGCTCGAGCTTAATTATGGGTGTCACCGGAGCGGTATCCCGAATCTTCTATTATGGTTTGAACAATATGGAAGTCATTGGGCTAGAACGATTTATGGCAACTTTGGAAAGACGGGAGAATCCTGAAGATAGAGAAAGAGGCTTAATCACTGTCTCAAATCATGTCAGCGTTATGGATGATCCTTTGATCTGGGGCGTACTACCTTTCAAATACGGTTTCAATGCCTCTAATCACAGATGGAGTCTTGGTAGTTATGATATCTGCTTCGAGAACAAGTCAGCAAACTCACCACTCGTCTGCCACTCCGATTATTGACGTCTTTACAGGCTACTTTCCTCGTTCTTTACCTTGGGCCAAGTTTTACCCACTCATCGAACCGCATACTCAGAAAACGGCGGGCTTTTCCAGCCTACCATCGCACAAGCTATACGGATGTTATCTGCGCAGCCTTTCTCCACACGTTATGAACCGCCAATACAAAAGACAAAGAAGAAAATTTCTATGCGGCCAAAAGATCCTGATATCGTCGACCCCTTCTCTTCCGGTGATCTCACGTATTCTACAAATGGCAAAGATGTCTTCCCTGCCCCCTCTGCATACGCCTCACGAAGACATAGTTGGATACACATATTTCCTGAAGGACGAGTGCACCAACATCCAAACAAAACGCTGCGCTATTTCAAATGGGGAGTGTCTCGTCTTATCCTTGAAAGTGAACCATTACCTGAGATTGTTCCCATCTTTATCGACGGCAATCAAGACATCATGCATGAATCGCGAGGGTTTCCACGTTTTGTGCCTCGTGTGGGGAAGAAAGTCCGTATTGCTTTTGGAGAATCAATAGATGGAGAGCGCATATTTGGAGATCTACGCGCTCGTTGGCAAAAACTAGTACAATTACAGAAGGAAGCACTAAGACAAAAGGGCTTAGATGATCATATTGAGATGGGGGAGCTTTCAGAAGGGCTTAAGTACTATAAAGAGGCTGTTGCGTTACGGGAGGAAGTCACGACCAGAGTTAGACAGGAAGTGCTCAAGGTAAGAAGGAGTCTAGGATATGAAGATGAGGATCCTAAGCAAGGATTAGTACAAACTTGGATTAATGAAGGAAGGAGCGATGGGAAGCAAAAGAAGGATGGAAGTTGGGTAGGAGAAACGTGATGAGAAATGATTACCTAAGATCCCTAATGAATATTGATGAATCTCTTCATTCTTGCTATTTGAATGTGGCTATTGGTTGTTGAGAATTAGTGGGAACATTCAAAGTATCGATTTGGTGATTTTTGCTCTGATTTATGACCATTTTTGGCCATTCTTACTCTTCCGAATGACCTTTTGATCGCCCAAAATTATGGGACATCCAACTGCTAGTTCCAGGATGTTATATAGGTGTGATATGGAACGCAAGATGTTTGTTCTACCATCCCCTCCCCACCATCTGAATACAATTAACTCTTTATTATTCAAATCAGTTACAAACTCAAAGTACTGATTTTGATAAGGAAGGAATATCGATTAAATTTCTGGCCATTTTTAGTTCTCCTTGTTTTCCTCCAAGTATTTTTTCGATTATTGTGTAGAAGGGTTGGGATGCTACGAGTAGATAGTAAGATAGTAGATGTGTTGGTTTTGATAACATTTCTTTGAGGTTCATTTAGGGCTGTTTTTTGTTTTAGACATCCTGATCCACCAGATCATGAGTATGCGTCTCTCATCCCTCATCTGTACTACCCCAGGAGTATTAGCTACTGCACATTCATCATGCCTTAAGAACCCCGTTTACGTATTTTGTAACCCTCTGCATCGGACATATAGGCAACAGAGCGTATGGTTTTGTATTCCCAGTATTACACATCTCCCCATAGGACTCACAATGCCTGATGTCAGACATTTCTTATCCTCTGACTATCATCATAGTTGATGTATATCGTCTGGACCATTCGAAAGAGAATCATCAAGTGCTGAAGTATATAAGGGCCTATCATCTTTTATATGCGTTCCTCTATATCTTGACACCTTTCTCCAGCGCCGCCTCATCTGTACCTCCTACCTCATCCTTCAAGTATATCAGCCCCTAGTATTTGGAATATTGGTCCTAAATGGTACTACCCGGTGTTGAAAATTAATGCTTTCCTAAAACTAATGGTCCTTCGTCACAAAATTATGATCGTTGACGCTTCGCGGGACAAGACTCAAGGCTAAGGAATCTGATTTTCTTTAGGTGATAATGAAAGATGTAATGGGATAATTCATAGAAGTAGACCAAAGAGATAAAGTGAAATTTCAGAAGCTGAGGATGAGTGGAATGATCTCTTTTGATCTGTTCCAACTATATTTTTGCGGGTGGTGAGCATGACTCCTTTCTTAGTTCTCTTTCTTCCCACAACTCCCTTCAGAAGACTGCCAGTAAGCGTAAGATACTGCTGTATAGGAGTATTTGTGGGGCTCTGTTTGAAATTCTCCAAAACTATAACATTCGAATCTCGCCACAGTAAGACCTTGTCACGCTTCATGGCATCTCTGAGAATATAGATGATATATCAAGAATGACGGGTAAAATGAGCCCACGTATTCTAGATGATACCCGAGCTGGGCACGAAAAAAGCATGATCAACTGATGGAAGAGTGTCTAGATGCTTGGGTATTTAAGTCAAAGAGGTTTTTGAGGGCGTAGCTTCATGGACGGGAGACCTCAGACTTCTGTGGTGAGGATAAGAATTTCTCGCTTGATTAGTATCTTCTAAAGAGCTAAACTCCCAGGTCTCAACTGCGGCTTTGGTTGCTATTGCTAAAGATTGAGTAGTACTGAAGAAAGTTTGGTCGAGATTGTCGAAATTAAAATGTTGCTATGATACTGGTATATATTCTTTTTAGGTCAATTAATACGTCATTCTCAGTTCCGCACCCCTCCTCCTGATTTACTTCTAAGATCTTACAATAAATGTACTTAAAATCATACTAACATGCAACCAAAATATCCGCATCCGTGAATATCAAGGGCAATTACTTAGGGCTAGTTTATGCGCATCAACAAATATGAAGATTACATACCTTTCTTTTCCTTCTTTCGATTTGTGCTTCTACTCTCTTAAAGATGGGTTTGATATTCAATTACTCCCATACCACCCAGAGCTAAATAGCTACGGATATTTGGAACTTCACTGTAAGAGCCACCAGAGCTTACTTAAGCTTGGAACTCGTTTCGCTTGCTTGTGCACCCAAGTGACAGCCAACTAACTGGTAACGATAATTTGGGCATATTAATATCACCATAAATTAGACATTCGAAAATACAAACGAATATAAAAGCTAAATTGATATCCGAAACCAGAGGTAGAAAAGCCTTTCCACAAAATCCCATAGTTATTTGTTTCTTCCGCAAGCCATCATCCCACCATCAGAACTTCCCGTTTTCAGCGAAATACCAGCCATCAATCAACCACCCTCGGAAAAGTAAAATCTCGTATTTATTTAACAATGTCACAAATACGCAATAAAACTCATCAATCACACTTTGCATATCAAAGACCGCGTTCAGAAAAAAAAATATATCGCAAAATGAAGTGAAGAAGAGGATAAGTATAAATAAATGCAATATGAGCCCGCTCATTAATCTCAAGTTCTTGAAACCTTTCCAAACTTTCCATTCCAAGAAAACAATCTATCATATCGTATCAGTACATTCCTGACGGAACAACCACCAACCACAAGAAAACAAACCAATCAGACCCTCCGGAAGAAAAAGAAAATGTTATCCTTACTCATCCCCATAATAGGTCTCTTCTCCCTCGCCACAAGCCAATACCAAAACCACACCCTTACATTCCAAAACCTCTTTCCCTCCACTCGTCTCCTAATCTTCACTCCCAACCCCAACAGCTACTTCATCCCAGCGCAATCCATAGAGCCTTCTCAGCACCTCACCCTCTCCGTCCCTAAATGGGCCGGAAATTTCAAAGCCGTAGATCCAGAAATCTACAATATGGATCATCCAGGCCCCGAACAGTATATTTTGGGCGAAGTATGTTTTGGGTGTTGGGAGGATATCACGTTTTTTGATGTTAGTGCGATTTGGAATTGTTGTGATAATGAGGGGGTGCATTGGATGTGGGGATTTGATTATGATGAGGATTATGAGGGAAGTAGAGAGGGATATGGGGAAAGTGAGGTTTCTGGGTGTGAAAAGTTTCCTTGTGGGGCAGTGTATAATGAGAGTGATGATGTGCAGACGAAGACAACGATGAAAGATGCAATTTGGGTTGTGTTGGGGCCGTAAATGAATCGAAGTATAAGTTTGGTGTGAGAGATGGAATCATCAAACTAGTGAGAGTCTTCGCTGGTAGTATGCAATTGGCGGCTTTTGAATGTCTGGCACTAGTGGGAACATTCAGACGTCGAATGCAAGGTGTACCTAGATGAAAATTGAGCAGCTGAAGTTCTTCAATTTGACAGGAGCGAAAATAATAGATCCAGAAGTGATGGAAGCAACAGCCCTGCGACCACTTCATAGATAATCATCCACCCAAAGACAAATCTTCCGTCCATCTTGACAACATGTTCATTGTTTGTTCATTCATAATAAAATCCAGAGTTGTTGCACCCAATCCATAGACAGCATCATGTTGTTCTCGACGCAACCAAACAGCCTTCACACTTTCTATCATGCGTTCGTCTAGCACCATGGAATTTGCATATACTTGTGTTGAGAATTTTCAGACTGTCGTGGTAGCAGGTTCAGTGACAGTCGGCACACCATCATCGCCATCGAGGGCCTGATCTGCTACAATGGAAGATTTCGCATCTGATCTAGAATTATGGTTGTCAGCTTGCGTTGATGTGTTTAGATGGAACAGAAAAGGGTAAAGTAGTATGAGAATAGTGGATTGAGTCGTACATCTTGTAGGCCTTGTAATTGAGAAGTTAGCTTTGTTTAAGTAATCGCAGAGATGTGTTTAGCAACAAGAAAATAGATACGGATTGAGATGAGCACAGTGCACGGTTCACAGTTCACTACAGAGAATTCAAGAATCAAGGGGATACTTACAAAAATATTGACAAGTCGCATGGTGACGAAAATCATAATAAACATGAGTAGGAAAACGAAGCAGAGAAGCATGGCTACGATCTGATTTTTCTGCATATTTTCGTGGTAGAAGAGATGGAGGCTTCCCAGTAGGTATGGTTGAAGGGTTTTTTTTGGTGAATTGGATGGAAATGGAGGATATTATGGAAGCCGAAAGATTGTCAAATTGTCAAATCGTAAGGGTGAGTAATGGAAGAAGAAATCTACCAGAACGCTCTTCAGGTATGACTCTAGTATTTAATAACTAAAGAGGAGCAACCGTAACCAGAATATCGTGTATTCAAGATAGTTGGCCAGTTTTGACCGAATTGGAGTGTGGTTGTTAGGAGAAATACTTCCGCGTGGATTGTTTATATTTAAGTCTATTTCTATCAATCAGAACGACAAAGAGGCAAGGCTAATCCTAAGCCTCGTTAACTTCGGTTGAGGAGTGAAGTTTCATTCTTCTTAACTTTTGAGAGCAAAGATGGGTGAATATCATTCTTCTCGCCAAGATCCTTGAAAATATCCAATTCTTCACCGATCTCTTTTTGGCGAAGGATTCGTGATATACCTTCTGGGAGGGTGTGTCTGCTTTCGACAAGAGCATTTGCTCCCAAAAGAATTCTTATGCAAGATGCAAACATACTTGGCTTTGATGTAAATCCAAGAGGACCATCACTCTTTTCCATAAGTATGTTCAGCTTTCGTAGAGCATCCAGAATCCATTGGGCAAGGTGACTGTATTGTTGCCAATGATAATCGGCAGATCCATTATTTTCGAGCATTTTAAAATCCTTTGAAAGGATGCTACCCCATAGCTTAGCTTCTCTGACTTCATCAATGAAGAGATTTTGTTCTTCTTCAACAAAAAGAGCATCATCTTGCTTCATTGCTGCCGAAAGCTGATCTTCAGGCGAACATAGCCCCGCATAGGCTCCGTGGAATATGAACTCATCACTCCCTGTAATCCGGCAAATGATATTCCAGCTAAACATTTGATCTTGGCGATATTGAAATCTCAGCCATTCGGCGAATTCCTCACACGCAGCCAATGGAATCAAGGGTTTGCCCACAATGGAAGAGACAATCTCTGCTCCAAGCTCACGAACTTCATCGTCATCGTCATTGAGGGTGTCATATAGGGTGATAAGACATGGAAGTACTTCGGAACCCCATTTGAAATCGTCAGGCAGGCATGCAAAGAAGTAAGAAAGTCCCTTTGTGGCAGCAAAGCGTGTGTCAAAGTCCTGTCATCAGTTAGAGGGATATGGAGACATTTCACTGGAAGCTACTCACGTTGTATGATTTGCCAGCCTCATTCCATTGCTCTGCTCTTGCCATGAAATTTATCTGAGTGCTGTCATCTCCTTTCGATTTCAGCCAATTGAAAAGCATAAAGGTGCTACTTGTTCTCATCAATGCATGAGCCAGATGCGGTCCAGACTTCCCAGTTTCTGAACCCATGAAATGAGCAATTTCCCCAATATCCAGTAGGTATTGATCCATATCACATTGCTTGATACTATTGAGCATTTTGGAGTACTGTTCGTATGCGCTAGGTCCAATTTTTTGCAGGTCTGCTGGGCTTACTATTACTGCGTCTAAGAGAGCCTCCAACACGATCATACTGTGATTCCTCCATGCCTGTAGCACGCATTCCGAAGATGGATTAGCTGTGTCGACATCTATGTCGCAATAATGATTTAAAGCTCTTTTGAGGTCTTGAATGTCTTCGGTCAGGCCAGAAATATATACAGCTTCCCTTGCAGTTGCTTGATGTAATAAAGCGCCACCAAGGCGGGATTTCTCACGAGATACATCGACACCCACTTTCGAGTAGCTCTGCCCATTCTCATCCAATAACAAGTTATACGCGTCGTAGTTGCCAATGAGGTTTTCTCTATTAAGCTTGCTTAGAGAAGAGGAAGAGGGAGAGGAAGATGCATCCAGCAGGATTTGGTAAATGAGGTTTTTGAAATCAACATAAGTCGCCAAAACTTCCGGGCATTTGTGCATGTGGTCTAATGCCTCAATATCATCTTTCAAAGTGATGAGGTCTTCGATGCCTAGGATACATAATTAGAATAGAAGATGTAATTGTGATTAGCACTTACTAGGAGCGCTTGAGAATACCGCGAGACGGCGTTCCAGCACAAAATTGACTGTCAACAAAACTCCATGGGTATAATTAGTAGATAGGTTAGCTATTTTGAGCAGGTTTTGTAAGTCAAGCAACCACCCATCATGAAGCATAAAGGTACACATAGTACGAGCAGCTAGTTCTCTGGTGTGCCAAAATTTGCTACCCAAATGTATAGAAACTCTTTCCTTGATTTCGTTACGTAGTATGACGGGAGGACCAGCACGACGGAGAATATCCAAAGACGGAAAGACAGATTCGACAGCGCCGATTGCTGGGGCATTAGTATCCTCCGTGTTTATCGTCTCCTTGTTTAAGAGCTTCAGCAAAATCTCTGGAAGATCTGGATACTTTTCGTATGACAGTTTCGTTGAACGACCATCCCAGCCAGCTTCAATAGAAGCTTTGTTTTCATTGGTACCAAATAGGCAGTCGATAAGACTTCTTAACAGCAATAAGCCGCAATTTCGAATCGCCCAACTATTTTCATTCAGTTAGCACGTGACTAATTATGATTATCGACGACATACATATCTGAAGTTAAGCTGTCTGCAGCAAGTTGTAAGCAGTCCGGGATGTGCTTATCTGATCTCTTCCCTAACGTAGAGCTTTTGAATATCTCCTTCACGCAATTCATTGCATGAACCTGAGGTAGGTTCGTCTCATCTGTCTTAGATAACGCAACGGGACGTCTGGCTAAAGACTTCAACTCCGCCATTACATTTTCGAAAGCTGGGCTCTTAGCATTCGCAGATAATATCCCAGTAACAAGTGCCGGGATTCCCGCGGATCTTCGTGTTGTAGAAGCTTGCTCAAAAATGCATTGCAGAGCACCCTAAAACAGTCAGCTGACAAGGGACAGGTGAAGTGGGTAATTGGATTTATTATGTACTTTATACCAAATCTCAAGCAAATCACTTGAGGCATGACACTGCGAAAGCTGACAGCATCTAGCAAATGTTAACGAGACCGTGGAAAAGGCCCCACGATGTCGTAGGCTGGAGAGTTGTTCGAAGGTCAAGTTTCCTGCTCTCGTGAAGAGCTCAGAGCTCATTACTAAAGATCCATCGTGATAGTGATCCTTTGCTTTTGTCACAACAGTCCTAATCAGATTACTAAAGAAAATCAGTTAGCTACCCGAAACTCAGTAAACTGGCAAGAGAATAATCCACCTCGACTCATGAATCGCCCTGAAGCTGTAACTCAACACATCCTTAGTATCAATAGACTCAATATCATTAACATCTTCGGGGATATGACCCTCCGGTGAATCATTACATAGTATGTCCTTTACAGCATTCCATATGCTGGAACAACTTGCAATGATGCGGCTTTGCAAGACGTCCCATTCCTTCCGGGTTCTAGCGAACTCCTCATCTCCCGAATCATCTCGTGAGAATTCAATCTCTTCCCAAATGTAACTTATGACAAAAGTCAGCATACTCCTTATTACCAGTCGAGGGTAGTTTACCTTATCGTTGAAAAGTCACTGTGGATCGGAGCAATAAGAACAGCTTGACCTAAATCTTTATGGGCGATTGTCACTTTTCCCTCTAAGCCGATTACGAGACCTTCGACAAGAATCAGACGTCCCTTTGCGTCCGACAGACCATAAAGAATTTGGTATGACCGTGCAACTCCATCGGCATAATCTGCTCGACCTGTACGCTTCGCAAAACCCTCCGCACGAGTAATAAAGTCCATTAACACGTCGAAATCTGTTGGTGATTGAGACTTCGAGGATCGGAAATTATGGGGACTAGCCAATTTCAATATTGCTGTGGCTCCACTTCTGACGTCTTCGAATGGATCCATGAGAAGATCAAGAATGAGTCGTATCGACTCTAGGTTGAACACGGCCAATTTATGAGCCCAAACAGTAGCATCTGGCGTAGATGTTGACTTTCGATCTTCAGATGAATACTCCTCTATGCCTGAACGAAGCAGCGAGGAGATTGCTCTTAACGATGTGATATGCCGCTGATAAGATGCTGTGGGCACGAGTTCCCCTTGCAAGAATTCCAAAAACCACACAAGGAAGTTTTCATGATTTTCAAGCAGTTTTTGGGCATCTGAACGATCACTCTGACGGTCTTGAATAATCATGCGGTCAATCTCCCTAACCAGGTACGCTGTTGCACCTTTGATACGTTCTATCATGTGCTTGGTATTGCTTAGAACATCATTACGAAATTTGGCATCAGTGTCAGCGTAAAGATGAGCCATATTATCTTGTAGGAAAGTGAGTACCACAGGGCTGAACGGCCTAATTGACGAGGCAGATGACACCAAGACCGAGAAAGCCAATGATCTAACAGTATTGGAAGGATGAGTCAATAATGGGCCGATGGTATCTTCGTGTAAAATGATACAGCCTGAATTCTTCTTTGGAGGCTTCAAAAATGAGGTCACATCTAGTGCTGTTAATTGATTGATCCTGCAGTTTTTATGGGGAGACTTACTCGAATCCTCGACCAAGCCGGCTTTCTTCCCAACTTCTATTGCAGACAAATGAGCTAACGATTCAGATTCCATATTTTGTCCCTGCACATCTAAAGGTCCCTTTTGATTGAGATCTTGTAAAAAGGCTAAAGAGCCAACACGGTCAAGTTTGAAAAGAGGCGGAAGGAGGTAATTCTTAATATTCTCAAGAGCGTCGGGGTTCTGGCTGAGGCCCTCACTTATCCAACGTTGCCACAGTCTAGTGTGTGCTTCGGATTCATCAGTTTTTACTTCGGTAGCAAGCTCCTTTGACACTTTGAAGAGGGATACCAAGAACTTTCCTGCAGAGGGTGATACATCCTGGAGGTTCATCCATTTGAAAGTCTCGGAAACTATACCATCAAGTATGAAGCTCGGTAGAGCCCCTTTTTCTGTTGGCTGTTTTTGAGATGCTGCAAGATCATTGATGATCACTGTACCCTTTCCTATCAAGTGCTCCAAGATTTTGAAGGCTGGCTTGACTAGAGGTTGCGAGGCTTGATGACTGATCACGGAAAGCAACCTTTCTACAATGATAGTTACTATAGATTTCGAAACATTTTTATCTGGATGAGAATTGAGGAGAGAAGTCAATAGATCCAAAACTTGACGCATTGACCGATGTTGATTTTTCTCGTTCCATTCCAAGTAGAAATTAAACAGATTTAGACAATTTTCTTTGGAATAAACTGCTTCCCTGAGAGAACGGTATGAGGAGGCTCTACACTGCTCAATAAAATGACACAATTTTATACACGCATTTCCGGAGGCCTGCAGCGTCACATAGTCAGTATGAAAGCTGAAAGGGAGCCTTGCATGAAGTAAGAGCTGAAGAGCCAGTATATCCGGCGTCTAAAGTAGATATGAACATTGAAAAGGGAACTAAGTGTTGAAATAAAATTGAAAATGAAACTGAGTTGGATGTTGGAACCCATTAGATAATCGATTGAACATTGAAATAATCCGGATGTTGAAATAGAGCCTGATGAACAAAAGTAGAAGAACATCGGATAGAGCAAGACATATAGATGCAGCAAGGCATTGAGGTATAGCAGGAAGTAAAAAGCAGAGAAAAAAAGGTGTAGAAGGACGTAAATTTCTCACATGTCGCGGTTGAGCAGCTTTCTCTAAAAAGCCCTCGAGACTACTTCTTGTAAGCCTGGGAATAATAATTAGTAAGATGGCAGCATAGAGAGTATTTCAAAATTACTGTGATTGAACTGATTCAGGTTGATTTTCAATCCATTTGGGTAGAAGTCTATCATCCGTTGGAGCTCTAGTATCAGGAGCTGTAGATGACATTGTATTGTCTGAGTGGTCGAGCGGGATTCAATCCTCGCTTCAGGTGGGGGGACAGGTGGGATTATTTCTACTGCGATTTCAAGTTTTCTCCCTACAGCTGAAGGTTTTAAGCTGTTTCTGTCGACGAAGATGAATGAAATAAAATGCTATATGAGCCCTTGCATTTCTTAGGTGAGATTTTGAAATGGACGTATTTTGAGGATTACTTATGTCCCACAGAAGTATCCTATCGTGTATTTATTATCAGACGCAGTACAAATATAAAAAGTTTGATGGTGTAAAAGAAATTATTACCATTTGCAATCTCGCACGTGATCTGGCATGGACCGTGCACGGACCATCGTCATAATCCGGGAGGGAACTAAATTTTTGAATAGAAATTCTGAAAGATACGATTGAAGTCCTTGACTGCAGGTGAGCTTTATTGTATTTACATATTATCAACCCTACAACCCAAACGTGCGGTATTCGTGCCGGCCTCGATTACACATCTTACAGATTCGCACATAGATATTCAAAAATGTCATTCTGGGATAAGTTGACAGGGCGAAAGCCATCATCAAAGGAAACTTCTAGTGGCGGATCAACCTTGAATACCCCAACCGACACATTCGCACCTACACCTTTCAACCCTCAAGAAGGCCAAGATGTCAACTCTTTTCTTACAGGACCAGAGCTCATAGATCCATCACAACTTCATCCTTTGGCTGGTTTAAACCAACAGGCTTTAGACTATCTATCCCTCGAGGAATCTACTCTCTCTGATCTTCCAGGATCGCAATCTGCTTTACCCTCGAGAGGTTGGTCGGACGATTTATGTTATGGTACCGGTGTTACATATTTGACGGCATTGACTGTGGGAGGTGCTTGGGGATTACAGGAGGGTTTGAGGAGGTCTGCGACACAACCACCAAAGTTACGATTGAACTCGGTGCTGAACGCTGTTACGAGGCGAGGACCATTCTTGGGCAACTCCGCAGGCGTGATTGCGATGGTCTACAACGGTTTCAATTCTTTTATCGGACATATGAGGGGCAGGCATGACTCGGCGAACAGCGTTCTTGCGGGTGCGCTGAGTGGGATGATCTTTAAAAGTACAAGGGGAGTTCGACCTATGATGATTTCTGGTGGGATCGTGGCTTCTGTAGCCGGCGCATGGGCAGTAAGTAGATATTGGGCCTGTATGCTATTTCGACATGAATTTACTAACAATACTCTCCAGGTAGCAAGAAAAGCAGTATTTTAAATGACGAAAATAACGATAAAAATTCTTCCTTCCATCACGAAATAGCGGCCTTCTTATGATTTCAAGATCCGCAGGCCAGCGAACATTCCCCATTGCTCTAAACAGTATAAGCTTTCTTCAGCGCATTAGCATTCATTGTATTGTGCTTTGTCATTATAATAGATTTTGTTATTGGCGCGGGTTGCATAAGCGGGTTTATCTCTCCTCTTTCCCCAAGGTGGGCAATGTACATATAGATGGGACAGGTACTATATGTGTGCCAAGTTGGTTTGGACACTGTAGTATCAGGAGTAATTCAGAGTCTTTGAAACTAAGTTTGGTCCTTGAATTCTGGAGAATATCGTAGGCTGTATTGGTTGCACCTTCCTCTTACGAGATGAACCGACCTCGTTCGAAGAATCCATACGGTGAAAAGTAGAAGAATCAAACCCATTCCAAGGATTCAAGTCACTATCCACGCTCGTCCGTACTAGGTACTTGACAAGACTACTGCCATAAATTTTTTACGCCTCAATTTTCCACCGCTTATCATTGAAAAAAAATTCATTTTTCCAAAAATTTCTTCTAGCAATTCTAGCTTTCACAAATTCTTTGATAGTTAACAACAACAATTAACATCATCATGAACTCATCTGCTTCCATACAAGCTCCTTCCGTTCGTGCCTACACGCCTCTTGAAATGAAGCACATGATTCTCAAAAGTGTTTTCAAAGATGGAATAGGCGCTTCAAAAGGTTTTCCTTCTATGGCCCTAACGCACCTCTCAATGTATGACGCGGAAACGACCATGCCATTTGCCGCTGCCATGTCATTGGGTGAGGGAGAAGGTTTGCCAGCAGTCATTGAAAATACTGAACGAGAGAACGCCGTATGTGAAGAGCGGGGTCAAAAAATACTTCATCATATACAGAGCCCCAACAATGAAGTTATGAGAAGATCCATTGAAGAACTCCTTGATCAAGATATTAACGAAAGAGGTCTTTTAGAAAAGGACCCGAACATATTCGAGAAATCGATTTTGTCAAAGGTATAAACTTCTGTTTTCATTTTTGTCTTCCTTACTACATACAGAGCAGATCAACTCAGTGACTTGCATGAATATAGGCAGTGCTTATCGTGGAGGATATGGAGCGAAAGAGGTTCGAGAATGAAATTCAGTATGACGGGCATGATTTTAGGATTCTATTGATCACGTTGATTGATGGCTGGGGTCAATGTTCTAAGGTTGACTTGTTATATTTCAATTATAAGACATCTTTCCCCTGGTTTATGTCTACTCTCAAAGACGAGACGCGAAATAACAAGATTCCTCCAGAGAACATCACGTTGCCTCCGCTTTACTGGGACAATGAAGTGATCAGTACTTCTAGCATTCAAAACATTAATGCCTCGGAACAATCTGCGGATCGTACTGGTTCATTGTTAAGCAAGGCCGAGTCGGCACAAACTATACCAGATACGATACGAGATCCTAATGACAAAGGGTACAATCTTTCAGATGGCCCTTGGATGTATAGATTGCCAAATCTAAGCAAAGATCCTGCTGTCAAGCCCGGGTGGAAATGCATCAGAACTGAAAATGACTACATGGTTATGCTGGACGACATCCGCGGCATCAACTTCAAATACGCAGAATGGGGAGAGACATCAAAATGTAGTGTCGTGATCATGCACGTAAGTACATTTCGATTTTAACTCCACAGCGGCCTCTTGTTTGTCAGGCTAGATTTCGATACTTAATTTCACTTACTAATTTCTCTTTCTCTATTAGTCACTAGATAAAGATTGTCAACAAAGATATTTTGACACCCGGGATGAGGAGCGTGCTTTTGGTACGAAGTGGGAGAAGGAGTTGGAAGAGGCTGGATTCTTTGATGACGAGGAGATTGTTGGTAATTATGGAGATGATTGGTTTGATCACTGGAATGGAATCCATAAGAGTCCTCACGGGGGTACTTCATCAGAGTGAGCTTGGAGAACCTTCGAAGCCAGAGAATTAGCTATATGGAGGAGCATTTCCATGCTTGATGAGGAACATTTCAGTGTTCGATGCAAGTTTGAAAATTGAAATTACTAGCAGGAACTCCACCCTGAATGATACGTTTGAACATTCAAGGAAAACTGATTCAAGATCCAACAACAATGCAAGATACTGGCATTCGAGTCAAAATATCAGCACTTACTCTTTAATTACTCCAAAAATATTCGGGTATTGTCTAGAAGGAGCAGGCTCAAGGCAAGCTATTTCCACTTTAGAACACCTTCATTTTGTTAGATTCATGATCTGAATGCATCAAGTTCATATTACAGCAATTGGTGGTCAGTGAGGGGAGGTTTAAAAACATAATATGTGGAGGCAAAAGCAAGCAAGATGACTCATTTGAGTCACACAGTTGATTTGTTGCGCACTGAAAAGTCTTTTCTTCAATTCACTACACATTATGAAATCGGACGGAAGGAATCAGAATACCTTCAATGCCGATAGAAGCCATGTCGTTCGAAGAGAACCCGCTTCCTTTTAAAGTACTCACGCTACTCCTTGTAATAAGCTTAACTACTATTGGTATTCTCAAATACTTCACGAATGCCACTTCGTACACCTGAAGACGACTGCAAATATGTGCTTCCCATGCTGGCCATTTACCGACGTATATCTTGAGGAGGAGGAGAAGAAGAAGAAGAGCGATAGATGTGTTATGGTGTTTGATCCAAATATACGTCAATGGGTCCCAGTTACCGCTGTGAGTTATTACTTTTCTTCCTTCCTTATTTGTTCATCTTGTTTTCTCCCTTTCTTCGGTCTACGAATTGTTCTCCTGATCATTTTATCCTACGATGACATTGATCATTGGTCCTTGATGGTAATACTTTCCGATCCAAGCCGGAAAATTCACTTTATCACTTCTAACTCTTACACCCCAACATTTCTTTAATCCTTGAGAAACTCAGCAAGAACTTGGAAACTTCAATTTGAACCTCAACTTCCATGAACTCAACATCTCAAGATTTAATTTCCATATATCAACTTTTAAGAAATATTGGAATCAACACCATCAATTCTACAACCAATAAATTGATCTCAATACTTCAAAGCATTCAACCAAAAATGGGTCAAATACCAGTCCAACACTTTCAACCCCAAGTTCCAGATACTTCCGCTGGACCTCATGAACATACCTACATCCCTCGCTCTGATGGTTCTATCCTAATCAATGGAGTTGTCTATGTTCAAGAAATCAAAACTCCCATTCCAGTCGCTGCTGTACCTGCCATGGCACCTTTACCATCTCCTTACCTTCAGTGCTTTTCTCAATTTGCAGCAAGTCCAACCTCTGATATGATATTTTATTCACTTTACCCGGGCGCAAGTTGCGCACGATAATTCTCCTGCTTCCACATCACAATTTCTTAACTTCAGTACTAACTACCATTCTTTAGGTACCTCCACATCAACCCGTCATGCCTCCACCTGCCTTCCAACCATATCCATACAACCCTTACCTTCAATTCGCAGGTCCCGGTCAACAAGTTCCTTTCGGCGCAGGTTATGTTCCCCAACCCGCCATGAACACAAATGGAGCTACCAGTAGCGAAATCCAATTACAACAAATGCAAACACCAGATGCGAATAAGAAGCAAGATATGAAACCATCTGATGATGATCCATTCCGCATGTATTGGGTTCGGGAGGTTGATAATACGTGGACTCAGAGAAATAGGTTGACGATTGATAGTGGTGATATTGGTGATGTTAGAGTAGGTTTCTGTTTGTTTTTTTGGCTTTGTGATTTTGGAAATTTGCTAATTAGGTTGTTCTATTTTGTAGTGGTATGTCACTGATGGTGTTTTCTATGCCGTCAGGTTGCCTTCTTAGATGTTGGGGCTCAGGGCGATGATGGATTAACAGGAGTTGGTTGTCAAATGTCGAGGAAGAATAGTCATATTCCGTCGTCTCCCAGCCGCATGCAACTCACCTCGAATCCAATCCAGTCACCACAAATCCTCAAACGTCACCACATACACATACTACATTACGCAATAATACCCGGGAAGAAAGTAACGATAGGACGGAGGAATGATAATAATTTATGAACTCGGAGCTCGTCATTACAAAATGGAACAACTTATTTTGACTTCGTTCAATATTTCACATCTGCGAATGTGATACATTACTAGGATGGTTTACATTTTACATTTTGCAGCAGTTCATAGCGCTAGCTGCTATTGCCTGGATTTGGCTTGTGTGTAGAGAGGTAGTTTTTTGATCAATACATCTATCCATCCACCAATCATATTTCTCATAAGATATAAAGAAGGTTATATATATGTGAAGGAAGACTTTGTTATTGTAGCGTGATGATTTGATATACCGTAACCTCCTCGAAATGAAGATATCTTGATAGAGGTAGTTATAGACAGGACTTTTTGCCTAGAGCTAAACCTAAAAACCACGAATAAAACACAAAGAATAGCTATAAATATCATCAGATCAATAATCAATAATCAAACAAATGTAGAATAGAAATAGAAGTCGATAATTATCAAAGGGTATCATTTCCTATCGTATGCCCTCCCCACCATCCCCGCACCCCCAACCAGCCGTCTCGCATACCAGACAAATAACCATTTTTCATATATATACATACCATAAAGATACAAAATCAAGAATTCTTTTCCTTCTGTCCGACGCCCCGAAATTCAAAAACACCTTGGTTTGAAAAAAAAAATATGAAAAAATCCCATTGCCATTTCGGAAAGCTGCGTGATACTGATTCCTTATTCATCTCATACTCAAGTTGCTGCAGGTGCTCTCCTTTGTGCATCTCTCTTCTTCCATTCATCTCTAATCCTAGGTGCAGCGGCAAGTAAATCCTTTTCCGTAACTCTATCCTTGATACTTTCAATCACACTCTCGACCGTACTGGTATGATTCGCCACTTCCTTATCGTCTCTAAATTTCATATATCTCCATCTCTTCTGGGCATCCATGTAACATTCTACTATGCGATCATTGAGAGGTTCTCGTAATGCTTTCAACTTTTCCCATTCCTCTGGCTCTAAATGCATAGTTCCATACCATTCATCCCTGTTATTTCCCGCGTTGACCAAGAGATTGCATATGGGGATTGCGTCGTAATCGATATATGGTTCTGTAGTCCCTTCTGCGAGATCCATGGAATCAGGTTGAACGGCGGGGAAGTCGAGACCGAGTTTAAAGTCGATACTATTCTCATTTTCTGGTTTCCACTTTAAAATATGTTGATCGGTTCCATGTTTATATTCCGTCCCTCTACATGTAAAAATCAATCCATCATTTCCGTGTGGTAGATTTGGTAAGATTTGTCGAAACATCATATCCATCGCATAGCCAAATTGCATCTGTTTCATCTCCATCAAGAAATGCATGTATTGTTTTTCTTCCGGGTAATCCCTCAAAAGTTCTACGTAAGGTGTGAATATCCTTTCGGTAAAGTAGGCCAGTCGTTTATCGAGGGTGCGATTCATGAGACTATTCCCATCCAAAAACATACAATCGAAAACCAGATATTTCGGCTGCATCGTCCCATCTGCAGCTCGATCCAAGACCAATTCCCCATCAATCAATGTCCCTCTGTGAAAGCCCGCGACATTTTGAGGAATCGGGAAATGTAGTCCGCCTTTAGGTATATACCAATAATCATTCCTCCTATCAATCAAATATTGACATTCCTCGCGATTCTCATCATCGGTCAGGTAAAGTAAGTAACGAAAACCATCTGATTTCTCGCAGACGTAATAATCCTGGCGCATCAACTCATCGAGATGACGTCGAGTGAAACTGACGGGTTGTGCGCCGGGGAAACTGGGATTGGAACGACCAAGTAGAGTGGCTACTTCTTTTCGCATATTATGTAAAACTTCTCCTTGTGCTTGAATGCCAGGTGCTTGAATATCCAGAACCGGACCGCTCATTTTGTAGATGGCAGATGGAGTGAGTTGTGGGAATATTATAGATGTGTTTAAAGGGAGGTTACAGCTGGGTGAAGCTGGGCTGGGCTGGGCTGGATTGTAAGACTATCTTAGTCTGGTTCGTTGGAATTTTTAGTGTAGAAGTAGAATTATTTGGTAAGGCTGAAGATCGGCAATTAGCTTGAAGTTTTGCCGACATGCTATTTTTATGATGGGGAAAAAGTTAAGGTTACCGGTGACCTCAATATTCTAAAAGTCTTCTTACTGTAGGATACCTCCTTCGATTCTTCTCCTTTTTCCTTTTCGTTTCACTAAATGGTAAGATCTTAAGGTAAATCAGTCTCCAAGTCACACAAGCCACAATGAAGATGCCAATTCCTCGATGTGCACATCCTTCTCGCCAGAAATCCTGTTTCCATGTCCATGTCTATGTCCATCCCCATCTTTGAAGCTTCTATCCCAAGATGAAGCGCCTCTATAAGGAGCGTCTGGCTTTGACAGGATTCCGGGGATCCGTAGGATTTGTCGTTTGCCTCATCATACACAAACTTTTCATCTCCAATTTTGGATTTTCCTCCCCGTGATCAAGCATTCATATCAAAAGCATCCAGTTTCACTAATTTGAAGGTATCTTCATTGGGCATATCAATCTCCAACTTTCCCGTCCCTGGCGGCGGTATACTTATACTTCATCAACCATTGATAATTGCCCCGATGGTGTATTTGGGAATGCTTGCATCATTCAATTCTTTCCACTTCTGCTGGCGCATCACGTTCAATTTATTTTTGGGCGCAAATACCACCAGTTAGGACCTCCCAAGGAAAATTTGTCGCCGTTCCTCCACAGATTCCAGCGGCAGAAATTACCGCCTTGGTCTGTGATATGTTATATTGTTTGAGCGATAAGCTTAACCCCGATGTAGGATTCTCGAGATTACTATCATCGACAAACAGCCAAGGGCAGTAACGTTGACGAAAATCCCATTGATACTGAGAGCATCTTGCCTCGTCAATTTTCTTCTTCTTTCAGCAGCTTGAAGGCTTCGAATATCTAGATAATGTAACAGCCATGGACGGGGTTGTACCGATGTTGAAATCGCCGTCCAACTGAACATTATATTGGGCATTCGAGGTAAGTTTGATATAAATAGGCTCCTGGATGGATTCGTCTATTTGTGATCTTGATATGTATAAGTATCCAAATGTAGCCCCTGCATAGGCCACCCACATACCCTTTCCAAACGCGAGACAAGCTCTGGGAAGGGAGATCGCATGTAATTGGTGTGTCTAAAATCACAAGGATTTCCTCTTTATCCTTCATCCTGCACTGATATTATCGATGTTTTCAAACTTTTCGTTCAATGGGGCTGAAGAGGGATTTCAGAACTTTTCAAGGCGTGCATAGAAGGAGCAAATTCTCGAATGCCCCCCTGCAGGCCAATTGGAAAAGCTTTGTGGCGTTCGATATAACTTACTTGAAGCCATACTTATTTTCGAAATTTGCTATATCAATATTATCTCTCGAGAGTTATAACCTACTCACCATAGTCTATTCGTGAATATTGACTCTTCAATTCCCGAGGTCTTGAACGTCAATATTCAGCTAGGTACCATAGTCATACCCATCACATCCGGCCCGTACCGATTCATTCCCTTCCCACAGCCACATTCGGTAAAGTAGCATAGAATCCCTAAATCCCCTGAATAATTTTTATATCTCCTTAGCTAGTCTTGAAATTGCGTGCGTGTTGCGTAGTTAACGTAGCAATGCAATGAGCAATGCCGTGCAGCATCACACCAAACCATATTTATATAAAACCCCAAGCCAATAATCCCCCTTCATCCTATCTATATATATACATTCCACATACGCGAGTATCCCTCCACGCAGTACAACCCCAAAACCTCGTGATTGACAACATACATCCCCAATTCCCAAATTCCCAATCCCAAATTTCCAAATTCCAATTTAATTTCATTTCAATGCCAACATACATACATACGCACCTGATGTGCACAATACACAATACCCCGTACCTGACATCATTCACACATATCGCATCTCGTATTCCCGCAGATCAACACCTATAGTGGGATCTTGGCAGTGAGGATCAGGCGAGCTCACCAATGAGATATAGGTATACGGAGTATGTGGCTAGGTGATCTGCGGTGTGGATTTTATGGAGTATATAGGAGTATGCTGTGCTTGTGATGTACAGTACAGTGTATTGGATGGGATAGGGTGTAGAAATGTTATAAGGTGGGGAGGGAATTTCTGCTGTGTTGTACTACGAGTTGATTGATTTTGTTTTATTTTATCTAGATTTGATCTCACATTTGCATTCTCATTCAAGTATACATTGAAAGGATACACATTCAACTAAGTGCACAAATTCAACTATACTCCGTGCCTACTCAAAGACATTCGAGCTCATACATCTTCATACCATCCCACCTCACTTCACATCTCACATCCCACATCCACCGTGCTCCAACCATCCAACCACCAAAAATGCATATCTCGAGCTCCCTCCTAACCATCTCAACCCTGCTCACCCTCCCCCTCACCATCCTCGCCGATTTCCACTACGGACTCGTAGATTATACTATCACGACCGCAACAGGTAGATACGCGATGATTTTACCAGCGAGTCAGACGAATTGCACAGAAGCGTATGATTTTTACCCGAAGGGACCTTTTGGGTTTCAGGCGCCGACGGGTCAGGTTCAGTGTATGTTTTTTTTTGGTTTTTTTCGTGTCGTCTTATTTATTGCCTATTTAATTGCCTCGTCCTTTATTTCCCATTCACCCTTTGTTTTCCTTACCTTACGCCGCTAACAAATATGCACAGCCGATATCTGCGGTAAAGAAGTAGTACTCAACGTTACCTCCGGCTCTTGGTATACCCACGGACGGAATATTCTAGAGGGGAATTGTACGGCGGTTAATACGACGAGTTCGGCTAGTGGAGTTAAATCTCCGGTTTGTAGTATTGGGTATCTTAGTGGGGCTACTTTTACGGATGTTTGGAGGTGTCCGGGGGATGTATGTAGGAGTGAGTTGTAGGAGTGAGGTTTAGGGGTTGGAGGGATTGGAGGGGGAAGTGGTATAGATGTGGAGATGGGTATATAGAGGAAGGTTTATAGGGAGAGTGGAAGGGAGAACTTAGGAGAGGAAATTGGAAGGAGAGGAAATGGGACGGGGAGTGGGAGGTTTGTGGAAGGGCAGTGGAAGTGGAAGGGTAGTGGGAATGAAAAGTGGGAAGCGGCAGCAAAAATCCATGACTGATTGAGGAGTAACCCGATGGAGAAACTCTCCGAGGAAATGTTATCTGAAAGGGATACTAAAGATCCCCGACCGATGGTGGTTGAAGTGTCAGATATCTGTGGAGTTGCACATGAGACCAAGGCATGTATATCGTCATGGATAGAAATGGTTAACGTCATAAAGTAATGTAATAGTTCGAGACAACAAGAAATGAATGTATGTTTAAAGACAGTATATTGAAAATTTGTTGATGAAATCGAAACATTATGACTATATATTTGATGATCGGAGTGAAAGTTGGTGGTAAATCTTCGCATGATATCGCCGAGTTTTATAGTATGCTGGAGGTATGGAATGGAACGTGGAGGTCAAGCCACTCGTGGAATATCCAGTGCAGGAGAGAGAAATCATCGAAAGTCGAGTGATTACTCGATTCAAAACCCGTACTCGACAAATGATATTGACTCTGTAGATGTGTTAATCTGCTGAACACAGTGGTGATAATGAGCCGAATTTACCTATTCTGTGCAGTCACAATCTTAGACCAGTGTTATTGTGCTAATCTGGTTGATTATCTTGACAATCCTTTCATCAAGCTCTGTGTCTTCTATTTCGAAAATCTCATCCAAGCTCACATCATATATAATATCCTCATTCTCACTCTCACTCTCATCCTCACCCCCGTTCTCCTCGATACTCGCACCGCTCTCATCAATAAGATCTTGTACCCAACCAATCTAACTTTCGACCTTTTGGATAGACGGATGACCATCTGTAAGAGCAATCTTTAATTTTTCTAAAAGCTTCTCAGCAAAGAGCAATGCATCCTCGAACCGCGATAGCTCTTTATAACACTCCCGTAGTCCTACACTAGAACCCATGATCATCATATGATTACTACCCCAACCACGTAGCTCAACTGTATATAATAGACAACTTTTATATCAAACTATCGCTTTCCGATAATTTCCATCTTCACGTAGGGTGTGAGCCAGCTGATGACAAATATATTCTCGGAAAGGATGTTGATTAATATCTTCTTCTGTAATTATCTCATAGAAAAGTTTGATAGACTCTGGTAGCCTGCCCCATGCACAAAGGAGACCACCTAGTGTGGATTGAAATTCACGAATCCGATAGTGCCCCTCCCCAAATGTTTGTTTCAAGCGTCCAATGATGTATGTACACAGATTGTAACTTGCTTCAGATTGTGTCATATCTTCCAGGACGAGGGTCAAACGCAGGATATTCTCGAAGTAACCCCAAGATGCATTTTGCAAACCACTTCTGTCTGCTTGTATGATGTATCTATATAGCTTCTCGGCTTCTGAATATGATATGCTGCCAGATATTTCGAGCATCGGCCAAGAAGGCTGAACGCGTTCATCGTTGTTTTATGACTTGGGCCCAGGAATCTTAAAGCTTTCTGTACCGCTAATCCGATGATATTTTCGGCCTCCTGCTTGTGATCATCTACCCATAGAATATGGGCTTCCAGATAGGACAACCGAATATGCAAAGATTGTTCAACACTCAACCCAGATTCTTGGATCGTTTCGTGTAAACTGCGATGTAAGCATTTTGCATCTGAATTTTTGCCTTGCCGCAAGAGCTCCTCGACAATGTTAAGGTAAGTCCCTATTATTTTGTCATCGTTGCGGTTGACGTCTTTTAGTCTTGCATCTACGAGTCGAAGATATAAACCCAGGAGGTCGAAGTCTAGATTTGCATGAAGAAAGATCAAGTGCTCAATACATAAAATGCTTGCTGGATTATGCGCTGATTGTATCTCCGCTAATTTCAAAAGTTTGAATTCCCAGTCTTCGAGTTCTATATTTCACGTTTCAATTGATCGAGCAGATGCAGGCACCATCATCCGATGACTAGGCATATTCCTAAAAGTTGGAAAAATATCAAGCTCAAACAAGGGGCTCGATTGAAGTATTTTCCCTGGTGTATTTACAAGCTGCAATGCAGCGTTCCGCATGCGACCATAGGAAGAGATTTACCTGTTTGTTGTACTACCGCACTCTACTTTGTCGCGAAGTTCAATTCCTGAGACCGGCTGCTTTTCTTCCACAACTTCATCACCGAGATCCATAGGTGTTATAGAGGCTTCATGCTCCAATCGGTCGAATAGTCGAGTCAATCCAGGAGATCCTGGGACATTGACAGCATCCCAGTCGAATGGCCAATGTTCTATATCCATGGCGGTATTCTCGTCGGGAATCTCCAAGCGCAGGGGCATGGAATGACTTGCAGCAACTTCTTCTATGACGGCATCAATTTCCTCCGGGGGAAATTTTAAATGAGGCAATCCAAAGATCCATAAGTTTTCGATGAAGGGATATACTGAAGGAGGTCAAACATTGAGACCGTTGGCTTTCATTCTCATATCTTCTCTTCAACCTTTAGATCCTTCGAGGGTCTAAAACACGTTTGTCCAAAATACTGAAATGCGAGGCGCCTTTGGAATCTCCATTTTCTAGAAGGAGCTCTCTTTCCGCCTTGCTAAAATTCTTTTTCAACCCCCATTCCTCAACTTTCTCGTGAATTGGCGCTTTCTGTAATTTGATTGTTAGCATGTCACAGCTTCCACTAATCACCACAAGCAAATCAGTACATACATAGGATAAAATCCGAATTCGCTCATGAGTATGCCAGCGACAACTTTGAAAGTCTCGTTTTCATCGATATATAATCTCTGCATGATTGGTTTGAACTCCAACCACTCTTCTGAAGAGAGAACTTTGTGGACTTTAGTCTTCAGTGGTTTTTCCTCCACCCCAATAGAAACTTCGTTCCCGAGAAGCGGCTGAGCGTCCATACTGCTGAAACAACAATTTGGTAACGCTGAAGTCTCGGAATAAACTTGATGAATAACACAGAATGCAAATTCTGGTTATGAGTGTTCAAAATTTATGTGGAAGAAAATTCTTACGAAAAACAATTAATGTTGAGTTGGAAATTTAGGTAAATTTGTCTGCGTCTAAGATTAGAAGACAGACGGAAAGAAACGGATTCATGCTGATACTTATCAGTCATTCATGCAGAGCCGCAATAGCCTTACCAGAGGCAAGGACAGCAACGGATATATGGATCTGCTTCGAATAACGAGGTGGCGATCAGATTACTATCAAACTCTACAGGATCCTTTCAGGAGATCTTCACATCCTTTCGTTTACTGGCGGCAAACTGGGTAAACGGCACAGTGCATATCCGATGGGTTCCACGACATAAAGATGTGGCAGGAAACGAGACAAAGCAGCGAAAGCAGGCACAGTACTACATCAATCCGAGGGGGACTTCTTGTATGCAGGGCTCAGAAGAAACCAAAGGTCCCAGACAAAAGACGACCAATAATCTATGGTCGATGGTGATCCCCTAGTTACACAAAGAACTGGAGATATACACATCGCCGAAATTTGCCAAAGAATTGTCCCTGCCTAGGAGTTTCCTAGGGCGTTTGTTAGCTATTCGTTCAGGGTATGGCAATTTCATAATATATCATGAACGCTTCCATTATCAGAACACCTACACTCTCTGTAGATATGGAATGCACAGATCCTTGTTATATTTCTTCTTTTGCTATATAGCCAAGAGAAAACACCCCCGGCCGAAAGGCAAACTAGCCAATCTCATTCCATTCCTTTGCGGCACTTTGGAAGGAGCAGAGGAGTTTGCAGGATGGACCAAACGAACCTGATTCTTCATCGATATATACCCCAGACACTATCCCCTCCGGCTACAGCTTAGCAAATTTTCATACTATGTAATCTTTTCCATTAAGGGAAAGAAATTTCATTTTATTATAAGATCTTAGTAGTTACAGAAATGTATTTAGGAATTACTTCAATTATTAAATATAGCTATATGTATATAACTATTAAAAGCCCATAGGCAATTTCCTGGTGGCTTGTATCCCAACAAAGGATGCAACGAGAACAGGGGGGCTTCGCCTTTTCGATCTCCGGCCGTTATATTAAACACAAAGTCATTCATGTTACATCTAGCCTCGTAATGGTTTCAATTCATATCAATGGTTGACCAAACCAGAATCCCCTTGGCGCGTAAATCCAGTAATGGGAAGCTTTTAAGCTCCAGATTGCCATGTAAGCCCGGATGGATGGAACAGAACAGAATAGAACATAGCTAACATTCCCTTGAAGATATCAGGGCAATGCAACATCAAGTTGAGTGTTGTGTTGGGCCAAATTTAACCATTCCACCGTTCACCACCTCGCTTGACAACGAGAACACTCGTGGATTAAGGTTAACTAACTACGGCATGATTTAAGAGAGGATCGTCCGTTAAGTGAAAAGGCGAAAGGCGAAAGGCGAAGAGGCAAAATAAGTGAAAAGAATAAAAATATCGAATCAAAATATCGAATCAAAATGAATAAAATCAGTATATAATTAAAGCTTTAATCTTTCATATTCTTATAATTTAAATTATATTGAATTTGATTAATTTTTCAGTAATTGGTAAAAGAAATAAAACGTTGAGGTTGATTAATTTTTCATTAATTGGTAAAAGAAATAAAACGTTGAATTTGATTAATTTTTCATTGATCTCCACCACAATGGTCAAGGCGCCAAATAGTTACCAGTCGACAAGCCAGGTTTGTTTTTTAATCCCATAGTTGATTTATTTTACCAATACGTTGTTCAGGGACCTCAGACTGAGACTTCAACCGGTACAAATATGGCTAGGGATATAGCCAAAGGGCAATGGACCGATCACTACAAGCAAGGCCCATACACGGACGTCAATCGTGTGTGGTCGACCAATGCATCCATCAATGACGGCAACAGTCAAACCCAAACTCAGGGTTTCCTCCTTGGCTACCAATACCGGATCATTGACACCAATGGAGCGCTGGGCTGCTGAAAGCTCCAAGCAGGCTCCCTGGAATTCAATCGGTAGCATCGGCACTTCATCAGACAACACCGGGACCGGATACGCAAACAATCCGTCCATCAGCAACGATGGGCCGGTGATGATTGGAGTATCTGCGGAAACCTATCAACCAACTAAAACGAGTTGACATATGTTTCTTTTGCTTTATTCTTTTTGCTTGAGTTTCTAACATTGTGACTTAGTAGTAGTGTGAGAAAGTTGGAATTATGGGCCAGATACATAGAGGTTTTTAACTAGTCAATCATATGACCTCTTATAATTAGATATAAAAGAAAAGCTTTTGCCTCTCCTTTTCACAACAATCAATCTCCTACATATATATATTTGAATCTATATAATCTCAACCCCAAAATCATTGTGAACCTCGTTTTCTTCATAAGTAATGTATTACGATGTGATCTAATCAGCTTTCTCTTCCAATTCCCCCTCACAATGTGCTATCGGGACGCACGTATCTCGACCTACCACTTTTACAGTAGGACTGGAGAGCTTATTTTAGGTCTTCGCAAGCACACTCGTTATTATTGTCTTTGTCACATTACATCACTTTAATGTACTTTTTGCACATCATTCGTTGTTTTGATATTTCATTCTGAAGGGTTTTAAAGTTCCATATTTCATTCACTATCAAATGTCATATATAGTCCCTCGTTCAAACTTTCAAATTTCCTTCGAGGTCACGCACTGGAGGAGGGGGTCACGCGGATACGGAAAATCAGATTAGCACCAGACGCTACAGTTATATAAATCAGAGTTTACCCTTCGAGATATAGATGCAAGAGTACAATTCTTTCGCAATACGCAGTACCCTCTCTCTTATTGCTCGGTGATCAAAACCACACTCATCTTCATTTTGTGTCCTGAAAGTTCGCATCTAAAATTATTTCTTCCTGCCTTCCTTCCAGGTAGTCGGCCAATCAATTTACTTTCATTCTTTTGCATCAGTGCTACCTTTATTTGTTGCAGACATGGACTCGCTTGCCTGTGCTTATGGCCAATGATGAACTAACTATTGGCGCTCAAAGCTTGCCAGTAAATGGTTTTAATTTTTTCGAACGATCAATAAGCTCCATCTGATCTTTCTTGTTTTACTTTAGTAGGTATAGTTGAAGGAGCTGGACTGTCATTCTGTCAGTGAGGTCGAAGCTGCTAATTATCTACTGGCTATATCTCAAGCCTAATTTGGTAATGAGGGGTAAGGTGGGGTGACGGTTGACTCATCATGCGAAGCGAAGTAATACATCTTTAATACGGTGAGTACATATACAATTATACAACTTGACAGAGTACTGGTATCATAGTAATACTATAATCTAGTTTATCAAATTGAATTTTGATGGCCGATGTTTGCTTAAATTTGAGAGGGTTTATTCAAATTTTTATTTCAATTAGGATTCAAATAAAATCAAATAAAATTAACTAAACTTTAATTATTAAAGATTCATTAAGCCTTGATGAGATGATCCGGCTTATAGTTATAGACATTTTATAGTGTTGATATCCTAAAAGACGCTGTAATCGCATCCATCAAGACACCCTCTGTAGACTTTGTAATTGGATCAAAAGTATATTACTCTGTATTATATTTATAGAAGATATTTATATCGACTTGACATTTTTTACTATAGCTTGATTACTTGTGTATTCATGATCAGAAGCCCAGACTAATAGATTAGATATAAAAGCTTTCAATACAATACCTAACGAATAATAGTTCTTTTGATACAATTTCTGTTGTTGGATCATAGCTCTGTTTGAATATCCACAAATTATTTGCTTGTTCAAGAATATTTAAAATGGTTTAAAAGATATTAATATTCGAAAGTCTATTATTACTAGACTACAGTCGTAACTATCAGCACGCTGGGCAGCTCATTTCTCAGGAGCAGGATTTTTATTCAAATATGATATGCCTATATCGACTTATGCGATCCATAACTACTTTAGAGCTAAGTTCAGAGGGTCACATTGCAGATTTTCCAGATCTAGAATTTGTTCCTCAAGACCTTGTGCTCCCACTTTAGATTTAGAACCCTAGCACTCGTGCTTTAATGTCCCAAAAGAATTTTAAGCCAAAAGCTGTCAGCTACTATGCCTCGTATTGCTATGATGTCATTGATATTCTCGTTTAGATTAGATCTAAGCTTATTAGATTTGATTGTACATTGTTGAAATAAGATCTCCGAACGGAAATTCACACAAGTAAAACACAAAAATAGCTTTGTTAGAAGAGCCTCTACTACTTATTAACTTCAGGGCTTCGTAGACCCTGTCTTTCCTCCATTGGCTCTACCATGTTAAATTGGCTGTATTCCATCTGCTACTAGTACTCTCGGCTAGCCATATTTTCATAGTATGACATTAGTAGTAATATATAAATAATCATCGATTTAATTTCTAATTACATATTTCCTTTCCTCTATACAACGCTGAGATCACCTTCCTCCGATCTGCCTTGTATTTTGTCCACATCCATCATTCATTACTTCTTTCTTCAGCCACAGTAAAGCCTTTTACCACACTTTGATTACCTTGACAATGTCATTATCGAATTTTCCTACTAATCTCATTCTTTTAGAAGATGACGGACAAAACAACAATAACAGCCCGTTAGAAACCACTTCTTTTAGCAAGCAAGGGGAGAAAGAGAAGGAAATTGTCTCTGATCCGATTTTAAGGTATTCCGGTAATTATTTTCCTCCCTTAGGAGGTAAAATTTCAAAAATTAACAAGATGGCATAGATAGCTCGCCAGGGGTTGACAACGAAGAGTACCATCCGCCTACCTCTGATCCACCTACTTCTTTTGAGCGCCATGGTATCGCTAGTACCAATTCAGCGTCCCATTTAAATGGTAAGCTGTTCCTTCTTCGGTCTTGATTGTGCAGACGTTTAATAATAACTTTGTTTAGATCAAGGATTCCGCAACTCTCCGCTGCTACCATGGCAAAATCCACATCCTGCACCTTCTGATTCCTACCGATCTTCGGATGACTTCGGTCATCAGAATACTTATCCATCCGAACCTCAACAGTATTTATACCCTTTCCCTCATTACCAACCTTCCACTAGCGCACCATACGAAAACAATAGCTCTAGCACTCAAAGTTTCGACAGTAAACTCTACGGAAATCAGGTCCCCCGTGATCGGCCTTCGAGTAATAGCCCCTCTATTGATGGTCAAACTTTCAACGACCAATTTGCCAGTGATCAAATTTCCAGCAGTCGTTTCTTCGATAGTCAAGGTCTTTCACTTCACCACAAAATTCTTGACCATATGCATGGTCTTGAGCTTACTCCTGACGGATACCCAGTTTTAAGGCCAGGTACCTTGACAATGAGTATCATACCTCCACCCACTCATGACGAACTCGGCTACCTCACAGCATGGATCCCACAAAATGGTCCCGAAATTGAGAATTTCTTTGCTCAAAGACCCAGCATGCATCGATACAGCCTAAAGGCACCACTCCGTGATCAGTTACATGGTGTCATCAGAATCATGATGTTCGAACAAGCAGCGTTCCAACCTGAGAACGACGACATAAACCATAGTTATGATTTACTTTGCTTGGCTTTACTCCGAGGATATAGAATACAATATCTGGGGCAAGCTGCGGAATTGCAATGCATAGCTGCTACACAGATCATGCCTTCTCCTCCGCAACCACCAATCGCCGGCCCTGAACTTCCTTCTTTCGGTTCGACTGGATTTCAGTCCCTGGCCGGAGGTTACAATGAACGAGTGAAGGCCACTGACGAAGATTTGATTAAGGAGTGGGGCGGGAGCGTAAGAATCGTTAATGCACTCGGTGTTGAGCATGAACGCCTTCTTGAACGTCGCGAGAGTTCATCTGTCCATAACAAAAATCATCCCGAGGCAATACGATTGATGTTATATCCTCCATCGACCGGAAGTAATCTATCCGATCACGATATTCTCCAAATGGTGCGTATAAATCCAGTTGCGAGACATCAACGTGCATCAGACGTTTACACTGACCGCGGAGAGTATAAGCGTAGGTACAAACGCTTCACGGAGATGTCTGATGACATTCTCAGACGTGAGGGCTTGCAACGTTCGTGGATACCTCGTACGGTTAGCGATCGTCCATCTAACAGTGTGGAGCGTGCCGAGCGCGCGATACAACTCGGCTTAACAGGAGATCATAAGCTGTTTGCTGATGCAGCAGCTGAGAGAACCCGTCGAGCTCAGGCTGGGATAGACGGATCAAATGGCCGAGCAAGAGGAATGCGTAGAAGAAGATCTTAGGCAGCAAGACCAGGACAAGCAACTGGAACTTTGGGCGTGGCAAACCCTTTCTTCTGTTACTGGTGGGGAGAAACAGAATGTTTGGAGTATGAGCAAAATGTGTTCCGTGCTGGCTCCTCTGGAGAGCGTACTGCAGGTTGGTTTGGCGGGGAGGCTGGTTCCGGCGTGGATCGGCAACTGCCACTTCACGAATCACACCGTGTACCTCGCGCCTCCTCCCTCTTTTAAGGGCCCAACAATTGTTTGTCGCTCATGTGTATGAAGATGTAGAGACAGATGAGGATATGGAGGTGATGGTAGGGTGAAGTAGAGGTTAATTTCATTTGTCTTTGAATTACCCTGGGCAGAATGGGAATACTTGTGGCAATTAGAGCTTGAATCCATATCAGAATAAATTCTCTTTCACCTATACTTCGATAACCGACGTCATCCTTACTAATATCAATCACTCCAACTAGTTCCCACGCGTTAATAGCTGGGCTTGGTTTAACCACAAGCGTGTACAGGAATTTCGTCCCAATCAATTCTAAATTGGGCTGGGTCGTTCTCGAGTCTTAAGCCAAGAATTAAGCAGCGAACTTCCCATTGTCGCTTCTTCCAAAAGCCAGCTGAGTTCGAGAGGCTATCCATGTGTAGGGGACAAGTAGACATTAAAATCGTATCTTCAATTTCTTCTTCGAACACAAGCAGTGCGCTGTTCTCCTCCTCATCTCTTTCACTCTGCATTCCTGCTATGAAAGCTCCGCGAAGAAGGCTTCACTGTTTACACATAACTCATTTGTTTCTAGAAATTTGTTACATGAGGAAACCGTTCTAGAAACTCCAAATTTTTCGTTCTTGAGAAATGATCTATTGTGCGCTGCTAGAAAAATTACCCCCTTTCCCTCCCTCATCACCATACTAGCCCATGACCACGTTGGAGCGACTGTTGTACTCTGTTATGTCTACCGTACACTAAGAGTACTTTCAAGGGTACGAAAGTATTCATACCTCGTAATATCCTACCGCAAGTCCCTGGCGATATCTTCACCTTAAATCCCTTGAAAATATGTAGACATTAACATCGCATGGAAGACCTTGGCAATACCCATCAATGCAATCAATTGATCAGCTTCGTAGCTCAATCTCAATCGAGAGTACTCTTCTACGGCACGAAGCCAACCATCGTAAGAAGTATCTTGCACATCATGGAAATAACTGCATGCGAAAGAATCCAACCAAGTACAGTCACATCTCAAATCTTTGCGGCATTCCATGACCAGCTCTGATGAGTAAAAATGCAATGTTCTCGGTGCTAAAATTGTTCTTGAAAGGTCCACGCTCTCAATAGCAATGACGCCTCTAGTTTCTCTTCCTTCCATGAACCAGGGCTCTTATTTCTCAAATTACTTTAAGTGCACTGATCCACGTATAAGATCTTATCCTCGAGGTCTGGCCCAAGAGAATCCTTCGCGAATATAGGGATAGATCGATAAAGTAGCTTTCTAGGTTTAAGATAACCTCTTGAATTCTAAGCGGCGCCAGTTGCCGCGATGTTTACGTAGCAATTGGAGTATATTGGGGCCATGAGAGTAGATCCATGCTTTTAATCGTTCAGGGGGCCTTGAACTATGCAGAGGAGTCGATCCATATGAATCTCAATCCTAAAGCTCTAACAACAGATATCGCCTCCTGAAAGGTGGCCGGCAGAGCATCGCTCCGGATTCTACGGCAAGAGAATACTATATTAAAAGAAGTGGTTTGAATGAAATGTTTAGAGCCCAACAATGGGATAATGTTGCGTATGAAGGCCGTTTTCCGCGGTTGGGAAGTGTTTAGTCTCTATTAGACGAAAAAAATCTGTATTTCCAGATATGTCCAGAAGTCTGGCGGGCAATTGACTCGTAGAAGCCACATCGCAAGACAAATGATTTTTGAAGGCAGTTTTCAATCCAAGAATTAATGATAGTGATGTGCGTCTCGAGTGAAATCAATGTAGGAGCATTTCTTGCAACACCGATGGTGCCAAAATAGCCGGAGGCTAATGAATCGCTGGTTTTAAGGGTGGGCCTCAACGGAATTCCATCATCCTTGTTTGCCACAAAGAATTGAAGTCTAGACAAGACCTCTTCTTTGCCATCATTTTTTTCATGAATCAATTCAGTCTCAAGCGGAGTAGACTTTTGAACGATGATCCGACCGCCTTTGTCAATTCGATTGTTGTTACTTCCGCAATAAAGGGGGCTCGCCATCACGACGCGTTAGCGTCCACGCCTTTTTTTAATCAAGGAGCAAAATCCACAAGTCCGGCCTGATAATCCCATTTCTCGGAAAGCAATTGGAAGAGTATACTCGATGCTTTTACCTCCTACCACATTGATTCACCACCGAGCGGGTCGGCACATGGGATTTATATCAAGGCAAACACGGCATGGAACGCCCGGGGCCATGCTACTCACTGAAAGCTTTGTCTAATAACATTTCAACATTTATCGAAGCCTTTTCTCTGATATCGCAATACCGAATCAATATTATTCACTTTTCAAGAAGTAATATATACATCCAATTTTCGAGGAGCACCATTCGTATGTGTATAAATAGAATGGTAGGTGATCAACCTGGACATCAAAACCTTAACCTTATCACATGAAGAATGTGGGGTTCATTGGGCGTTTGAAGGCCTAAAGTCAGCCTCCATTACTCCAATCTCATAGCATATATATCGCCATGGCTGGTTTGCTCAAAGATCTAAAATGGTAAGTTACCCATACCCTCACTAGAACATGGCTGACCTTAAACTAAGGTTAAAATTACGCATGGAATGCAAAATATGGCCAGATGCGAGCCAATCTTATAACTCCTCACAATTGAGCGAAATTTCAGAGAATGGGTAGCTCCAAGACCACACCCTGCTCTCAAGACAAAGATGATCATTTCCAGCTTGATGATTCTCGTCACGCAGCGCATTCGGTTTGTCTTGCCTAGTCTCATCACCAAATTATGATGGCCTCGAAGTATTTTGTCAGAGGCATTGTCTAACACCGACCAAAGCTTATTCTTATTGTTTAAATCTGGATATCGAATCTATCCTCATAGTTGAAAATCAAGACACATGAGCTTTTTCGATGGATTGTTCCCAGCTTTTACCATCCGCCCTCCTTCCTTCTCTATTATCAACTTCATCAAGCACATTTTATCCTCATTCTTGACTGAACGTTCACTGATTCTATCCCCGCCTCGAGGCACGCCTATCTGTGTTGCTTTGGTCTAGTCCCGCATGTTTTGTGATGTTTACTTCTGAGCCTTTGGTAATTCGCATGTTGAGCAGTTTCGAGTACGCCTATCTTCATGCACACGTTGTAGACTGCAGCTCCCGGCGATACCCAGCTTGCACGCAATCCGTTGCCTCACGTGTCTGCACGTCCAGAGAGTTCTACGTATCACGCATATCGCTGTATTTTTCTCGTTCCTTCAATCGCTTAGCCTATCCCTGATAGATTGTTCAAGCTAGCTCATAAGAATCTTTCTGGATGTTTTGACATCAAAATCTACATTGACCTTCATTTGACCTGGTCGAAAAAGGAAATTGATAGTTCATTTACCGAATTCAGGAGAAGTAGATCGATGTAATTGAAGGATTTCAGAAAAAGCAAGTCAAATTGATGACTTTCTGATGATTAGTCTTGAGCACTTACAGCAATGGAACCAAACTAGACCTGGAAATACTTCCAAATAACACCTCCAAATTATTCACCTTTTTTTAGGGACTAATGGGTTTTTTGGATCAACTGAGGATTCGTCAGCAGCAATATTTTCAGTTTTTAGGGACTTATGCAAGGGCCTAATTCAACAACTTTGTTAACAATAAGATAATTAGATATGGGACGTTGGTGGTGATGGTGATGGCGATGGCGACGGATATGGCGACAGGGAAGAAGAGTACCACCCATGGTTGTCATCCATCCCTAGTGATTTATGAGTTCTAGAGATTTAGGATAGAGGAACAATATTGGTAACCCAAGACTGTCATGTCCTTTATCTTAATTTTAGCGCTTCTAAATCTCAATTTATACTCGATCCTCATGTTCTCCTTCACTCGCTTAGCAGCTGCTAATTGTACCGTCGCCATATCCATCCCCATCTCCATCAATAACGTCTTTATGCGACTTGGCAGCTGCCAGCACATACTTCTAATAAAAAATTGGATAAGGACTTTATTTGTGTTTCTTTACTCTATCCTACCTCTCCCATACAAAAACAAAGTCCCTGAGACTGACAATCTACCAGATCCCACAGAATCATCACAAAAACTCTCTACTGGAACTAGGAGAGCAAGATTCTGGTTAGTTTATATTGATTATACTTCATTCTCACATTCGCTGCGAAAAATACTATTCATTTCTATGCCATGTCCCTCGAAACTGCAGAAGAGTTCATAGAGATGTCCGAAAGAACACTGCCACACCATGGTGGCTGGGACGACGACCCTGGTTCGTACCCCGCACCACTGCCATCTCCCAGCATTGGATCTTTTGGTGATGAGTTCAATAATGTTTTCGATGATCTAACTACCCTTACAAACGACGACTATCAAGGTTACGATTACCATCTCGGTCATACTTCTGATTTGCTTGACCATCGTATTGACGTGCGACAATGTGGAGGAGAACTCGATGCATTGGGGGATGTTACTGGGGACTCCAGTACTCAAGCACCGTCTCAGACGACAGGTCGAATATTAAACGATACACAACCAACTGAGATGCCGGCAATCACTCAAATCAACGACGCTTCTGTTTATTTTTCTGATCAAATGGAAGGTAATTTCGAGGTGCCTCATTTGCCTGAAGCGCCAATAGATTCTCAAATTTCTCAAATATTATCGGGGTCGAGCACAACCTCTGTGTCAGGTCCCCACGCACACCGCCGTGAAACATCTGTAAGTTGAAATTTTGATGCATCATATTTTCTGCGACGAACCATGTTTATGAAAATTATGTCAACGTCTGGCCCTTACATATGAGGTCCCTGTTGCATGCAAGGCGTAATTAATTTCATCTCTATGGTCTAACTTTATACTTCCATTATGTCAGTGAGATGGGAGGTATCAACACTAATGATGTTTTGCGATAGGAGTTCAATGTCTTGGGGTCCATAGAAAACCCCAGACCAATGCTTCGGCCAAGAGCATCGACCAGAAACAAGGAGAGTTCCTCATTCCAGGGACAAAATCAGATACAAAATGTTAGGGGAACAGCGCTTGATGGTCGCGATCTTGTATCCGATCAGGCTGACCACTACGCGAGCCATGATCCCTCTATTCCTGTGCACGATATATCCACCAACATGAACATTCAAAGCGAGTTATTTGATATTGTATGCGAGGGAATGCATGGATTTGAAGACAAAAATTTAGACCAGCGATTAGTCGCTTCGAAAATAAAAGATATTATACAAGCTTTCTACCGCAGGGTCGCTGCTGGTGATGAGACACAGGAATTGGAGATCTTGATTTTGGACTCTATACTCGAATTCATTCGACACGACGCTGTACCATGGAGGGATATGAAACCCACGAAAATTTCAGAGGCTGTCTATAAGATCTACTTCGATGCAGGATGGACTTTCAACCCCTCGCGGGAGGATCCGCCGAGGGGACAGAGCACAACACCAGCACTATCTAGCTCATCGCAACAAACACACCAAACCTCATCGGTATATTCCCATCAATCCAAGCGTCGGAGTAACTATGAAGATTCCATGAGTACAGCCTCGTTATTCAGCAAGCGCCTTAAGAGCTCTCCAGAAGAATACCATTGTTACTACGACGATTGTAACGCACGTGTCGAGCCCAAAGAGATAGGACGCCACAATACCATCCATAACCCTTATGAATTCACAGCTTGTATTGTGCCTGGTTGCGACAAGATATTTGTGAGGAAAGATGCTATGAGAAATCACCTCGACTCCAAATTCCATAAAAGATACATTGAAAGTCTTTCAATAGAGGAAAAGAGCAGATTACCAAGACTTATCAAAAGGAACACTTTCGTGATTAATGATCGGACTCATGAATATTGCGTGTTCTGTGAGAAAGAACTTCTTCGCGGTTCCTGGGAAAACTGTCATATGAGTCAGGCCCACATCATAAGTCATCTAAGAACATCCAAAGCATCGAAAACGCCATTGGTCTTTCGACACCGATGTTCAAATAGAGATCAATGTGGAAAAAAGGAATACTGGAGGAGTAGCCCCTGCGTTCAACCAGAGAATCGAGAGCGGGTTCCAAGAAGTGATGATGACGATACTGATAGCGAAACACATCAGGAGATTGATGGTCGCAACGATGATTATACAGAAGATGGAGAAAGTATCGACCGAGGAGAAAGTGCCGATTCATATCACCATTCCCAAAAGTCCAGTGACTACGATTTTGCCGAAAGCAACAAGAGCTTCACCCGTCGTAATTATCCAACAAATCGCCACCCATCTTCTTACAAAAGTCCATACAGGAGCAGGACACATTCGACGTCGCTACTCTCTGGGAGATTGGAAACCTCCCTAGAGCCAGAATCGGATCTTTCAATGACTAGGTATCTGGGTGCAAATTCAGATTTGGAGCACTTCAACAACCAGAACCTTCAGGATACATCAGATAGACTTTCAAGGTGTGGCGTATTGGTAAATTCGGTAAATTCGTTAGCGGCGATTGCAGAGCCAGGAGCCAAAGAGGACGGCTCACCTTCAATTAGATGATATCTCATAATTGTGAGATTTATATAGGTATATTTGGTTTATGGGCTAGCTGTACAGACTAGCAAGGTCTTCTTTCTTTAAGGTCTTCTTTCTTTCTCTTTTCTCTTCCGATCAAGCTGGCATTGTGGTTATATTTGACTTCTTATCAATTAGCGTTCTTTGTGTTTATGATGTAAATATTATTAATAGTGTTAGTTGTATAGCGCTAGACAGTTCCCCCATCGCCTACATTAGGTAAATGGTTTACAGTTGATTAGCTTTACTAGATCTGCTCTTTCTTCCTGTGATTTGAGATATATATTGATTGTTGTTTGGAATTCATATGATCTCATACTGAGAATAGGTTACGTACAGCGCTCTTACTCGCAAAATTAGTCTGATAGTCCAAAGATGATTTCAATAATTTCCATACAAAGTCTAATAATTAAAATTTTGTTGAAATACATTCAATAATAATTTTTATGCTTTGACTTCATTAATTGAATATATGATTGAATTAATATATAATTTTGAAATTGATTTCATTATTTTAAGATTGTTTTGGATCAAAGTCGATTTATTATCTCTAATAATTGGCTATAATTATTACAACAAATTCCGACTCCAATATCATCACATAATAATCTCCTGAATCTCAAAAACCGAAATCTTCTAGACCTCACTTTCTTCCAGAAAAACACATCATGATTTGAGAATAATTACTTAAATCACCAATAACTTGGTCACTATCAGTTTTATCTCCAGAATTTTCCAGGTTCGAAATGTCCTTTCGCTCTCAAAAGAACTATTGATGGAGGGGGACGGCCTCGCTACTCTTCAACTCCGGTTTTGAAGGAAACACGGTCAAAAATGCTATGGGTATGAGGCTACTTTTGCCTGATAACTCCCCAATAACTCCCCAAACTTACTTACATGCATGCTTAGTCACCCGGTCTGAGGTCATTGAACTACCTTGCAATCGCTTCGACACATAAGGTTACTACCAACCCTAGCTCTAGATGATCTTACACCGGAGAATTTTCAATGTAACAGCACACGAGATTCCCAGGATACAGTTTCTGTGAGTTTAGTTTATACTTCTGTCTGAAATTTAATGGAGGGATGATACAAATCCAAAGCAATAGGATGATATATGGATCACGCAAAGGGTAAATTGGCCATGAGGTCACCATATTCATCATTGTTCTTTATGGCTCTGGAGGCTTTAAAAATTATGTCACTATTCGATTTTCTGCATGGCCTTTTCTATTCTCAACGCTTTCCTACGTTCAAATATTCGAGTATTCCTCATACTAACAAGACCGTTATCACCCTCTTATAGAGTTCTATGCCCAAGCACGCTTCCTCACATAGCACAGGGAAGAATCGAGTAGTGCAACCTAACCCTTCGATTAATGTTTCAACAACAATTCTGCCGAACAACGTGTTTGCCAAAGCCTGAGGTTGTGGATATGTTGTTGAGGTCTATTCTAGCGGCGTTAACACAAGGAGAGAATCTCTCCAATACATTTAGACCTGCCCATTTGATCAATTCCATTCAATCTTTCTATCGCGCACGCGCATCTGGTCCAGAAGAGACTGGGAATTTATCATTTCTATTTTCCAATCTATTCGGGCAGGATGTTCTCGCCGATACTCGAATTCAGGATCGAGATGACAAGAGTTATTGTATATTTGAAGAAGTCGATAGAGCTTATTACAAAGAGGGGTGGCGTCTTAATACACCTACTTCCTCCGAACCTTATGAGTGCTACTGTGGCAAGTTATTCCCCAAACTAGAAGCTCTAAGAAAACATTTCATACCCACAGCCCTTGTCAATTCATCGCATGCCTAGAGCCCAATTGTTCACCCCTATCTCTTCGACTCGACAGCATGAAAAAGCATCTTGAAGTCCACAGCATATATATACGACGTCTTCGACCTGACGAGCAACACCAAATAGAGCAACAGCTTCAATAAAACACCTTTTTAACACCTGATTGTACTCACGATCGTTGTTTTGTTGAAGGATGCAATCGACAATTTCCTCGTCACGATATAAATGCTTGTAGGGAGAGTCAAGCGCATATTCTTGGTCATTATAAGAATAAAAATTCTTTACCCCATTCTTTTAGACATATATGCTCGAATGAGGAATTTTGCAATGGGAAAGAGGCTTGGAGGAAAAGTGTACATGTTACCGGAGAATGGATTCAAGAGCTGGATGGGATGGATATTGATGATCTAGAGGAAGATCTATGATGGGGAGATGGGAAGATGAATAGGCGTTTCGTTATGTGCGATGCACATGTAGGATTTTCAAATGCAACGATACGAAAGATAGTGTGGGATTTTTGAGGAGGTTGGAAATTAGGTGGAGGATTCTGAGAGATGGGAGTCATTCTACGGTTATGAGATTCAGATTTACGACATGGTCATTTTTATTAACAATTAACTATGTAAACGCTTCAAATTATCACAACTTTATATCTCGTCGCTAGACAACTGGGTTCAATTCGAGAGCATAAGGTACTCCTGAATTCAACCATTTAACTCTAAACTCGCCAGTGATAAATTCATTCTCCTCTCATACATATTTGCAGAAACATTCCATCGACGGCAGATTCTGCTCTGCACATTTCCAGAGCTAGAAAAGGGCACAGTAGGTTAAACTCGAGAATAAGTAAAAGAAATAGTACTTCTCCGGTTCATTAAGCTCTATCTCTACATCTTTCTCCTCCCCTCTTCCCTCTCCCTTTATCCTCTTTTCCTCAACACCGACCTTCATCATCGCTCCTAATGTTATTGATCTCATGATGCCATTCAACAATATGATATCAACTAGATAAGAATTCGGAGGAAGGAAGGATAATGTATTGAGATTTTTACTGATATGGTAAGATCATCATATACCGAGTATACTACTCGAGTAGGTATGCTTATCTACCAGGTAAGTAAGTATGACGAATGGAAGCTGCAAAATGATATTTAGATAATTAATCTATTTATTTCTTGACAGTATTGAAACTATATAAAGAGGTAAAAAAAAAAAAAAAAAGAAAGGGTATGCTCACTCGAGTACTTTAGTAGTACAATCAATAATACTTACTAGATACTTGACGTAGGTATTCAAATACAACTCGTAAGATTCGCAATATATAAAATGAAAAGAGAACAACAAACCAACAAGAAAGAGTAAAAAATTAAAAGAATCAAGACGAAAATAAATATACATTTATCCTCTCCTCGTCCTTATTTACCATCTAAAATACCTACCTACCTACCTACCTACCTACCTACCTACTCATCATTTGTATTGACACTCGAGACGAGAGTATTATATTATTTTCCCTTCTCCTTGCTCCCTAACCTTACCCCGCCATCATCCAAGAACTTATCTTAACATTAGCTAATAAACCCATCTCTCACCGCATCAAGGAACCATATCCCGTATCCCGTGTATTTCTCTAGAGGAACATTTAGAGTTTCTTGGCCCCGATCAGACAGTATAGTACTCTGTGCGTACTGTACTATGCTGTGCTGTGCTGAGTATACTTTTGAGTTTACTGGTTGAATTAATTGCTAGGTGGATAGAGTGGTTGTACCGAGTGTGTGGGTATTCTCCTTCTCCTTCTTGTTCTTGTTCATGTTCATGTTCTTCTTCTCCTTCCCCTTTCTCCTTCCTCCCTCTTTTGCTTCGAAAGACAAGGTACAAACAAGTCCAAGTACAAGTACAGGTAAAAGTAAAAAAACCCCTCCCCTCCCTCCTCCTCCTATCTCCCACTCCTCATTATACGAAAAGAACGTGCGGCTTTGAAACCAAAGTCATCAATCGTACAGAATATGTATGTGTGTATACGGACTCTGAAATAGATCAACACAAATAAATACAAATACCCATCCACCACAAGTGACCAAGTAACAAGACCGCTTAAACATCCCCTAAAAATTGATCTTCAGCTCTAGATAAGAGGACCCTGTCTTAGACCCTTGATTCATGTAGGTAAATCCTTTCATAGAATTAACTATATACTATAGTGCCTTACTAGGTATGGTATGGTATGGTATGGTATGGTATGTATGTACGTGGATATGAAGACTAAAAACCCACTACGCTACGTACCCCTGAATAATACTTAAAAATCACCTCACATGAAAGGTTTTCCCCAACATTTTCTCTTTTGGGTAGTACATCCGCTTTGTGAGTGTGTGAGTGTGAGTGAAAACGTAAGATCTTACTGTACAGCGAAGGAAGGAAAGAAAGAAAGAAAGAAAGAAAGAAAGAAGCGCAAATGTGGGGGCTGAACTGAACTGAGTATCTTCGAGCCTCATCTGCAGTGCGACTGTATCCTATGCTGTGCGAGTACGAGTATGGGTTTAACAGCAAATCGCATGTCTTACGAGTACATGCATTGATTGATCTTGAGTTAGATATAGATACATGCATGTGTGTGCAGAGTATGTGCATGGATCGTTCACTGTTTGTTTGGCACACCAAGAAAACATAGCCACGGTGCAACCTTGGGAAACACGACATATACGCAGTAGTAGTAGGTGCCAGTACCTAATAGGTAGGTAAAGGTAGCGGGAAATATCCCATTCGTTTGAAGTACGGTGTAGTGGTCCCTACATTCATGTATTCCTATTCATTCCGCGTCCTTCTTGGTCGATCATCTCATCTATCCTCTTCTTCTTCTAGAAGCAAGAAAAAGTCCCAAATGTGAAACCCCTTAAAGATAATCGAACTCGAAATTCGAAGTTCTACCGTCTCCCTTCTACCCGAGTTCATTTAATAAACACATATGTATGTACTCTGCATCCGTACTCTAGATTCAAACAATGATATAGCCAAGAAGCCAAGGAAGCCAAGATTCACAATGTTTATCACTAAACGAACCAGTTAAAAAATCGACATATCAACAGTTTTTGGATTCAATGAAGCGAGTGCCTAGTGGGTGGGTGAACGAGTCAAGGGTGGTCGAGATAGATGAAGTGTTCTTGTTTACCAATCTAGATTGGGAAAAGTGCCGAAGATTGAGTGATTCGAGAGGACCCTGCATTTTGGGATTTACTAGGATAGGAAGGGTTAGAAGGGTTAGATGGGTTAGAAGGGTTAGATGGGTTAGAAGGGTTAGATGGGTTAGATGGGTTAGAAGGGTTAGATGGGTTAGATGGGTTAGATGGGTTCTTTGGGGAGGTTTTGGTTCGTTGAATTTTTGATGGATGATTTTGGATTGGTGGGGTGGTAGTTTGTGTGAAGTGTGAAGTACTGAGATGGGTATTTAAAAGATATCTATGAGGCTGTTGTAACGGTGAACAGCCTGGGTAACACAGGAATGGTTTTGACATGTGCATAGGCTGATGTTCAGTAGTGAGGTTGGTTGCACGGAATTAGAAAAGAAATTGAGAAAAGGGATGAGATGAGAGATGAGAGATGAGAGATGAGAGATGAAAGATGGGAAAGATGACACTCCATAAGCTTTACGACAAGAAACCTATGAACGGTCAGCAATAATCTATAATCCAATTCATCCTTTCCCTTCTTGAGCCAGGATACTCGATATCTTCTTACTTTTTGAGGGGTCGTTTATAACAATACGGTAAGAAAAAGGAGGGGGTGAAGAATTAGAATTATGGATTCTGTTTAGACAGACAGTGAAATCAAGTGGAGATAGCTAGTAGATGGATGATGCATTGATCTTTGAAGACTCGATGTTTCAAGTTTCAATGCATGTTTCTCCTGAAGGGTAGCTGCTGCATTCCTTTACTACCGCTATCCGTGCTTTGATTATATGAAATAAATAGAAAGTCTATCTGTTATCTTTAGGGGATACATTGGTAACTGGGTATTCATGAATAATACCCATCTCCTATCCGATATATTCTCAAAGATGATGTGAGTATCGTATCGTATCGTATCGTATCTTATCGTATCGTATCCGTATCCATCCCCTTTCAATTCCTTCTCTAGTCTCACGACTCAAGGTATGTATGTAGGTAGGTATCCTTTCCAAGAAAAATAAATGCTGACACCAACAATCCTCAATTATGCAAACTTCTTATCTGGGCCAATCAAAAGCATCAATGGCCAGAAAGAATTACGGTAAATTGAGAAATTAAGGTAAAATCATGAATTGGACCCTAAAAACCAGCCAACCCCAGCTAACTTTCAAGGAAGGAAGTTATTAGTGGTAGCGTACCAAAAACTGTTGAGGAGTGTGAATCTCCACTATCTTCTTTTTCATGTATCCTTGAAGTGGAGAAACCTCTTAAAAAGTGGAGAAAAGTAAAGAAAAATAATGGGGAATCAAACATGAACGTGGTTCACGCTAAGAATTAAGGGTCCGGTTGATTGATCTTTTTGGAATTTATTTCATATGTGGTGAGTGAAGTGTGAAGTGTGAAGCGTGAAGTGTGAAGTGTGAAGTGGTAAAGTGGTAAAGTGGTAAAGTGGTGATTCGATGATTTGCTGATGTTGGTGATATGGGAAAATAGCCTCGACCATCGATCGAATCGAACACTGACCATTTTTTGAACTAAGGGTACTAAGGGTAAAGCTAAGAAAATATATCCCACATTCACCTATAAACTTCAACTCTCTCGCACTTCTCAATTCCTTTTCATATTTTTCTTTCTCTTGAAACCTTGATCCCTTTTCAATTGTTTCAATTTTCATTCTCTTTTTCTTCTCTTCACTCAGAAGGATTAGAAATCTGGGTTCTTCTGATTGCCGTCTCCAAGGTAGCTTCCTGATACAGATATTCTATACTTCATCACTGCATACCAAAGCAGGAAGTAGGAATCACCTCTATCACAAAACCTAAGATCTTTGAATTACTTCAATCGATCTGAAGAAAATACAAACAGAAAATATCAATCTCTCCAAACTCAATTGGAGGAACCAAACTCGCAAAGATGGCACCCTCAACTCGCTCTTCATCGAGCAAACCCCTCATTGAGGAAAAACAACCTCAACATCTTGACATGCATGGAAATGTCTTCGAACTCCCCAATTACACCATGAAGGAAATCTACGATGCCATCCCACCTCATTGCTTCAAACCTTCAATTATTCGATCAATGGCATACGTCGTCCGCGATTACTTTTACGTCTCCACCCTCATCTACCTCGCCCTTACCTTCATTCCAATGCTTCACAACGTATACCTTCGATTCGCTGCTTGGGTGGCATATACCACTGTTCAAGGATTTGTTTTCACCGGTATTTGGATTTTGGCACATGAATGTGGACATGGTGCTTTCAGCAAGAATAAGAAATTGAACTGGACCATGGGATTGATTATGCATTCTTTCTTACTTGTCCCATTTCACTCCTGGAGACTTTCTCACTCTCAACATCACAAAGCTACTGGAAATATGGATAAGGATACAGCTTTCGTTCCACATACAAGAGAGGGTTGGGTGAAGAGAAATTTTGGAGAGAAGACAAAGGCAAATATGGTTGAGTTTGCTGAATTGGCAGAAGATTCTCCAATGTACTCTCTTTACTATGCATTCATTCATCAATTATTTGGATGGCCAGGATATTTAATTGCCAACTTGACTGGTCAAGATTACGATGGTGCTAAAGGAATGAAAATTTCTCACTTCTACTTTGGAGAAGACAGTGTTTTCTACAAGAAGCATGAGTTGCCTTTAATCGCTTTAAGTGATGTTGGTGTAGCTGTTATGATTGCTGCCTTGATTTGGGCTGGTCAAGTCTTTGGAAGTTTCAATGTTATTGTTCTCTGGGGTGTTCCATGGTTGTGGGTTAACAACTGGATTGGTAAGTTAAATTCGTTGCCCTTCGATTAAGTCAGAACTAACACATTCTCTTACAGTTGCTATTACCTTCCTTCAACACACTGATGCTTCCATGCCTCATTACGACAACAACACCTGGAACTTCGCTCGTGGTGCAACCGCAACTATCGATCGTGATCTTGGTTTTATTGATACTCATCTTTTCCATGATATCATTGGTACTCACGTTTGTCATCATTTGGTTTCCACCATCCCATTTTACCACGCCGGAGAAGCAAGTCAACACATCAAGAAGGTCATGGGACAACATTACAAAGCCGATGTCAAAACTCCATTCTGGACCGCTTTCTGGAGAAATCAACGTACTTGCAAATTCGTCGAAGAATCCGAAGGAATGGAAGGAAGTGGTGTATACATGTTCAGAAACTTGTATAAACGAGAAGAAGAAGTTCATGCTAAGGATCTTACCAATGGTCAAGCCTCAATTGTCAAGGAAAGTGGAAAACCAACTGCTGCAAAGGTTGTGCCAGTTGGCTCAATGGCTACTGCTATGTCTACAAGCAGAAACATGAATGCAGGAAGAAGATTAAGTCAAAGTGTTCAAGAAAGAGCCAAGGCTGGATTACCTCTTTTGGCTGAGGTTTTGGGAGAGTAAAGTAGTCATGTCTCATCTTCACCTTGTCTGTGGAGGTTGAGAAAGTACTGGTATTATACCACGTACATTGGTGGATGGAGTTGAGGAGTTTTTTTATTTGATTGTTAAGAAAATACATGGATTTGATACCGGATGGAAATGATGAGGCTGGATCTTGGGAAAAGATACAGATGATTTAAATCAGAGCAAGCTTCTTTTTAGAGATAGATTGTTGGTTGATTGGTTTGTTGGTTGGTTGAATTGGATTGGAAGTAGTGAGGGATGAGTATGAAATGAAGCTCGATCGTACACTTTTTAGAGTGAGATGGAGAAGATTTTAGACTAGACTAGACTAGACTAGACTTACTTAGATGGAGAGTGTTTAGATGGACTAGATTAACATTATATTTAGAGTAGATGGAATCATATCGATGTTTTATTATACTCTAGCTCTTTTGAATCTCAAATCTCCGATTCTCAACTCCTTAACTCTTCAACTTTTGATTTATTTACTTGTTCACTTACTCACTCACTTATTAGGTATTTATTAATCAATATGCTATGACCACGGATCTTATACTAACCGATTGTATACTTACAAAATACGATTTGAACGATTTAGTATAGGATTGAAGTGGTGTAGAGAACAAATATATACAAACCTTGTTAACCTTGGATTCATAATAATTACAGGATTATATCATGAAGTATTGAAGATTCGAAGGCTTCTACACTCCAAAAGAGTATTGAAGGTTTGAAAGCTTTATAGCTTCTAAATACAAAGATCTATATAGCTAGGAAAGATTCCTTTCGTAGAGCTTCATACTTAAGATCAATCATTTAGTATACTCTACTATTAGTTACGAATTACAATTATTGATATTACTTTAAGCCTTTGCTTAATTTAATGTCTGGTTATAAACCATTCGAGGATCCAGGCTACTTCTATGTGATCTAGATCGCATCCCTCGTGACAATCACGCGGTCACAAGTACAATCAATCTATTTATAAAAACATTTATTTATTTATTTATTTATTTATTTATTCCATAAGAGACCCTAATTAAAGAAAAGAGGAAAAAAATAATCAGAGCCTCTAAAATCCTAATCTAGATGCCAGTATCCCCACCCCTATCCATCATATCCATCCTTTTCATTCGAGAAAGAAAAATCCTAAAGACAGGCAGGCAGGCAGTTAGATAAAACAAAGATGTAAGAAAGAGCAAAATGTAAATGCTATTTCTTATATCCATCCATCCACCATTTTAAGATCCGGTATCATATCATCACGCCATATGTAATTTTGATTCCTCAGTTGTTGTAATTACAACGTATTCCGAAGTTTGATGAATCCAAGATTAGATCGAAGATTAGACTAAACGAGTAGAATGAGTGCAACGAAACCGACGATTAAGGCAACAGATTCGGTACCGACAGCGTTGATCTCGGCGTTGCCGCTGTACATTGGTGGGGATGATTTGATCGAGGTGATGGAGGGTGAGATACCTGATGATGGTCGGGTAGTTGGGTGATAACTTGGCGTGATGCTTTTTCCGATGCCTGTTTCTGCATTTATTCCTAACAGACTACCAGTGCTGGTTGAGGAGTAGTTGGATAAAACGCTAAGGTTGGGTGTGGGTTCAATACTCATGTATGGATGACTGTGGGAGACAGAGTCGGAGGCAGGAGTTATGGCTGCATAGCTGGCGGAAGGTACCTTGGAGTTTGTACTTGAGTAGGTGGCCGCTTGGGGAGGGTATGACATGCCTGCGGTTGGGATGGTAACACCAACGAAGCCAGGAACGCTGTTGGTGGTCCAGGATTCTTGGGGTGGTTGATAGTATGTTGTTGAATGGGACGAGGAACTGGTAGATTTTCCTGGAGAACTGGCAGATGCTGTAGATCTAGTAACTGCAGTACCTGAAGGAGTACTGCCAGTAGCAATAAATGATGTTGCAGTAACAGTGACAGTAACCTGAGATGGGCAAGTGCAAGCTCCAGATGGTGCGGCACCATTGGAAGTAAGAACACCACCATTGCTAGAAGCTGAAAGTGATGGATTCAACATCAGAGATGCGGTAACAGTACGTGGAGGACCAGTCTCAGTTGTAGTCCAGGTACTTCCACCAGAAGTGAAAGTTTCTGTTGTGAGACCAGCTTGAGGAGCACCAGTGACAGGAAGTTTGCCAATAAAACTTTGAGAAGTGATACTAGCAGATGACCGTGCAATGGTGGTAGTGATAGTTCCAGTACGGGTTGTCGTTGAAGTGATGGTAGTTGTTCTTTTAGTTGTTGTTTTGGTTGTGCCAATAGAGCCGGATGCCGGAGAACTGCTAGAAATTATGCTTTGGAATGTTCCAATAATACCAGAGACTGCTGAACTGAATACATTGTTGTATGGTGGAATAATTGTAGGAAGACTTGCAGAGTTGGTTTGTGCTGTTCCGACAATGACAGATGTAGCAGGACTAGATGCCGACAATACTGGAACAATTGTTGTACTTGGATAGACTACAGACGGACTTAAAGACTGAACAAGGGAAGCTGTACTGTTAAGGAATGGAGCAGGGCTGATAGCGCTCATTGGCGGAAGGCTTGAAGCAGCTGATATGTGACTGATGCTGCTTTCTGCTGTAGCTTGAGCTGTCGATGATTCAAGTGATTTTGATTGAATTGTCCATGATTCAGCAGGCAATGATGAAACAGAGTATGATGGAGAAGCCGGAGTTTCAGTAACTGGAGGTTGAAAAGTGTATGGTTGACTGGAAGAAGGTTCACAAGTCGTCGATGGGGCTGCTAAGGATTGGGTCGCCGATGACGGAAGCCCTGAAGACCGAGTAGTCAATAATTGTGTCGATGATTTAGTAGTTGATGATTGGACAGTCGATGATAAAACTTCTGAGGATCGAGTCGATGATAGAGCAGCCGATGACTGAGTAGTCGATGATTGCGAAGTTGACGATTGCGAACTTGATGATTGAACTTCTGCGGATTGAGCAGTTGATGGTTGAGCGGTTGATGATTGTGAAGTTGAAGATTGAGAAGTTGCTGGAGTTAAAGACGATTGAAAAACATATGATTGAGCTGCAGAAGATTCAACGATGGATGGTTGAGCGGCAGAAGGTTGAACAGTTTCTGGTTCAAGAGTAGATGTCTCTAATGCTACTGGTTGAGTAACATCAGAAGTGGCCGTAGCTCTAAAGAAACTATATTAGTTCCATCAATCAAATTGTCGCAGAGTGTATACATACGAATGAGATGTAGTCGTAGCCCCAGAAGAAACAAGAGCAGCTCTACATTTAATTAGCAAAGTTCAGAGAAATGAATTGTGAAGTTAACTTACCCGTGTTCATTAGCAGCGGACAAAAGACTTGTAGTGGGAGCGACAGGTTCAACAGTCGGAGCTACAGGTCCAACAGAAACCAAAGTAGTTGGAGGCAACGTGACAGTGGAGAAAATGACAGTTGTAGAATCATGAATGCTGCTATGAATAACCGAATGACCGGGGCTAACAGGAGGGAAATTATCACTAAGGGTTGATGCGGCTGCAGAGGCTTGATCGATAGTAGTAAAGACAGGAGGGGAACCGAAATTAGAAGATGTAGTTGCGACAACTACATTATTGACTGTGACGGGAGAAGTTCCTGGTAAAGTAAGACCTCCATTGGAGATCTCTCGAACCTCATTATTAACTGCATTGACGGCTGTATTGAAAGAATAGAAGTTAGTAACTTTTATACGAATATGAAGATCGATGGTGACATATACGGGAATTTGACGCATCTCGACCAGAAGTCGCTGCAGCAACCAGTGCCGTAACAGAAAGCAGAATACTCAAAAGGAGATTCATTTTGATGATTTCAATAATTCAGAGGCAGGTGTTCAATATTTCTATGAAAAGAACGATCTTGAAGTATTTTCGAGGAAGTTTCTTGATGGATTTGGTGTTTTGATAGATGGAAGTGTTTTTGGTTTTGAGGGCGGGAAGGGAAGGAAGGGAAGGAAGAAAAGATCAAGAAAGAAGGGGAGGAAGATGTAGGGAAACAAGGAGAGAATTTTAATAATCGTAGGAGGTTCAAAAATGAGTGTAGTGTATCAAATTGATCAACAACTTGATGTTTTCCGTTTTCCGTTTATCTTGTATTGTGTTTTGGTGGGGAAAGGTAAAAGGTTGTTATTTCAAAAACTGAGGTGATTTTGATGCGAAAGGGTTGTAATGTCGGGCCGACAGCCTTTGCCGAAGGACTTGAAATGAATTCATAACGACAGCAGAAGAATCATCAAATTAGAAAATTATATTTCAAAATCGTGTGATGCATTAAAGAGGCATGTAATTTGAGATTGATTTGGAGGAAAAAATAGCTTGATTGCTCGGATTTCTTTCCCCTAAGTTATCAATTATGACATTACAATCTTCATATAGGTAGCAATGTATGCTGACAAACACTTTTCAGATTCTCAAATGCAGTATGTGATGCGAAATATCTTATGACCCAATAATAGCAAACACATTTCAAAAGATGGATTTATGATCCGATTGAGTTGTCGTTCGTGACTTCCAAGTGGCAAGCAAATATTGGCTTGAGTATAGCAAACAACACACAATGAGTCTCTTCCCTTCTCCTTCTACTAATATCGTCAGGACTATCTTCCTGTTATTCCGGATTTTGATTTTATTACAAGTTGTTACACTGGTGCCTTGATGTATCAGTTTATCTCACAATGGATCAGCCTTCGAGTAAGTGGGCTGGATAACCTTGACCAAACTAGCACGCATCAATATGATCTCAAGGTATATCTGGAGTCATTTCTTGTGTATTTATATGAAGAGGAACAGTTTTCTTGGCCAGATATCCATAGTCGGCCTCCACGGCGGTGACCCCCGGAGGGCCAGCGGAGCGTCATCAAGATTCCCAGGAGATAATCTAGCTGTCGCTTGATGTTCGAAACATACATCAGTCGAATTACTTGAAAGGCATATAAACAAGGCTGAATCACGATAGTGTTGAGGTATTTCGCCCTACCGTCTCCAGGAAACACCATGTCATCTCGATCATGATAAGTTGAACATGTGAAACAAACTACTATGAGCCACAAATTGAATACACGAACGTCTTCCTCATGTGCCTAATGGTTCGTGGAGGGTTATCTTCTCTACTCAAGCCTAGCTTCAAGCCTCCAAGATCGGATTTCTGGATGTACTTGACCCATTCTCCTCGTCGCAAGATAGTAGGACACCTGCAGGACGTAGTATTGAAGGCCCTGAACTATCAAACCTTGAAAATATGAATCTACAACACTTGATACGCTCTCTTTACTACAGGATAGCAACATCAAGTATACATTCAAACATAGCAAACTACCTTCGACCCGAGTGTCTTATCTAATCTCCTAGTCATCAACATATTTGGTAGCACCACTCTTAGGCTCGAGAGAAATGGATATGTGTCCATATGAGAGGCAAATACGAGCAGAGCATTATATTCTAGAGCAACGTCTCACAATATCTAAGACACAAGAATTATCCCAAGCTCGACCATCGTGTGAATGCGAGAAGCCATATGAGCAACAGATGAGTAGATAATTGCCCGATTAGATAAAATCGTACCTGTCACTGTATGGAATACTTGTTCTAGATGAAGCATTGGTTATTCTCCCTACCTGTCCATGTATCGCATGATAAATGGACCACGACGACTATGAATTGATATTGCTGCTAAATTTAACATGATTCTGGGTATCGACACGATAATTTCGAGTGGTCGGTAGAGTAACTTGATTATTTGTGAAGACCGTCTTAGGTAGGTAGACAGTGAACGTTGAAGTGAAGGTTGCATTGAAGTGAAGTGAAGGTTGAAGTGAAGTGAAGGTTGAAGTGAAGTGATGCTTATTAGGATAAAAATATCTCTAGCGCGATTGCCCCAAAAAGCTTAAACGCGTCCTAGAGCACTTTGGTACCACACGCGATTTCTCCTCCACCCATGTAAGTAAGCTCAAATACATCAATCATCAAATAATAAATGCATTCAACCACAAAATAATCCACCATTCCTCTGCGCATCTCCAAATTAACCTCAAACGAGAATATTTACGAAAACTACAACGCCGCGATTGGACCTTTCAATTGAAAATGGCTCCGCGCCGCGGTGCGATCGAATCTCCTGAACCAGAAGAACCATCTAAGAGCTTAGTCTTTAATGAGCCATTATCATGGCGCGCAGGGAAGCCCATTGCGACCGAAACTCTATTGAAGAGACTTAAGAAGCTCGCGAGTGAGCTGCGAGATATGGACCAGGAGGAAATTGATAAATCATCATTGACTGTAGTGGCCAAGGAACTTGGGGCGCAGAATTTATTAAACCACAAGGACAACGGAGTCAAGGCATGGGCAGGATGTTGTTTGGTAGATATATTGAAGCTTTGCGCTCCGGATGCACCATATACTAGTTCGCAGGTTAAGGTATACCATCTCAGACATTCCAAGACATTAAATCAGGACCTAACCTTACCAGAATATCTTCACCTTCTTCGTCACCACCATTTTACCAGCCCTCTCTAACCCTAGTCACACATACAATACCGAGCACAAATATGTTTTGTCATCTCTCGCAGAAGTCAAAAGTATCGTCTTGATGACGGATCTTCCTAGTGCTGAGGATCTCATGCTTCATCTTTTCAGCACTTTCTTTGACATTTGCTCCGGTTCCTCAAAATCTTCTACGGGGGAACAAATAAGTAAAGATGTCGAATACAACATGTCACAATGTTTAGTTACTTTGGTGGATGAAGCGCCAGTGATGGGTCCTCATGTTATCGATATTATTGTTGCACAATTTCTACGAGCTGCTACGCCTAGTGGAGGTAAAAGCAAGCACGGTGCAAAGGCCGATGACAAGCAATCCACGCTATTGTTGAAAGATTTACCAGAAGCATACAATATGGCAAAGACGATCTGTAATGATTGCTCTGATAAGATGTCTCGTTATGTTAGTCAGTACTTTAATGATGTTATGATGGAGGTTTCTACAAGTGGAGGTAAAGCAAACGGACATCGGAAGGATGATGCAGATTCGGATGAAGATGATGCACCCACAGGGCCAACAGATTCCGATCTGAAAGAACTTAACAAGGCCCATCGACTTCTTAGAGAATTGTGGCGTGCATCACCTGCGGTTCTGCAGAATGTCATTCCTCAGGTGGAGGCAGAATTATCAGCGGAGAATATCCAATTACGAATGTTGGCTACCGAGACTTTAGGAGATATCATCTCTGGTATTGGTGCTGCAGGACCACCACCTCTTCCAAACATGGATCCAGCTGCCTATCCACCTGTACGACTTGATGATTACCCGGTAACACCCATCACAAGCATTCTCATCAAACCCAGTTCACCACAGTCGTTTTCTCAAACACATCCATCTGTTTGGCATAGCTTCATTGGTCGAAAAAATGACAAATCGCCAGTCATTCGGTCAGCTTGGACCACAGCCATTGGCCGAATCTTGGTTACTCAGGCAGGAGGTATTGGGTTAAATCGAGAGGACGAAGTTGCACTGGTCAAGTCATTGGCAGAGAAGTTGAATGATCCAGACGAGAAGGTCCGAATTGCTGCTGTGAAAGCGGTTGCAAGTTTCAATCTTGTGGATATTATGGAAAAGCTTGCGCCTAATGGCCCAGTAACTAAGTCCGGTTCTGTTCTTAGCAACTTGGCCGACCGAGCGAGAGACCGTAAGCCTGCGGTTCGAGCAGAGGCTATGACAACACTTGGTACGATATGGGGTGTGGCTACCGGTGAGATTGCTGCAGGAAATGAGAGTGTTATCGCTTCATTAGGGGCTATTCCCTCGAGGATTTTCGATGGTTTCTTCGCCAATGATTCAGAGCTTAATGTTGTGTTAGATCATGTGATGTTCGAGCAGCTATTACCTTTGACATATCCTCCTTCCAAGATCAAAGGCTCGAAGAATGGTTCGTCTCAATCCCAGTTATCTTCCGACGAACCATTCGATGCAGACAGAATCCGAGCAGAGCGCATCTTATTGTTAGTTCGATCTCTTGATCCTAAACCCAAGAAGGCTTTCTTTGCTATACAGGCCCGGACAAAGTCATACTCTGATGTTTTCAATGCATATATTAAAAAGTGCGAAGAGTTCAATGGTGGGGTAACCGATGGTGATGCTGCAGATGCTAGACAAAAGCTGAACGCAGTGATTGAATATCTCCTTCAATTCTTTCCAGATCCCCTTCGGACAAGCCAAGATTTACATAAATATGCGAAGCTTCATGATCGGAGAACTTATCAACTTTTACGGTACACAATGGATCCTAAGAGCGATTTCAAGACTGTTCACAATGCGATCAAAGAATTCTCCAAACGTATCGAGGCAGCACCCAACGCTCCAGCTGGTCTTCTTGATACTCTTACACCCCTTATTTACCGTTCTGCGTTCTTGATATACAATCGAAGTCATTTGCCTACTATTCTCCAGTTCTCGAGGACTGATGATAAAGGGTTAGGTGCTACAGCTCAAGAGGTCATGAACGAAATTTCCGAGAAGAATCCACAGGTCCTGACAGCGAACATCAAGGAGTTATGCAAAACTTTGGAGGATGAGGCACCAACGGAGACGAAAGAGAACGACGCAGGCACTGTGGCAACCTTGAAAGCATGCGCAGTATTTGCCAAAAGCAAGACCGAATCTAAATCACTTCCAAAAGACCGCAAGTTTACTCAAACATTAGTCAATTACGCATCCTATGGAACACCACCTAAGGCTGCCAAATATGCGATAACTCTTTTGATGGCTGCCACCGACCGAAAGGAGATGCATGCAAAGGATCTTTTGGACGAGTCATCGAAAGAATGGGAATATGGAGAGGGTCATTTCTTGACCAAGTTGGCAGCAATCAGTCAATTGCAGCTGTTATCACCCAAGATTGCCGATGACTATAGTAATGAGATTCTTGAAATCACCACCAAAAAAGTTCTTTTACAGGTCCGAACTCCAGCGAAAGAGGCTGATCCCAGCTGGCAAAATGATGATGAATTGGATGAAGAATGCCAAGCTAAGTGCTGGGCTCTGAAAATTTTAGTGAACAGGCTGCGTACAGTCGAAGAGGCAGAAATAAAAACTGTTGCTCAACCCGTCTATAAACTTTTGAACACATTGATCGTTAATGACGGAGAGCTTTCAAAGAAGCAGGATACCCCCAGACATCACAAATCTCGATTGAGGTTATTGGCAGCACAGTTAATGCTCAAGCTTTGCACTACTCCAGTATTCGACGAACTTTTAACTCCCGCTCAATTTGACCGTCTATCTTTCGTGGCTCAAGACGAGCACATGAATGTTAGAAAAGGTTTTGTTGAAAAGCTTCAAAAATACTTGGTTAAGGATAAGCTCCCTGATCGTTTTTACACAACCATTTTCTTAACTGCTTTCGAACCGGAACAAAACTTCAAAAATTCAATCATCACATGGATTCGTTCTCGTGCGAAAGTCTTTGTTGAATCCAAGACTATGGTACTGGAGAAAACTCTCCCACGACTGCTCTCACTCTTAGCACATCACCCAGATTATAGTGTTGAACCCAGGGAACTTATCGACCATGCTCGTTACATATTATACTACGTGTCTTCTATTGCGTCGGAAGACAATCTAGGTCTTATCTATAAGTATGCTCAAAGTGTCAAACAAGCTCGAGATGCTATCAACCCTGCCGAATCAGAAAATCTATACGTCTTAAGTGATCTCGCGCAAGCAGTAATATCAAAGTGGGAAGCCAAGAAGGGTTGGACTATGCAGTCCTACCCGGCCAAAGTTAGGGTTCCTGCAAAATTGTTTGGACCACTTCAATCTCACAGTATAGCTCAAGAAATTGCTGAAAAGAACTTCATACCAGAAGAAATGGATGAAGAATTAGACAGGTTGATTAGAAATGTGGACAAGAAAAAGGTATGTCTCAGTCGCACTTATTTCCAGTCATGTGTTTTAAGTTATTTGCTAATACCAATCACAGTCACAAAAACGAAAATCTATGGATGAATCTTCTCTCCCCGTAGCCAAGAAACAGAAATCGGAAGGAAGACCTAAATCTACAGCTCCCAAGAAAGAAAGGGTAGCCAAAACTCCTAAGCCAAAGAAAATCAAAGAGCCAAGAACTCCGGCTATTAGTAGTGCGGAGAGAAGAAAGAGTGGAAGAGGTACGAGTGCTAGAAAGAGTTATGTTGATAGGGATGACAGTGAGGATGAGGATGAAATGTTGGAAGGAGTTAGTAAGTGGGAGTACTTTGATAAGGATGGTAATAGGGTGGAATCAGAAGATGATGAGGATGAAGATGATGTTGAGGAAAGCGGAGATGATGTTGAGGAAAACGGAGATGATGTTGAAGAAAATGAAGATGATGCAGAGGAAGAAGAACCGAAGCCAAAATCGACAGGGAAGGGAAAGGCAAAGACAAAGACACCCAAGAAATCAGCCCGGACTGTGGTCAGCGAAGATGAGGCTGAGGAAGAGGATGTGGTTATGGAAGATGAGGCACAACCCGAAGTTGAACCTGAACCTGAACCTGAACCTGAATCGGAGACCGAACCTACACCACCACCATCTAAACGTGGAGCAAGAGCAGCGGCTAAATCAAAAGCAAAGGCAAAAACACCCTCTAAAGCAAAAAATCAAGCTCCTGTCATTGAAGATGAGAATGAGGTTGAGCAAGTCCAAGAAGATGTGGATATGGAAGAGGAACTCGTATCTTCGCCTCCGAAACGCGCTTCTAGATCTGCTAAAGCTACACCTAAGGATAAGAAATCGAATGGCAAAAAAGTCATACCGCAGGAGGAGGTCGAATTAGACGAAGGTGACGTGGCAGATGCGGATGATGCAGAAGGATCAGCGGAATCGATAGCACCGGAAGAAATATCGCTACCTACTCCTTCTCCTCCACGCGCCAAAATGAATACTAGGAATCCTAGAGCTTCTGGTAGGGGAAGAAATGGTAGAGGGAAGAAAGCGGTCAGTCCGGAACCTGAAGCTGAGGTTGAAGAAGAGCAAGTACTTCAAAAAGAGGATTCTCCCGCAGTTGATGCAGAAGATGAAGATGTAGAAATGGCTGATGAACCTGAAGTCCAAGCTGATGTCGAAGAAGAACCTCAAACTAACGGTAAGAAAACTCGTGGTAGTACTAAGTCTCGTGGGAATATATCTACGTTACCTGTTCAAACGAAATTAAAGGTAGATAGACAGGTATTGAAACCGACAAGGAACACAAGGGGAAAGGTTCAAGAAGTGGAGGAGGAAGTTGTGGGGGAGGTAGCGGAGGAGGTGGTTGAAAGTACACCAGTCAGCGCGAAAGCTGGTAAGGGAAGGAAGATTAGGGATGTAGTTGGGAGTGGTAGGACGACAAGGGGAAGAGCTAAGTGATGGGTGATTGAACGATGATGGGAAATTGAAGAGTGGAGCTGCAGGCAGGAAAAGCGTATACCCAGTTCGCGTTGCGAAAAGGTTTTGTTTGTTGTATGGATATCTGTTGATTCTTTTCATACGATTGGTATATGGCTCATGGTACATGATTTGATTGGTCGAATTCATTCTCGATATTCGGTACTATTTAAATATCGCAGCTGAGGGAATAGTGATGATGAGAGGAGAAGTGAAGTTAAGAGGTTAGATGGGACGGTGAAGGAAAATGAAGTATGAAAAGGTGTGGGGGGAAGGAGGGGTAAGAATGCGCAGGACGGAAGACAGAAAACAGAAAGGAGAATTAGTAATTTTATATTTATGGAAACGGAATACAAATGAAATGGAATAAAGTGGATGAGTTGTTTATGTGCTTACTTGCTTGCTTGCTTACTTGTATTATTATTGTTTTTTGTAGATATTTATCTTGTTAACCGGTTAGTTAATTAGCTTTTAATTATTAAATGAATTATATAAAGTAATATAATATAAATTATATATATTATATTATACTTTTATTTTATTTTATTCTATTTGAAAATCATTGAGAAATATAAATATATCTATCTTCAATTCAATCAATTGAATAATTAATTAATTAATCAATAAGTTAAAATATAAATTTCAAATTCTAAGTATTAATCAATCATCTAAATAGACTCAGTCTTATATTTAATTAAACACAAGATTAATTAATACACGTAGTATATCTATTATAAGAATTCTCCCTGTTCATTCATATTATCACATATCATCCCATCACATTACATTAATAATTCCATATCATATTATATCATATCATATTATATAATTCCTCATCTAATTTCTGATGGTATATCACTAACTACCCTACCTAGTATCACTACCTCTATCCCTCTTTCCTTCCTTCGTCACTTCCTCATACCTCACCCCTCGCTAACTAGCTAGCTATCTGCTCATTATAGCACAGCATAGCATAGTAGCAGCAGGATGCGGAGCAAATATCATACAACTTTCCCCAGTTTTTTTCTTTTTTTTTTCTTCAAATCTTCCAATATCCTGCTTCCCTTCCATCCACGGATGTAAAGGGGATCAAAAGAAACTTCTCCTCCTCTCCTTTCCTTCCCTCTTCTCTCATACCATCGGGAAACAAGATGATATGATATGATAAAATGCCTCTTTCCACCCTCCGTTTTCTTCTCTACGGTCGATCTACTATCTGCCGACTGTCCATTCATCCATCCATCTATCTAATACCCTTCCATCAAACAATCATCCTCATCACCACCACTACCACACTCTTCATATTCCGCCATCTTCACCGAAACTTCCCCCAAGAAAGAAAATCAAACCACCAACCTCCGCTGCATCTCATCTCTCACCTCTCAACTCTCAACTCTCACTCCTCACTCCCCACAACCTATTAAAATGCACCAACGCATTCAAGTATCCCGCAAATTCTCAAATACTCAAATCCTCAAAATCTCCCAAACACCTCAAAAAAAAGACAAAGTAGAAGGAAAAAACTCCACCAAACGCCATGCTGCACCAATGATCCCATCCTCCACTCTCAAATATGCTCTTAAGCATTGCCCAAAAAGAATTGTGTCGTATGATATGATTTATGATACAGGTATGAAATAATTTTTGTTTACGTCTTTCTCTCTTTCTCGAGATAGCGCAGATTGAAAAGTGTGGTTTAATAGAAATGAAAAAGTGCATGCCAGAGCAAAATAGAATAAAATAGGGTAGAAAGTAATAATCAATATTCGTTTTCGGCACAGCGAGCTATGCTTACTATCAAAAAACTGATTCTATGGTGCAGAGATACCACCCTGTCATTGATAAATCGATGTGGAAGATAGGGACTGTAATGTCAATGTCCGTTATTCTTCCAAAAGGTGTCACGCGATGACATATCATGTGACAAGTCTTGGTAGTCCCCACTCCCTCTACCACATGAAGTTGACCTGATAATATCCGAATCTAATGATGTGAAGTCACGAGTCTTCCTATTCATCAGAATCATCAACACGTCCAACCAGACTTTCCTCATCATCAACCTCCATACGGCCATCCTCAACTTCTCTATCGTTAACGGTAGAAGCCAGACGTTCTTGAAGAAAGGCTGTCATAGCCACCAAAGATGATTTGTCAGCTTGAGTTAATGGCTTTTTCTTGGAAAGCTTTGACGCATCTCCTTGTGCTATTAACTTGATAACAGGTTCATCGGCTTCGGACTAAAGGGATTTTGGATTAGCGTTTGTGTTACGTCATTATGGTACGTAGCTTGGAGATCTAAGGATAATTGGGAGATAACTTACAATTAAGGCATCAATTAGACTTTGCGTAAGATTAATTGATGGATTTGCTGTGGCCAGATATGCAAGATTGAGAGCAGCTTGTTGTTCATCAATGTCACGTCTGCTGAAATCGACGGTGTGTGATCGTGGTTTTGGGATAGAGGTCCTATTATTGGTAAAGCTTCGTTGATTGTACTGTCCAAATTCACGATGAATGCTATACAATTAATCAGTAAATAAACATCCATCAGCCGAAAGGATACATACCGTGAAATGAAGTCAAGCTTGATACCCTCTTCTGGCAGCTTATACACATGTCCATACTCTCTCTGCTCGTAAAACCCACTGCCTTGATCTTCATCTTCAGAGGCAGTGTTTTCAACCTCAATATGTCCATTATTTCTAATGCCACGAGCAAGAACAGGTTTAATGAGTGAAGCCCCCTTGATCTTCCTGAAACGATGAGCTGGACCTAAAGATCCTGGTACTTTCTCAAGAAGATCATCAACATGAGCCGGACATCTCCAAGATTTTCCAGGTGGGGGTTCTTTCGCAAGTGGAGGATCTAAACAATCCAAATGCCATGAAAGACTACAATAAGAACATGGAATGATTGCTCGACTTGGTTGAGATGCTGAGAGGTGACAGTTATGACAGAGAATTGGATTTCCTTTATTGTCCTTCAGTTTGAAGTAATCAGGAGCTTCATCATAACCACGATTATTTCTGATGGATGGTTAGTAAGAAAAGGCCAAGAGTATTACAAGAGGTAAGCTTACTTTGGCTTTTGTACAACACCTTCTTCGTACTCTCCTTCAGTTCCAGTCTTGACATTTTCGAAATATTCCCGAATTGCTAATGGGAGATAGAAAGCACTTGGATTCTTTCTCTCCAATTCTGCCAACAAAGGACCAAAAAATCCAACTTCTTCATCCTTCGATCGAGGAACGTTGTTCCCAAGGCATTCATAACAATACCATTCTTCATCTGTTAAACTTTCCGGATCACTCGGAAGGTCTACACATTTGAAATGAAAAGATCGAGTGCATCCGTCACAACAAAGTAACTTACCATTGCCGCCACAAGACGTACAATAGTCATCGTTATCTCCATCAGTCTGTTCAAGCATATGTCAGCTTTTTGGTTGTTCGCGATACAACCATAATAAACTCTCTTGACAATAATAGGATGATGAATAATGAAATGTGAAGGTGGCAAAGGTTTCATATGTGGGGGTTTTTCTGGCTCGGCAAGGACGAATGGGTCTGATGTAGATAATCCACAATCCACCATGATTATTATCAGAGTTTGCGCTATCTGCTATCCGCCCGGACTGCAGCTTTTTTTTTCTTCTCAAAATGTCCGCAGTACCCAGCCTCCTGATTATTGAAACAACAATGCAACATAATAAGAACCAAATTTATTTCAGAATACATCAAAATGTCATCATTTTCATCGAATCATAACTTCATCATCGAATATCATGTAAAATGAGGGACTCGAATAAAATGATGACGATTTTGTGATGATAATGATGACAACGATGATAAATGTGAAGAGTGTAGAAGATGTAGAGGAGGATGCAATGAAGGGGTAGGAGGGTGGAGCGGAAAAGAAAAAGTGACTAAAGGTGACAAAAAGCGATGAAGAACTTTGCAACATCATCTATTTAACCTTTTCACCATCGTCGCCGATACTTCATACACATATTTGAAAACAAAATAGCTTACATGTTGATTTGTATAATAACCTCCAACTGGACTATTCCGCTCACCGCTCGCTCTTGGGATACCAGCTGAAGGGCCACTCTTTTTCTTCATTGGTCTGTGCGAGGGAAAAGAATTGTTAGCGAATTGTTCTGGTCATTTAAATAAGAAAGAAAGAAGAAAGAAAAGTTTAAGTGCAATTCGTGGTGAAAGGAAGTTCCGTCGGTGATCTGTTGTGTAACATGAGGATACGACACGACGCGACAGGTGCACTTGAAACAATGTGTGAAGTGGCGAGGATTAGAGGGATCCAGGGAAACTAATGAGTCAAAAGATACAAAGTTCCTCCCTTCCAAAGGATGTAGAAATAGAAATCTGACGTGATACAAAAGACATGAAATAAAGCATGGAAACTTACGAGGTTTTGACACGTAGACCAGTGCCATTCTTTGCCTTTCTAGATGGTCGATTAGATGAGGGTGTGCCAGCACGAGAATTTGGTAATGATCCAGGAGGTAAATCAGGTTGAAATCCAAGTCCGGTGGGTGAACTCATTTCCGAATCGTAATTGTTAACAGAGGCAGTAGTGGTCTGTCTTCTGCTGGCTCGTTCGTTCTTATTGATCAATCGAATAGTTTTGGTGGGACGATTAGAAGTTGTCGCAGCAGTGGTAGGGATAGACACAGAATCTCCCCCGTCAGATGTGTATTCAATAGCTCGAACTGGGGGAGTTACACTTCTAGGCTCTATATGTGGACGTACAAAGCTTTCAGTGCGTATGTCCTCAGTAATACCATTGGTAATTTGTCGCGCCTTGCGCTTCCATTTACCAACCAATTCGCTCTCTTCATAAGTAGGGCGATCAATTGCCTGCTTCTTCTTTGATTTGAATACGATTTGTGGCTTTTTAGGTATCACTGGCTTCAGTATTGGTACTGATCCAACAGAGGAAGACGATGAGGTACGTATTAATTCAGGTGCCATATTTGAGTTAGGGTGAATATTTTCCGTATCTAGACCAGAACTTAAATTTGTGGTTGTATTATGAGATCTGGTCGGGATATTGATAGCTTGGAAAGATGGAGGCGCAGGTGACGAAGTTTTAGATTTGTTTAGAGCTCGACTTTTATTATTCGTTTTGTTTACCTTGGTTGAAAATGTATCGGATTCGAACCTAGACAAATCTTTCGATTTGATTGGCTGCTTTTGATTGATTGACCCTCCCACATTTGACTGGGTCTCGGTTGAAACGGATGCACCAAATTTCGCGTTGGCATTGGCGTTACCCGCTTCAACAATACCCTGTCCCTTGGACCGTCCGGAGCCATTCGAAGATTTAGTTGTACCAGCATGGTTGAGAGCGTGGTCAAAATCCATAGGACTATATTCTTCATTGTCAAGAATTTGTTCATCAACTGATGATAATGATGAAGAGCTCGAGATTGAGACTGCTCTCGGACGATCCGACGATTTGGATGGTGGGGATGATAAAATTGCACCAGAAGACGCCGACGCAACCCCGTTCCGTTGCTTCTTCTTGATTCCATCGACGCCACTTGCACTCGCAATTGGCTTATCGTTGACTTCCTCATTTGTAGCTGTAAAACTATTTCCTTTGTGCTTTTTATTAGGATAGAGAGCATGATCCCCCTGATTTCGTGGAGATACAGACGCGGAGGATGGTTTAACATCTGATGGATGCCTAACAGGATCAGCTGCTGGTGCTCTTGTCTCTTTCTTGGTGGAAGTAGCTGGTGGCGGCGGAGGTGGCTGAGCATATATCGAGGAATATGGTGAAGCATAAGGTGAGGAGTACGTAGGTCTTTGTGTCTCAAATATTGGTTTGAAAGGCTGGAATATCATAGCTTGGGCAGGTGGCGGCGGTGGAGCTTGAGGTCTTCGCGGTCGATAAGGTGCAGGGTCACTACCATCTCCGTTGAAATAATATTCAGCGGTCTTGTCCTTTCTACCTTCTTTTTTCTTGAGCGAAATCAATCTGGTAAAATCCCGAATCTCCTCCTCTGTAGCCTCCTCGTAGACCACTTTTTCAACAAGCGTACCAAAATTCTCTGGATCCTCGTCAAATAATTCTCGTAGAGCAAAGGCAGTACACCAATGCTGCTCCTCGATGGCTTGGGATACAGCTAATTCCACCATCCTAGCAGTCTTTCTGCGGAAAGCCGCCTCGGCTGCCCGAGCCCGTCCCTCCCGCTGACGAGCCTCATCTCTTTCATCATACGTATAATTCATCTTGTGATTATGATAAGAAGGAGCTAGAGAAGGTGACTCGTGTGGAAGGGGTGTGCGTTGAGCAGGGGAAGTCGCATACATGCTAGGTCCTTCGCTTTCGTTGCGTACGCTTTGAGGGGCAACACTCGATCTAGTAATACTTTTCCGCGTGCTTCTCGGTTGTGGCGGAGTTGAAGGCAAAGCATGCTCAGTGTCCTCGATCCTTGTAGATGTCGACCCCCGTCGTGAAACGTTCGATATAGATTCTGTAGTGTCCATCGCTTCCTGGGGTGTGGCCGATAAAGAGGGAGGAGCATCATCCATCACTTCTATGACGCCATTAGGTCTGCTTCCATTCGCATCTGCTGCCTCGGACTTGGCAGAAGATTTAACGGCTTTTGCGCTCGGTCGCGTTCCAAGTGGTGCCATATTTGCGACCACTCCGTGCCTCTCCATTCCAGCTTCTGCGAAAGACGGCAAAGGCGTGGGGATAGGAGGTTCCGTCCATTTGTCCATAAACGTTCTTTTTCGACCTGTATCTGCGGCAGTAGCTGGAGAAGAGTTCGAGTTGCGTTGTGCGGAAACAAAAGGACTGGAACGACGAGAGCGTGTTGGGCGGGAATTGAGTTGGCTCATAGCTTCCTCGCTCGTCGCCTCCTGCGACCGACCCGACTCCTTTCAATTGCGATCGCACTCCCAAGGTAACTAATAAATTGTTAGTCTATGTATCATTTAATTTAAAGGGATTGAAAGTACTTCTCTGCAGTTTGCAATCATGCAAATGTTCTCAAATGTTGTTCCCAGGGGAGATGTACGCGTTGAATTATCGTGGTATGATTGAGTTGAGGAGGAAAGAAAGTCAAGTTCTCGCTTCGAGATGAAATCCCTTAGCTAGCGCCCCTTGAGAGCCGAAGTCTTTGGCTGCACGAAATGGGAAAAGGTAAATGACGGAATTCCGTCTATTGGAACTTCAGATGAGTTTCAGAATTCCTAGATGGCGTAGGAGGTTAATAAATGATTCTAATCGATGATCGTTACGACGAAAAAGTGTTTAGTTGAAGGAAATATATCCTCCTATTTCAAAGGTGATCGATCGCGTAAGTTTTCTCGTGGTGTATTCGTGTCATGTGAAAAGATGGCATGAAATCATGAATCAAAAGAGGGGTAGAATACAGCACCAAAAGTGGAAAGGAAAAATACCTTTACTACTTGTTATTGTGAGGCGGTAGTGACACGAACAATAGGTTGAAGGAGGAGAAGAAGAAGAAAGCAGAAGAGGAAGAAGGTGGTGAAATGAGTAACCTGCCCTTATCGATACCGAAATGAAATTAACTGGTGACCAAAAGATCTTGGAGTCGCTTAAGAGACTGCTGGATGGATAGGGCGGCAGTAAGTGACTTCTTCATACAGCTTCCTTATTAATTTTCTCTGCGGTTCTTGATGAAGTTGATGAAAAGTTATGGTTGAAAATGTTACCCAGGAGGATTATTCCGTATTGTTTTGGGTCGAACCTTGGAAGCGAAGAAAGTATGTAACGGTTTACTAGGCAATTCTGGGATCTCGCCTTCAAACCCAACTAACTACGCTAACCGAGCGTTCGAAAAGAGGAGGTGCCGTACCAATTCAGAGTGGCTACACGTCACATAGCTGAGAAGGTCATAGAAACACGCGATAATCAAACAATTAAATTCACTTGCAAGATTGATTTGGTTCAGCACTCATTTATTTGCTGCATATCTCTGAATTTGAGAAGCTTTCCACTGCTCAATAAAATCTTCCTATGGGATGCAGACCCGAGTTACCACATTTGCTCGTCGCTCTTCCGAATGACAATAAATGAGGTAAGAACAGTGAATACTTGACAAGCTTTATGAAGCAGTGCCCGCAGCAAGAAACGTAAATAGAGAAGAGTAGTTTTCCATAGTGAGGTTTGAATCAGACCATTTGTCAGCTTTCAACTGATTCAGCTGTCATCTCTCTTCCTCTTATCACGTGCCTAATCCCTCACCGACCTATTTACTCTGCTGCAGCGGGCTTCTTAGCAGCTTTCTTCTTCTTGTCCTTAGCCAAAGGCTGCTCCAGTATCTTGAGGATCTCTTCATCAGTGATCTTCTTATCAGTCTTGAACTTGCTAAGATCTGGCTCAGGTGGTGAAGCAATCTTTTGTAAACCGTTTTTGGTAATTGCTAAACGTGTTAGTAATCTTTCAAAGACAAATATTTTCATCATTACTCACCGATGGTGGTCAACAATCTTCCAACTGCCTCGTTATCCTTGTCTCCAACAACTTCATATTGTCTGAAAACGTTACCACGTACACACTCAACAACACCGACCTTAGCATCTCGCTCAGATTCCAATTGTCGTAAACTGAATGGGAAAGTGCCAAACTTCTTCACAACTTCGTTCATGATCGCTCTAGAACTTGGTCGCTTCAAAGCGTATGTGAGGTTGGTACGACGGTGAAGAGTAGTTCTGTTCTCAAAGTTCTTGATCTTTCCAGAGCCAAGGGAAACACCCATCTCAACACCCCAAACATCGCCGACTTCTGGAACACCATCACCTCTTGTACCATCTCCTGGAGCAAGAATAATCTTCTTCTTTCCTTCGATCTCGTTGCGCTCAAATTGCCAAGAGGTGGTGTGCTCGACCAAGTTACAGTCGTAACTCTTTACCAATTTCTCGAGTAAGCTTGTGATCTTAGCTTGGGTTGGAGCTTTAACAGCTGCTGCCTTCTTCTGCTCCTCTTCTGTGCCAACTGGGACCAATCCAGGAGGGACCATCAAACGTAACAACAGCTCATTTGCGTAGTGTGTAGCCAACAAGAGATCCGCATCTCTTCCAATGATCTCTCCATTTGCGTTCTCAGCAGAAGGAATGATAATGGTGTCGCAGACAATTGTTCCGAATCCGTCAATTTGTGCACCGAGTTGAATTTTGATGGCCTCGCCCTCCTTGAGAACAACATTTGCTTCGGCTTCGTCCGTTTTAAGAGGAGTATAAGGAGTAACGAACGCTGAAGGAGAAACGGTGGTTGGATGGGCAATACCTTTTCTGTTTGTTAGTCGAATAAATATGACGAGTAGAGGAGCCTGCTTACCCTTGACCATCTTCTTTCCTCGGTAAACCTTCGCGATCTCCTCCTCAAGGAGCTTGTCACCCTTCTCGCAAATGGTGACAATTTTCTCGCCAGCAACACACAAGGCGGTAACATCCTTCAAAACCTTTTGGGAGATTGTAGCAGCATTCTTGTATTTGGTGAGGGTATCAGGGTTGTTGAGAGAGTAATCTGCATGTTGTTGTATTGTTAGCTAATTGTCCTCTGTTCTTTGCGCTGTTTCCAAGGTGGTTGTGCAAATTCTTGTATCTTTCGAGTCGCATTGGCGGGGTCCATCTTTTGCCCAGCAAACCAACAGCAATAAAGTAAGATTGAATTGATAATTGATGATTAATAAGGAAAATATGGACGACTGACCAATCTCTTGAGTTTCTTCTTTCTTATCAGCCATGATTGTAATGGTTTGGAGTTATGCTGAGAGGGATTTGTGGATAGGAAGTGGTTTTGGTGGTTTGACTCGGAAGGGGCAGAACAGTGTTTTTGTTTTCTTCTGATTTTCCCCTCGTGTGTTCCTGAGCCTTTATTAGTACTTGGGAAGCTTGGAAGGATTTTAGAAAGTGTGGGCTTTGTTTCGCTTGGTGGGTGACCTCACTTGTGCCTCGACCGTGTAGCCGCCGTGAGTAATATATGATCATGATGATAAAGAATACATAACACTGCATTTAAAATAGGTAGTAATGATTGTAACTATGCATTATATACTTTGCAATATCCAAATATGCAAAAAGAGAGATGTTCAAGTCATGGTACCTATCCTATCAACTTGTCAACTTATCAACCTACCAGATCGGCCTAACCTAGCTACATCAGCAGCTCATCCAAGAGCTGAGAGTTACCTAGGTATCTACTACAGACTATCCAGCTGTTCACTAATATTGACTAAAGTTGGCTTCCGAATAGTCTACCTCCAGGGCGGTGGCTCCCGGGAACAGAGGGCCATCGGAGCGACATTTAACATTTGATTGAGTTGTTCAGTTATTATTAGTGATCGAGTTAATTATATTGTCATATGTCGGGTAACAGCAAGTAAACCGGCAAAGCAGTAAACCAGAACGAGAATAAAAACAATGGCAGTTTCTTCATTCTGTCCAAGGTGAGCAGTGCGGTGACTATTCAAGCTCGCCAATTATTGCACAGATGTCTGATTTGCTTAACCGTAAAAGTTACTATGGAGTGCCATTCAGACCACTTCTGCCAATTACATATCACATTATCACTAATCTCACGCCCCGTGTATTATGTTGTCGCGAAGTTTATATGGTTCCCGTCGCGATTATGAGATTGTAAGATCAAGATCTTACTTACATTATTCACAATTAAAACTACTTTTCTACTAATCAATTTCTTCCACTCGTTCTCTTTTATTCGTCGCATCCTTTTCGCGAATGTTTTCACCATGACAAAAGATCCACAACCGCAGATTCCTCAAGATGAATCTTCCTCAGCTACCGCAGCTGTACCTTCTGACTCTACGAATCCTACCTCATCTCAATCTTCTACTCTAACACATCGACCTCGGACGAAATCCGATTTTGACAAGCTGCTTCTCGAGCAATACCTTCATCACACTTTAGTCCATTCTAGCGCCATTGTCGATGATCAAAGGAAATGGAGAGCCTATTATACCAACAAACACCTTGAAGCGCAAGATTACGAACTGGTAAAAAGTTCCAAAGATGTCTTTACAGCGAGTCGGTTATATGGAACAGGTTATGATGGGTATGGGAATGGAGTCACAGACGGTCCAACGAGAATATTGTATGCGCATGCCAAGTTTGCGAAGAGGAAAGCAAAGCCATTACGAATCAAGCGGAAAGACATGGCTATGCAGGCAGATCAAGTGGAAGAATTGGTACCCATAAGGTTGGATGTGGATTGGGATAAGGTCAAACTTCGAGATACTTTTACTTGGAATTTACATGATCGAACGGTTACCACGGAGTTGTTTGCGAAACAGCTTATAGCGGATTTAGGTTTGGTCACTCCAGTAGCAGAACCAGTACTACAACAAGTTCAACAACAAATGAATGATCAAATTGTCGACTTCAATCCACTGGTTTACTTTCCAGAAGATCCTTTGGACGAAATGTTACCATATACAGCCTATAAGAATGATGAGTTGCGCATTCTCATCAAGCTCAACATCACTATTGGACCACATACATTAGAAGATAAATTCGAATGGGATATTAATAATCCTTTAAATTCACCAGAAGAGTTTGCGCAAAGTATGACCAAAGATTTATCACTTTCTGGGGAATTTACTACAGCAATAGCACATTGCATACGTGAACAAAGTCAGCTGTTCATAAGGAGTTTGTACGGTGTTGGACATCCATTCGATGGAAGGCCAGTAGAGGATGCCGATTTAGTTGCAGCATTTTTACCTTCACCTCTACCTTCAGTATTCCGGCCACATCAACAAATTAAAGAGTTTGCGCCGTATCTGTATGAGATGACTGAAGCAGATTTAGAGAAGCATGAGTTGGTATTTTCAAGAGAACAACGAAGACAAAAAAGATCTGTAAATAGGAGAGGAGGACCAGTTTTACCGGATTTGAAGGATAGACAGAGAACGGTGAGAACTTTGGTTGTATCTTCCGTATTACCTGGAGCAGCAGCGACGGTTGAGGAAAGTCGATTATACAAACGAGTAGGGGTACCATCAGGAAGAGGAAGACGTGCTGGTTTTGGTAGACAAGACGGTGCAGATCTTTCGGAATCAGATGATAGTGAAGATTCTTCTCCTGAATCTCCGGCAGTACAAGTGACTCAAGGTACAGCGAGAACGAGAAATATGCGTGGAGCAGCCACGGCTGCACAACAGAGGATGGCCAATATTGGAAGATCAGAAACTCCAGAAGCTCTGCTAGCACATCATCATGAAACCAGAACGTCAGCAAGGAAATTTGGTCGTGATGCTAGGGAGGATAGTCTTGATACTCCTACATTGGTGATCAGATTAAAAATGCCGAAAGAAAAATTCAGGAAATTAGTTCGAGATTTAGGCAAAGGTCGTCCAAGTCAACAAACTCCTTCTATGACTCGAGCGACATCAACATTCGGTACACCTGCTCCACCAGGATCTATGGGACCACCTTCAACACCTGGAGTACAAGCAGCTCTACCATTAGCAACAACTCCAGCACCAGTACCTACACCACAACCAATAAATGCTGTAGCAGTAGGTCAAATTGGTAGAATTGATGCTCCAGCACCAATCCCTGGTCAAGTTCTTCCACCCGTAAGTTTATATTTTTTAATCCTTTGTCACTTCACATGATTCAATAAATCATTAGCCTTCGTTTCATACTTTGTCAAATCCCAACTAACATGTTCATAAAGCCACCACCACCTCCAACCTGGCTAGCCACAGGTCTAACAGCCCTTCACCAACAATACCCCAACGATCGTTTCGAAGGCATGATGCGTTATTCCGCCGTTTCCATCTCATCCGAAACTCCAGTTCCTGCCCCACCTCCAGGTACTACCCCTGAAGGTATAAAATGGATGTACCTTCCTCGAATCAGATGTCATGATTGTCCTGGTAAATTATATACACCAGGACCGGATACTACGGTGGGAAATTTCGAGGTTCATTTAAAGAATAAGGGTCATAGGGAAAAAGTTAATTTGAGGTTGGGTAATTCACAAGCGGGATCGTCGACTGGATAGTATGGGACAGGTTGGAGTTGTGTTGGAGTTAGGGGGTATGGATTATGGGATGTGAATGGTGGATGAGGGTTATGGGATAGGGGATAGGGGATGAAATAGGATGGATGGATGCATGAAAATAGGATGAAAGGCGGGAATAAAATAAGTGTTTACTAGATAGTGATCAATCACTCACTCACCTGCTCAATGAACTAAAACAAACCAATTAACTAAATAAATAAAAGAGAATTATAATATCTTTAAATAAAAGATATAAACAAAAGAAAATAAAAAACATATGATTACCTAGGTGTATAATATAATATAATATAATATAATAAATCTCAATCTCAACCTCGATTTCACCTATCAATAAAAACAAAACACAAAAAAATTCCACCTCTATTCGTGATTACCTAAATATGCATATAACACCCAATGGTGATCAATAAACATGATAATTAATTATTCCACGTTATTCCTCCCACCTATCACGAGCTCATAACCCGTTCTAGTTAACCTACATGGAGGCATATCGTATATAATCAGTGCTTCCTTCTCCTAACACCTAGGTTTCCTCCTTTGTAGAATATCATCGTCATATTACCTAGAAGTCTATTTTGCCATTCTAATTTTAATTCTTAAATAATCTACACCCTTCCCGCGCGGGCTCCAAATTTATAATACTCTATGTTATATGTCTTATATATCCCATCTCATCCCCTATCTCAAATACCTAGAATATTAACCTTAACTCTTCTTTTCACTTGAGAAGAATACAACAATCAAATCAAATCAAATCCATCAAATCCCCTCTAATCTCAAATTATTTAATCTATAATATATAAATATAATAACCAAGTATAATAATCAAATTTATATTTCCGGGTATGTATATATAAATATATATATATATCTTCTATTTCCTTTCTTGTCTCATAATCATAATCATGACTGATCATAATCATGATGAATAGTACTCGTAATAGGTGTACTAAACTCCATACCCCTCCCCCCTCAAACCCAATCAAACCAACCAACCAACCAATACAACGCCCTGTACTTGTATTATGTACTTATGTATGTACCCACGATGCAAAACTTGCATGCATCATTCCCATTCCCATAAACATAAAGATAACATCGCTAGAAAGGTGATCCAAACAAGCCAACCCAATCCAGCTCCTACATATCATACCATACCACACCATACCATACCATACGCCTTAATCAAAAAGTGTGCCTAGAACCCCGCATGTAGAGAATCTATAGTATGTTCCCTCTCATCTTGAACAATCAATCCGACGTCGAAGCAATTATTAAACACCTTCAGTCTAGATAGAGACTTTAAGCACGTCCTGCCATACTTTGTTTTCTCTGTGGAACACCCTGTAGTACAAATCCACTTGGTCTTCTAACAGCTGGTCCCACAATTCCTAATCCCATTTCAGAACTTCCATTTCCATTTGTACCATCGCCCATTCCTCCCATGATTTCATCTCCATCATTCTCTCCATTTTCTATTCCCGCTTTTTGAGCTCCTAATCCTTTAACTTTACAAATATTCAATGTAAATCCATTTGTAGCATTATGTAATTGTTCCCATAATCTCTCATCTCTGTAACGATATTGAATTGGATATTGAATAAGTGGTGGAACTAATGGTTGTGGATTCCAATTTGCGAGACCAGATTGGACGGCGAGAAGTTCTTCATCTGAATCGATAGGTCCATTAAGGAGATCTTCATCTTCGAGAGGTGCATTGGCATCAATAGCTGCTTCTGTTTTTGGAGTTAGAGGTTGAGCTTTTTAGGAGGAAAGAGGGGAAGTAGAAATAACAAAATTGGAAGTAAGAAAAGGAATAACATACTTTGTTGTTTGGCTTGATTTTTCTTTTGATATTGAGAAAGAAGCATATCATAAGGTAAAGTACGACCAGGAACAGCTCTTTTAGCTCCCATAGAATGAGATTTGCACGTTAAAGAGCGAGCGCATGGGACTCCATCTTTGAGGACTCCACATTGTCGTTCTACATCGACAGGACCTTTAGATAGAGTTAAATTGTTAGCTAAAAGCGCTTTTTGATGTAATCTTGTTGATATTCTGGTCTCCATGATTGAATATCGTGGTAGACAAAACAGATGTAAATATAGGGTGAGTATCTGGAAGAATCATAGGAAAACACTCAAGATAAATAGTGAAGCCCTCTTAGAGTACGGCTAGTTGTTCACCCTCTCCAAGCTTCCACCATCTACCTCCCTCCTCCCACCCTTACCCCGCCGTAAATATAAGAGAAAACCCGGACAGTTAAAAAACAAAAATGCATACCTTTTGGTTTTGGAGCCTTTGGTTTCGGCTCTTCCTTTTTCTTCTTCTGCTTCGGACCCTTCTCTCCTTCACCATCCGCCTTTCTCTTCTTGCCTTTCGCGTCTCCATTATTTTTCCCAGCACCCTTTTTCGAACTCTTAAAACCACCTGGAGCTTTCTCATCATCATCGTCATCATCGTCACTCCCCATCTTAGTATCTCCATCCCCATCCACACCTTTACTCGATAATTTCTTTTTCACCTTGTCTCTAGCTTCTTTCGCTTCTTTCTTCTTCAACAATTTCAATCTCTTCGCATTTAAACATGCTTTGACATGCTTTTCCGTCGCGGACTTCAATACACTCTTCTTGCAATGTTTGCAAACCTGCAAATCAGGGGAATCTTCCAATGGTCTTCCTGTCGCAAAAGTTTCAAGCGCAGAATCATCCAACATATTAACCACTGGACCTGGACTCGAAATCGTCGTACTGGGTGTATCGGTTCCTTTCTTCTTCTCATCGACTATGTAGCCTAATTAGCCACTCATCCTATAAGTTGAGTTAGAACTTCTGCGGAGAGTCACCATCTATAATACTTCCTTCTCTCCAATTACCAGGTTTATTATGTTTCGGAGGTTGTTTCTTTAATTTGATATTTCCCAATAACTTATCCACACCTCTTCGTTCTCTCTTGGGCGCGACTTTGATAGTGGTATCATCGTCACTCGCGACGGAAACTGTTGAGTTTAATTAATTAGACAATTTTTCCAAGACTCAAAGAAAGAGAATTACCTCTACTACTAGCCATATTGTCGCGCAACTTCTAAGAAGCAATGTTGCAGAATAGTGTGGTGAATAATATTCTTTGTAGATGATATGATGTTGTGACAATGTCGGGACGAGGCTGAGATAGACCAGGGTAGTTGATTTCGGCTCGATTCGGTAGGTTCCGGTAGTTTGGTATCTGCAGCCTTGATCTAGACCTGTTTGTGGGGTATGAGGATTCAAGCTTGGTTTTGGGAAGAGTCATGCATGTGCTTTTGAAATATATTTTTTAATTGCTGTTGGTAAAAAGGTATCGACTTTAAGATCCTATATTCGATGATTGGTAATAGTGTCTTATTGATTTATATGTGTGTAATTCAGGGGTAAGGTTAAGGCCAACATTCCTAGGCTTTATGATCGCAGATATTGAGATCTTTAAGCTTTTAAATAAGTCTTTTAATATTTAAGGTTTGAATATTTAAATATAATTTAATGAATTGAAAAGTTATAGATATCAATTTAAATAAAAGACTAATAAATTTTAAAAAAAATTTATTTATTATTAATATATATACTTTATTAAATATATTTTATATTTATTAAAAAATTTGACTTTTATTTTAAATAAAAAAATAAAAACTCTATAAAAAGTTTTAATAAAATTTTAAAATCTATTTTTAAAAATATTTATTTAAAAAATCTAGTTTTATTATATTATAAATATTATAAAGTTTTGTATTTTTTTTGAAAAAAAATTTAAAATTGATATATATAAATAATAATTATATTGATTATATAAGTTGTATTATTTTAAATTAGTAAAGATTTTTATTTAGATTTTATAATTAATATCATTATATAATCTCAATCCTAGCTTGAATTCTAATAAAAAATATAAATATAAATATATAATATCAATATTTAACAGTTTTATTAATTTAATATATCTAAATTTTTCAATTTCTAGTAAATTGAATAATATAATCTTATTTTATATTTTAAATTTGTTAAATTAATTAAATTTAAAATAAAAGTTTTAAAAGACTTTAATAATAAAGAAATATTTTTTTATATTTGAAAAGTTATATATTTATAATTAATCTTAAATATATTTAATATATACAAATATTTGTAATCTATATATACATCATCTATTAACATTATAAATCTATCCTATTTTAAAGGTTTCCCCAATCCCAAGTCTCATATACACATAGATATATACCCATCTACCTCCTCACACAAGAAGACGGCGACCCCCCCAAATACCCAAAACACAACATCGCAACCACAGCACACATTCCCGCCACCACAGCATTCATATTCCCATACCCAATACTATCTCTCAAGGACCCAGCAATCACAGGACCAATCGTAAACCCCGCGCTAAAAACCATACTATTCAATGCATACAACTGTGCATACGGACCCTCTTCTCCAAATAAATCCCTATTCGCACGATGATATTTCTCCGCTACGAATGAAGCTTCCACTATACTCGGTGCTCCTATCATAGACAAACCTAATCCGCAGAGAGAGAGCAAGATACAGAAAGTTACGAGATCATGCGTGGTATTTTCGACGGGTAGGCGAAGGAGTATAAGTGGGAGGATGAAAAATGTATAACCGGCTGTTCCGATGATTTTGGGTCCGTATCTATCGACTCCCATGCCGGCGATGGGTCCAAAGATTAAGGATGTAAGAACTAGAGGGGTGAAGAGTAGACCGGTTTTTAAAGCCGGAAATCCAAATAGTGATTGGGATTGTGTGGGGATGGTAGCGTCGAATACGGCGAGTATAATTGCTTGCATGAATGCTACCAATTCGGCGGTAAGTAATCTGGGCGAGGAGAGAAGAAATAGAATTGGGAATTTTTGAACATATTCCGGGAGTTCTTTTTGGATTCTCCATGATTCGACATCGGTATCCTTTCCATTTTCCAATAATGGTGCATCTTCTCCCTGTTCCCCATCCCTATTTCTCTCCATCCCATCACTCCCCGTCTCATCACCATCACCATTACCATCTTCTCCCCCGTCCTCAACACAATACCTCCTCGCAACCTTCTTCTCAATCAACACACCCCTCATCAAAAAATCCAACCCCAACAACCCCATCCCCATCCCAAAAACCGCCTCACTCCCCACCTTATCATAAACCACACCTCCCAAAACCGGTGCCACCAATTCCCCCACACTAATAAAACTAAAAATACTCCCCACCGTCACCCCCAACTTCTCACTCCCAACCGTATCCATCACCAACGCCAACCCAATCGTCCAAACAATCGCCCCCGAGATCCCCTGAAAAACCCTCGCCGCAACCAAAACCCCTATACTCCTCCCCACCATCAAAAGCACCGTACTAGCAAGCAAGGCAGCCAACCCCACCAAAAACGGCAATTGTCTCGAAGCCCAGCGATCGGCTATCCATCCCGCCGGAAACGAGAATAAAACAGAAGCCCCCGCATAACTCGCCAGTAATACAGAAGTATAATACTGGATTTCCTCTTGTGCAACTCCGATTCTATCGGATAGGATAAAGGGGAGAATAGGCACGATGATTCCGTAGAGGAAAAGATCCGTAAACATGCCTATGGCTACGGTGGCGAGGATAAAGAGGGTATTGGAACGAGCTTCTAGTGCCCAGGGACGACTTGCGGGTGCCATTGTCATTGCTGCCATTACATTCGTGGCGGTGACGATCCGTGGTGAATTGATGTGAGTAATGATAAATGTTTAAACTTAGTATTATAATCGAGATAAATAATCAATGTTAAGAATATCACAATAATAAATATCTGAAAGGAACAACTTTCGAAATTCGAAAAAGACTTGTTGCGCTCAAATAAGACTTCCCGTTTCCTTTCTATAATTTTTCATGTTTTTTTCAGTGGGTAGATTAGACCCGAAGCTAGTGAAGTAGATAGATGCTGACCATGGCTGCTAACGGGATTGATTTCGGAATCATCAACATATCGGAATTTAACATTCATACCACCTAGATATGTGACGAAAAGTGTTTGTAACTTAGGATTCTGATGATCAGTTTGTATATCTATTAGGAGATTAGTTTGTCAAGTTTGTCATGCTTCCTATTGGTGTTGTTGTCGTGTAATTAGGAGGTATTTAATTACCTGAATCCGAGATATCTATCCAGATAGGGGGAGAGAGAGAGATATATATATATATATTACCAATTCAGGCAGGCTTCCACCACATTTTTATACGATTTTGATGGTTCTTTGGATGGTTTGAAATAGAGATTCGTGGGGCTATTATGTTATTGCATTGTATGGCCATGATGAGCTGTGAGGTTAACCTATATAATGAGATGAGATATCCAATGGCTTCCTATACACGTACAACTTGATTGTCAAACCTCAAACCTCAAATGAGACTTAGAAAAAGTGTTACACGATCAGAAAATATCAAAGCAATATGTGTGGCATGTCATAGAATGGTATTCCGAATAAGCTTTAATTATTTCATATCTTTTCTCTTCTTTTTTTCTCCTCTCAATCTTTCTCTGCATTCACCACTACAAAACAAATAAATTCTCACACCAAAGTAAACTCCTCCACTCCTCTCCCTAAAATTTCCCTCGCTTCATATTCTTCTTAGGTATGCATGACATCTACCCCTTTCCCTCCTCCACCATCCAGAAATCAAGGTCATAATATAACTACAAGTAAAGCCAGTCTTCGTGTGAATTAAACAAAAGACTCCCGAATTGAATCCAATCATGCTTGAAAACGAAGTTCATGATATCCATTTCTCTGTTCTTCCAAAAAATGGAAAAACCAGATGAAATTCCCCCTCGATTATTTGCCTTTGGGCCAATTTCCTGTTCATTAAATATAACTAACCTTAACCCCCATACCAATCGTCTTCTTAACTCTTCCCAATCCCTCACTCATCATTCTCCTCGTCCTTTCTCGAACTTCCCTTCTTCCAAAAACCACTAGTATTCCAATAACGAAAGCTACCATCCTTAACATTACCATCGGATTCTTCAAATTAAGACTTCCCCCCATGTTCCCCAGTACTAATTTCAAATTACGCATTATGATTCCCATTTTTTCTATCATGGTTTTCTGTTTCTTTTCTTCTACTGATTTTCGAGAGTGTGGTTTGGTACTTGATGATTTGGAGATTTTGGATTGTCGGGGATTATTAGGTGCTGAGGATGATGTTACGGATCCGTTGTTCGTAACTGGAGTTTCGTCTTCAACTCCAAAGTCGATTTCTGAGGTTCCCCTTGCGCTTGCTTTGGCCTTTTTAGCAATTTCTTCTCGTCTCCTTTCTTCTTCTTCTCGCCGACGTCGGCTTTCTTCTATATCTTTCTTGAGTTGTTCCTCTCGGTATTCCTTCTCCATCCTTTCTCTTCTCTCTCCTTCCTCACTTTCCTCCTTGAGACTTCGTAATGCCCCAAGGAAAGCCTCTCTTCTTTCATCATCCAGAACTTCGCTAATGGTAATGAATTCTTTTGCATAATCCCATTCATTATTTCGAAGTAATACGTGCAGAGTATAGAGTTCTAATATCTTCACTCGGGCATTGAGATCTCTTGGCGTATCTGTTTCGGGTTGGGAGCGACGTTTAGAACCTGGAAATGGATTTGAGGTGGTAGGTGTAGAGGATTGGGACATAGAAAGGGACTGGGTATCGGATGTTGCGAGATAAGTCTCGAGGCGAGCCTGATTAACCTTTTGGGAACGAGCATGGGCTAGGAGGAGAGTTGCTCTATCATGTTATTAGTTTCTTCCTTCGTAATAGGGATATCCGGGATTTCAGAATATACGAGGAAGACGAACAGGTTTATAACGACATCTGAATCTACATCTCCTTCGATTCCGTGATATCCGTTCTTCACAACCTCTTCCCAAACTTCTCCGTCTCTGACCTTAGCAACCAGTGCTCTAAATTGACTGGTTCCGAATGCTTGTTTTCCTTCTGCTGGATCCAATTCAAGAATCGCATTCAATATTGTAAGGTACAGACTCCAGACTTTGATACGAGTAGTACGAGAGGCCTTTGATATTGGAGCCGAAGATTTCGCGAGATCATCGGGAGTGGTATTTTCGGTATCGGAAGAAGAGGACGGTGTAATTACTGGTAAGATAGTTGAAAGCGATTCGGGTAATCGACGCGTGAGAAAGAGAGTCGAAGCTTGACGATAAGTTTTCGATATTTGCGAACTACGACGGGATGATGAAAGGGAATGAGAAAGGGATGAATGCGACGATGAAAGTATTTGTGGTGAAGATACCTGATCTATTTGATTGATAGTCGTGATAGATCCATGGGAAGCCATGGTTGTTGAAAGAAAAGAGATATAGAATTGAAAATAAAGTGATGAATGTGAATAAAGCGAAGGAAATTGAAGACGTTTATTAGAGGGAAAGTCCTGGAATGAAGAAATGAAAGTTAAAGGACTTGTGACATTTGAAGAGTGTCAGTGAAGGTTGAAGGTTGAAGGTTGTAACGAGGGAAATGTTAAAGCCTCGGTCCAATACTCAGGAAGGAAGATATGGATTGAGCATGGGGCGGTGTGTTGATTGATTTGATTGGTGAATTAATGAAATTAATTATGAAGAGCTTATGTAAGGATATGAAGAACATAATTTATGCATTAATCCGGAGTAGCTTGATACTTCACTTCACAGTAATGAAGCAAGCAAGTGAGGTTTGATCTGATGTGTATATAAATATACTACCAACCAATACACATCCACATACATGTACATATACACACACATACACACATATATATACGCTTATAAACTTTGAGACAGTACAAGACGATAAAGAACAGTCATAAATATTAGACGATAGAAAACTATAGAATGTCTTCAAGGTAAAACATGAAATACAAAACAAGATCAATCTTTATCAATCATCGTGTCGCCTTCCCCTTTAGCTTAACTTCCATATCTTTTACCTTATCAACCTCCTAGCTATAGGTGTCTACGGACATCTTCATACCTAGTTTCAACTTCACTCAAGATGAAAATTCTTGACCAAAACCAATAATCAGATTCACCTTAATTCTGAACTTTGGCAACTCCGCTTTTATGCGGTAACTCCCAAATTCCAATATAGCTTCTTTTGACCAACAGCCAGCAAGCAACCAAGCAAGCAACCAAGCAAGCAACCATCAACCAACCACCAACCAACCACCTCAAGTTTTCACACTAAATCACCATCAACATGGAGGTTGATAAAGATAATTGGAAACGGCTTTTGCTTCCAATTTTGAAGGATATCTCAAATGCCACCTTTGTTTCCTTCGATCTAGAAATGAGCGGTATTACTACACGACCAAAGCATAGTAACCAGGAGCGGACTCACGATGTCGGAAAACCCAGCCTCCAACAACAATATGAAGAAGTTAAGGATGCCGCCGAGACTTTCCAAGTTCTTCAAATTGGTATTACTTGTGTTGAAGAAGACCGTGACAAGGGCACGCATAATATTCCTATTCGCCACTCTATTTCTGCATGCTAACAAATTCTAGATTATTATCTTGCTAAACCATACAATATTAACCTCAGTCCATTATTCATTTATGATAGAGTCTTCGATCTTGATCGCAAGTTCTCTTTTTCTAGTTCTGCTACTAACTTCCTTCAATCCAATGGCTTTGATATTGGTGCAGTCTTCACCAAAGGTGTCCCTTACTTGTCGGAGCAGGAGGAGGCAGAAACTCGTGAGCGTTATGATCAGAGAATTGAGAGAAATGCATCAATTCCTAGCATCATTTTTGATCCCAGTGATGTTGGAACATTAGAGTTCTATCGAAGAGCTAGATCGACTATCACAGAATGGATAGAGGCAAAAGAAGTAAGTGATATTTGTTATGGCTTAGTATATCCTTTACTGTTCAACCACTTTCTACCACAATACGTTTCTTTTCATATTCGGGCTGGACATGAGAGTGCTATAGCAGTGATATCTCTATCAACTGTCATTCTTGGCATCTAAATGCGCTTCCGAAAATGCATTACTTTTATGGATAATGTTAAAATGTTGATGGGCTACTATTCCTAGTTACTTGCTAATATTATCTAGCCCAAGATGGCTTCTGTCAATGTGGATAATCCCAAAGGTCCTCTGAATGGTTTCCAGCGGAGGTTAGTTCATCAGCTTGTCCGTAACGAATTCCCTCAGTGCAGATGTTTTGCTCGGTTGGAAGGATCTTTCATGCAGGTTGAATTGATTGATCCTGATAGAGAAGCAAAGGTATGTTTAACTCATCTCATTTGGCTGGCTTATTGCATAGGGTGTTGAACGACTTTACGTACACCCTTCCCCCAATATATTTGAACCTGGTATTCGGCATTATTAATAAATGTATAGAAAACAATCGAGCAACTGAAAACGTTCAATCAACGAATTGCTCAACAATCTGGGGCACGATTTATTTTTGAAGCACTTTGCGGTGGTGACCTAACAGGTATCGACCCAATGTGGTCATACACGGTTGATGAAAACATGCAACCTAACTCTGATTCTTCGCGCTCCGTCCTCGAATCTGAACTTGCTGCAGTCACCAAGAAGCTCAAGAAGAAGCAACATGTTATTGTCGGTCACAACCTATTCACTGATCTTTGCTTTTTATACAAAACCTTCATTGGTACTCTTCCAGCTGGTGTAGGAGATTTTCAATCTCAAATTCACTCGCTCTTTCCTTTTGTTATTGACACAAAGTATCTTGCAACTTACAATAGTGATGCTATGAATCCTCGTGTCAACCTCAAAGAGCTGTTAATCCCAGTCAGTACTACCGTTCCTCTATTCTGACATGCAAATATCATCAGATGTTTCCTACTCCGTATAATTAACACTTCTCGATGGAGCCGGGCTTTCCATTCTTCCCAACTTTTCTCCTTTATTGGCAAAAACTAACACACAAATGTTCTAGTTTCAAAAAGTACACATGCCTCTCATCCTTCTTCACGAAAAGCATAACACTTACGGTGCCGTCAATGGCAAATCTCATGAAGCCGGCTTTGATAGTGTGAGTATAAATCTAAACACTCTTCCTAATATTTAAATATATTTGAACCTCTCACAATAACGCTTCTTGTCCTTCCAAGCAACCATACCAACGAATACTAACTCACTAATTCTATAGTGGATGACAGCCGAGCTATTCGTCAAACTATCTGCAAAGCTTTATGCTGAACAGACAGGCCTAAATCAGGATGAAAATAAAACCCAAGTCAATTATAGCGAGATAGAATATGACTCAGATTCCGATTCCGACGACCAAGAAGGATCAGGAGGTGCCTCTCTTGCTTCCCCATCCTCTAATCCTCCTAATGTAACAGCAAATTCAAACTCAGATGCTCATCGCCCGGGTGACTGGCACGCTATGCAACTCAACAACCCTTTCTCGGCGCTTAATGTTGAATATGCAGGAAAAGAAGAGAAGAAGAAAAAGAAAGTGGCGTTTGGGGATCAGATGCCTAGACAGTGGATTCCAGGCTTGGAAGAGACTTTCTGGGAGGTTTATAGGAATAAATTGAGGGTTAATGCTGTGGAAGGGGGTGTTTGTGATTTAGGTTCTGGATTGAACGGAGCGTTGAATGGTGGGAGGAGTGAAAGGATTAGAAAGGTGGGGAGGGGTAGGGGTGATTGGGTTTAAGGTTTTGGAGCTGTGGTGCGGAGGTAGGGGGAGGTGTGAAGGGAGATGGGGGAGATGGGAGGAGTGTTGCATATTGAATTTCCTGCGGTTTGATTTGATATGAAGGCTCACGTTGAGATGATTTGATGCAAATGAACGAACGGATGAAGTGGCTTCTAATGCTTTCTGAAGTAAAGGGTGGAAGGGGCAATGGCATGATTTTACATACTGGACTGAGTAGGCTCTAATAGAAGAAATAAAACAGGTAGATGTGTTACGAATGAATGAACCCTGAGTGGATGGATGGATGAATTTATAACTCTCATACATTTCTCAACCTCCCTGCCACATGCAAATGGGCAACCATAAGAAGTGAGAGTACATGTTCTGTGTGTGTTTATACTGCAAACTCCACATACTTCCATGAAATCAAACTTTAAGATTCTATTTGTAAAAATCCTTAACCTAATATATCTTTATACTCTTCAAAAGACCTTTCGGACGAAAAACTAATATTACTACTAATACGAGCCTGAGTCACGTACATTCATCCTATGTCCATCGGAACATATTCCTATCAACTTCAACCAGGAAGTCATCCTCTTTAATTTTCAAGGAGGCTCGAGACACAAATTGGTTTCTCCATGATGCCATCCAAGAAGACAGATACTCGAGTATATATCATTGGCTTTGTAGTAATCGAAACATAGCAACAATTATCAGTGAGTCAGACTGGAATGTGATATCACATTTCTTTGAGGTTGCTCTGATGATGATTGGTCGACAACGAGGTCTTGACAGATTTAAGACCCACTTCCCCACACTATTCCCAGTTCACAATAGTTCCAACTTGTTTTGAAGGTTTCCGGAAAAGATAACCGCGAGGATTACAGCGAGAGGTGGTTTATGTAAAATTATGGGTACGATGAGTATATAACGAATATCAATGGGTCAAGTGTACGTCTCCTATTCTTTGCACTTCCCATCCACATCGTCACTTTGACTATTCTACTCAAAGAGTAAGTCTTACATCAACCATGGCGACGACAACTGCTACTCAAATTGAACTCCAATCCTTCCCCAATGATTCTTCACCTTGGGTTCCAGGTACGAGAGGTCAATCCGATCTCGAAGATATCAGACAAGATACAACTCCACCCACGAACGCGGTAGAAGTTTTACAAAGCTGGAATTATCCCCCCGAGAATGTTTTTCGAGTGGGAGCTTCATTTTGGGCTTTCTTTCTCATGGGAATGAATGATGGTTCTTATGGTGTAAGTTCTTCGTCTTCAACCTCAGTCTCAGCCTCTACCAAATACATACTAAACAAGAAAAGGCTTTAATCCCATTTGTAAGTCACATACGCCTTTGAAATCGACAAGTCATATACTGAGCCAAGTGATCAAGCTGGAACAACATTACCATCTTTCCTACACCATCATATCTCTCATCTTCCTCTCCCCTTTTGCAGGTTACACATTCGCATCTCTAATCAATGATTCCGTACATGTGCATTTTGGTCAACGAGGTGTAGCCATCATCGCAGGACTGTGTCATCTCATCTCCTACATAGTACTATCTCTTCATCCCCCATATCCAGTTCTTGTCGTCATGTTTATTTTCGTGGGAGTGGGTAATGGACTTTTGGATGCAGCTTGGTGTGCGTGGATTGGTAATATGGTAAGTGCGAATCAGGTGCAGGGATTTTTGCAAGCTTGTTATTCATTAGGTGGGACGGTTGCACCTTTGATTTCGGCGGCAATGTTGGCCAAGTCGGGATTGGACTGGTATTACTTTTACTATATTATGGTAAGTGTTGCTCATTGCCTAGTCATAAACCATTGTACGCCAATTATCGTGGATTATTATTGATGAGGCACAGACAGCAGTAGCAGCCACTGTGCTCATTGCCTCTACCTGGGCCTTCTGGGCCCAAACAGGTCATGTATATGCATTGGAGAATCCTCGAGATGCAAATGCCAAGACAGGGAGACTTAGAGAAGCATTGAGTCATAAATTGACTTGGATATTCGCTGCCTTTATATTTGGCTACGTAGGAGCTGAAGGTACTTCCTTTCAACAACCGCAAACTTTCACAATATTGACAAATATCACAGTATCTCTCGGAGGTTGGATCGTCACCTTCATGACCCAAGTCCGCTCTGGTACAACTTTCTCCTCATCCCTAACGTCCACCGGTTTCTGGGCCGGCATGACAGTCGGCCGTATGTGTCTAGCCTTCTTAACCGCCTGGCTCGGTGAATTCACTTCTGTGCTCGTCTACCTTGGAATATGCGTCATTCTCGAACTACTTTTCTGGCTCATCCCTTCATTCTACGTCTCAGCAGTTGCAGTAGCACTTCTAGGCATGTTTCTCGGTCCATTATTTCCAACAGCAATTGTACTGGTTACAAAGCTGATGCCGAAGGAACTACATGTCGGGAGTGTTGGGTTTGCAACTGCGTTTGGAGGAAGCGGAGGAGCAGTATTTCCATTCATTGTAGGGGCACTGGCGCAAGCTAAGGGAGTAAAGGCATTGCAGCCGGTTGTGTTGGCTCTATTAGTGGCGATTTCCGGTCTGTGGATGTTGGTTCCTAACAAAGGGAAACGGGACGAGGATAACCGGGAGAGGTATTCTGGGGAAGTAGTCATGGTCCCAAATTGATTCAAGTACTCCGTATATGGACCTTGGTTTTGAGGTTTGATCGAATCTTCTGCCCCATCCCGATGTCGCGTTTCCGCACAGTAATGCAATTATTAAAGCAATTGCGTAGATGCCTACAGGCATAGATGCGTAGATATAATACCGTCTTTTAGTGCTAGACTTCAAGAACGTTCTAGAACCGGCGTTTTTCCAAAAATCATCAATTATCCACTCCCTTACACTCCCTTAAACCCCCTTTAACCAAACCATTCTTAGCCCTTCCTGAACATCCCTTTTCATCCAACTGACACCTCCACTCAATACCTTTAATTCATTTAATTCACCAATACACCCACTTCCCTAGCCTGTTCCTCATTCTTCGGCACACGCGAAGAGTCGACGAAGTCTTATAGTTCAATCGCTGCGGATGATGTCATTAAGCCTAAGAATAATGGGTTTTAGACCACGCGGGTGTATTTATGTCGGATTAGTGGTATATGATGTTGAACTTTTTGGATTAAAAGATCAAAGACTTAGGGAGGGTTGTTTGTTATAAAATGTCTGGGATGAGTGTGCGAGAGTAGATGGATTGAGATAGATGGAATATTATATGAGGGAATTAATTGATGCAAAGGTTGATCTCACTGTTGTCGTGACATTTCGGGTGATGACTAAGTGGATTTCGGATAATGTGGGACATCAAATATTCATCCTCTTGGTTTCTGTATACACATATTCAACACCAGACTTTCCGGCGGTATGGATACGGCTGTAACTAAGAAGGTCAAAAGACTGCATGCGATAGATGCTATGGGCTTAAGGAACGATGCGAGCGCATGTCGCCTTCCGCAAGCTGTGCAAGATGTGACAGATTGGGGCTAGGGTGTTTAACTGTGCGACCGGTACGGCCGGCTGGCAGGAGAGTACAGCGTGCAGATTCGGTGGGCAGAATGGCGTTGGGTAACTCCAAAAATTCGCAGTAGCAATATGAACCTAGCATTCAAACGTATTTGAACATGGTTCCAAACTTGCAACCAGAAGAAAAGGACTTATTAATGTTTCTCCTAAGCCAGCAAGAAAACCTTAGTCAATATGTTGCGTTTCCAAGCTTTCAAGCTGAACAGCAGCAATTATTTTCTGCCCGGTTTTCAGCAGCCCTGCCATCACTCAAAGATGCTCTTCTCGCATGTGCTATAACTTTGAAGCAATCCAGAACTGCAATGGTCACGGATACGACTTTTAGTGTGCAGTACATATTAAAGGCCATGGATGTATTACGCTCTCTGCCTGTTTTATCTTCACAGGATGCAGTTCTATGCAATGCTTTGGGAGGTTTACTGGCTTTTTCTATATCTTCAGCCATCGGTGTAGGAGTTCCAGATATTTGTCGTCACTGTCTCGGTACAACAACTTCATTTGTGGAAACAGCAGTTTCTGATGCATCAAATGATCCGTGGAAGAGCTTTCTTGTCTTATTGGAAACTCTGGATTGTTTTGTTTATCGACAAAAGCCGATACTGAGAATTCAGGTACTGTCCTCTGCTGTTGTTGATTGTCGCCTTGGCCTCTGTTTGCCTCTGTTGCCTTATTATCATGATCTTTGTGTGATCAGCAATTCACTTATCAATATTACGGACATGGACGTTATCGCTCGTTTACAAAAGCAGCTAGATGATACCCATTGCATCGTGGAGCCATGGCAACCATCTCAATTGAATCAGCTTGTTGAGCAGTTTGATTCGACAGAAATTGTCCACCTTCTTGCGCAAGCCAGGGTATACCGCTTGGGGGCGCTCCTATTGGGTCACCGGTTGCGGTTTCCATTTGGCCAGGAGGACTCTCAGGCCGAAATATGGTCAAAAGAAATTATAATGGAACTTGAACTTGCAAAAGGAGTCACGAAGAGATCAATGCGATTTGTGACTTTACCATTCATTATTGCATCTGTTGAAGCTCGAGATAAGAATCTACGCTTTAGGATTCTTGAGCTTGTGGATGATTGTGTCGACCATTATGCTCAGTTTTTACAAAAGGCAACCAAGATATTCTTGTCTAGGATTTGGCAGGAGCGAGATTTGAATCTTACCACTCGCTGGTTTGATTCTGTTCATAAGCCATGTCCGGTGTTGAATTCTATTAATGCAACGTGTTTCATTGGCTAGATATCTAATGGAATTTGTATGAAGGATAACTTTTACTATGTCTTGTCACACGTATCAGCTGGCATATGGGAATAGCTTCAAAGGTCATAATTGGATGAAGTAATTATTCTAAGAATCAAAGGTCTTCAGGAATGGATCAACAACTTATGGGAGTTGATGCCGTGGCTAGCTATTGGTCATTTGCTAGCCAAGCGTCTAGGTATGACATGCTACGCCGCTCTAAACCTTGTTTATAATGGAGTCCAGTACGGCTGCCGCTTTCATCAAAGCCTCATCCTTATGTTTGTATCCTACAACCTGCACACAAATTGGTGCGTCCTTGTAGTATTCAAAGCCGGTGTCTTTGAAGCATATGTTAGTATGAGCGACATTAAATCTATTGCGAGAAAGTGGCACTTACACAGACTATAAAGCTGCTCATCATCCGAACCAAATTTGGCGTTACTCAAATCATCAACCAAGTCTGTGTCCCGCACTTGGTCCACAGGAATCACAATAGCCGGGTAATCGAGATAATTCCACAGACTAGTGTATGCTGCCTTCGTCCAACAGTCCAAGGGCACTGCTGTATGCGGGGCCGGTGGCATTAAAATCACATCTAAATCGTTTTCACGAAATAGTTTGAGATACGTTTTCGCGGCTTCGGCTCGGCGGTGATTCAAATCAAATAAGCCCTGCAATGTGGTTCCTGGCACTGTTAAAAGACCAGTTGCCGTCAGTGATGGGATTGGTGGCTCCTCTGTTCGCTTGAATTGTTCGTAATAGTACTTTTGGGTCAGTCAACCTAGTAAGTAAGGGCTTGAATGGACTTACATCGCTTCCTGATAATGTCATATAACTGATAAAGTCTTGGTAAATTGATTTGACGTCTGGCAGATTGATATGCATGATCTGTATGTCCTTATTGCCACCAATAAGATCAACAACCTGCTTTAAACCACGTCTAACCGGCGGTGATGGAGTATATACACCGTCATCATGAGCAACACCAATCCGGAGTTTTTGTGTGGGTTTGAGATCTACCCATGGAATTGAGATTGAACTGTTATCATACTTCCACGTGTCTGCTTGGAGTATCGACTGTAAAAAGAGAGAGCAATCACGAATTGAGGTGGCCATAGGTCCAACTGTTGATCGAACACCATCTGTTCCTGGCGGAATGAGATCTCTCACACCACTATAAGGAATCAAACCTACGCTAGGTCTGAATCCATAAATACCATTGCACACCGACGGAACACGAATACTACCACCAATATCCGTCCCAACTCCGAGAATGCTACCATGAAGCGCAAGAAGAGCACCTTCACCACCAGTACTCCCACCCGCGGTAAGCAATTTATTCCGAGGATTCAAAGTTCTTCCGAAAATATTATTATCACTATCTCCATTCATGATTGACTGGGGTAAGTTAGTTTTGCAGTAAAGAACCGCACCTAAATCAATCAACATAGCAGCCAGTGCGCTGTTTTCTTCAGCAGGTTCATCCACATAACAACCCAATCCAGTCGAAGTATCGAATCCCCTAACTTGAAAACTATCTTTGAGGGAAACTGGTAGACCGAATAGTGAAGGAAGGAGTTTTTTATCAGGCTTTGTGTTGAATTCCATATCAAGTTTCTTCGCTCGTTCAATTGCTTCGTAGAAAAATATCTCGGTTAAACAATTCGTCTATTATATTTAATGTGGAATCCAAAATTAGCATTTCTTCTTTACTTCCTCACGCCAAATTCAAAATTGAAAAGGAATAGAATTTTTCTTCATAAACGAACGAATCAACGAACCAACTGATGCGCAATAGCAGCCCTTTTACAAAACGCAACCGTAACTTCCTCAACAGACCAACCCCCTACTTTCAATTTCTCAAGAATTGCAGTAGCATCGTAATCAGAAGTTATTCGGCATTCTTTCTCATCTAGTAATCCGCATGTAAGAGGTATATTCATTACATTCATTATGTTGGTTAAATTTTGGTATTTTTCTGTAGGGAGGATCCAGGTTTTGGGGATGCGAGTTTGTTGTTGGGTTTTCTTTTTGGCGGAGAGGATTTGATGGGGTTTTTTGCGTGCTGGTTGTGCTGCTGGTGATGGTGATGGTGATGGTGGTGAGAAGGAGGAGGAGGAGTAGGAGTAGGACTCCATATTGGATATTGGATATTTTGATTTTGCGGAGTTGAGGATTGAGGGAAATTTGTATATATGTGCTACTAATAGGGGGGAGTAAGAAGACGTGATGTGAAGTGATGTGAAAGGAAGTTGAATCAGCATATAGATAGGTGAATAGATGACGATTCTCAAGTCTTTACACATATATGTGTAACTTGCCTTCTTGAAACTCGGACAAGGAAAGCTATTTATATAAACTATCTATACTGGTTATATTAACAACAACAAATCTTTAATTTCCCTACATATCTGTTGAGGAAATCTGTAAATCTAGATGAGACGAGAGATCATAAATGTCGATTTTCTTACAATTCTCCGATTCCGGTTCCGGTTCCGGTTCCATAATTATTATCCTGCTCTCTCTGTATCTAGGTAGTAAGATCTTATATAGAGACTAGTAGATTAGTAGATTAGGATATTCGGTTATATTAGGCTGGGCTGGAGTAATTAACCACTGGGGCGTACTGTACTCTGTAATTGATATTACCCTCCGGCCAATATTCCGGTCAAGGTTTCGCCGCACCATGGGTATTGATCTTGTAGTGTGGAGTTTGGCTGTGTTGTAATAGTTTGTAGGTGGATTAGGTCACTATGGATGGATATAGATTGGTTTTTGCTGAGTGTTCTTATTGTTGTTATTGTTGTTTTTGTTGTTTTTGTTTTTATTATATTTTTATAATCTTAAGAGTTTTGCTTTTATTGATTTGGTTTGATTTAATTTAATTTGTTATATATAAATATATTCTTTACTTTTTAACCTATCCTCCTTTCACTTAATACTACAATAACCTTATAAAATTTTCATAATAATTAACAATTAACCTCAACTTTATTAAATCACATCTAAAACTATCTAGGTATCACAGAATATAAAACTCTAACCACAGAGTCCATCAGTCTGGAGTAGTAAATATCATTCTATTCTCCGCTATTTGCTATCTGTGATTTGCTATTCTACTATTTTGTAATTAGTCAATAACTAACCAAATAGTTAAGTAACTGATTAAATACTGTAAAGATCGTGTACATATATCATATCATATCATATCATAACCTAATAACCTATCCATCCATCCATCATCTCATCATAATCTCGTAATCCATATCCATTCATATCCATATGCTCTGTGTGTGTATATGAACCAAGCTAAATGTAGAGGAAAAGCTTATGCGAATGTGGATGTGAATGCATATGCCGGGACCCTTTCCCTCTCCACCCCATTCATTACATACCTCTCATAATCGAAAAGTAAGGACCGTCCAATACCTATTAACGCGTAAAGAAATTAATTAAAGAAATCATCCTCTTATCCCCCTCCATTCATCTCATCTCATCTGATCCCACACCAAACTCTCAAGCACAACCTCTCATTACCATCACCCATCGACCCCATGGCCAGCAGCAAGCAAGTTCCAAAAAGGAATCTATGCAGGACAAGAAACACTTCTGACAGTTTGAGGAGGACCCATATTCCATACCCCAGTGGCGATTTGTACGAATGCTGGTTTGACATCTACGGTATTGAAGGTACAAGCGGGGATGTTGGAGTATGTAGAGCGGACTTGGGAGATTGAGAGAGGGTTATCTGGAGTTTGTTAGGTTTCTTTCTTTTTTCTTTTTCTCTAGGTTTGTGCGGTCTGGGAGGAGGACAGGGGAGGGAAATGAGGGGAAGCGCGGGATGAGCTGCGGGACGGAAGTGTAATGGGGAAAAATGCCGGGAAAGTGTAGAAAGTGTAAAGGAGAAATAAGAAATAGAGAATACTAACTTGTATAAACTGGACCACCACCAAGAGGTACACTAATGAAATATTTCGCATCGGCTGCTCCGTCTAATTCAATATTGATCACGGTTGCTGAAGGAGGAGATCCTCCACTGGTACAGGAGATGTCGATGATAGTCTGGGGAGGTCCAACAACCCAGGTATTATCCGGTCCTTCCTGGGGTGAGAAGAATGAATTAGTGGTTGATCTATGCGGAGAAGTAACAGGACTAGTAGGGGCAAGAAGCGGAGAGGGGAGATTGTAAAGTTGATGTGAAGGGAGTAAACTTACAACAAGAGCAGGTGTATAATCAACAGCATGGATTCTACAATTCTGCTTAACATCAAATCCACTGGTTGAAATAGATGAAATGCTCAATGCATTATTAGTTGTCGTGACTGAACCATCAAGAGGAACGGAGAGTGTGTATTGAGCGCCTGCTGCACCATGGAAAGTGAGGGATGCGGTATTGAGTGGTGGAGAGAGGGGAAGTGCATTTGTTAATGCGAAGGAGGTGACGAGAGTGAGGAGTGTGGAGAACTGCATTTTGTTGTTGTTTTGGTGATGTTGGTGTTGAGCAGGAGGGAATTTGGCTTGTTGGTCGGTTGGCTGATTAGATCTTTTATCTGTAATGTGTGAAGAAGATGTACTGAGATGAGGATGAATATAAAAGAGGAAACTTCTCATCTTTATATATCTCTCCCACAAATCTGCACTACAAGTAATATCACACCAACTCAAAACAACAACAACAACATCACCAACATCCCACATGGCCATCCCATCCCATCCCCGTACAAAAGATCATTCACCATGTTCTTCTCAAAATGAGCCTACTCACACAGCTCGTGCAGGTATCCGAATCAACGACTCAGCAAAATCGCCCAGCTCTACTCCAAAAAAGCCAATTCTATCCAAAATCTCAAGTCAAAGCCGCCAACGCATAACTTCACGAGCAACAATTTTCAGCTACGATACCACTTGACATCTACATACGAAGGTGAGTTGTTGATGAGGCTTAGTATTGAACTCAAAATCTTAGAATAGGTATAACTTCTTACTGGGCTTGAAACCAGGCTTAAAATAAGCCTCTATTCACCCAAAATCGTACGTGCTATCACTAGACCATTGAGAATTTTCTCCATTGATGGGGCTCGTTTCCTCATAGCTGAGAAGAAAGATAAATCCACTGAGACAAACCAAGAATGTATACGAGGTAGATTTGCGTGGTCATTCGAATATCATTCTGATATTCGGATTTGTGCTCTTGGACAACGTAAACCGTCATACTATTATCATAAGCACCATTAACCCATCTTCTGATTTTCACCGTCACTCTGGTAATGAACGGTATCTTCCGCCATAAGTAAGCTTACCTTACTTCTCCCCAAACAAACGCCGCAAACGCCGCAAACATCGCAACAAACTCAGACCTTCTCAAATCTTTCGGATCTAGCCCGTCCCCAGAAATCCTCGACATGACGTGTCTTCATCACCTTCCTCACCTCCTCTCAATTAATCCTTGGCGAAATCGCATTTGTACAGGCTCCACCTCATCTCTGAGACTTTGCGGAGCTGAGGTGAAAACAGAGTCTTCATGTGTGACAGCGGCGTAGCTCCAAAAACCCAACTTTCAGCCATTTTCTTGCGAGAGCATGAAAGCAGTTCAATCCAATCACGATGTCTTCCAAAATAATGGACTTTTCCTCCCAGAGAACTTGTTTGTGATGCTAAGTATAGATTTACGAAAGAATTCTTTCAATTGGTTATATGTTTCAGCCCTATATACAAAATTTGAGGCGATGCAGGCAAGGCGCGGAAGGTTGTAAGATATTGATGAGGGGTAAGGTGGTCAATCATCACGTGTACTCAGTTCACTGAACCTCACACACGATGAAATTCTGACATGAAGCCATGGCAACTTGTGTAACGGTGGGTTGGTCATGATGAGAATATACGAGGAGCCGTTGCCTTTAACTACCTAGTATGTCTTCCACCTGTCTTCATAAAAACTTCAGTCTCCTCAATAACCTAGCTCCCGGGCCCGAGTCAAAATCTGATAGAAGTAACGTAATGAGCTTACCCGTTGCACTTTCCGTCCACCTTGTTCCTCTATTTCATGAAATTTATATCAACATTTCCATTATCGAGGACTTGCTAGAACTAATTGATGAATAAAAGCAAGACGATAGCCACAAGCATACAAACGCCAAACGAAGCTAAGGTTAACACATACAGCCTCAAGATTAATTTTCTCGTCCATAGCACTCTTTGAGTGCGTGGCGGGGAATCTTGTCTTGAGACTTATTACCTCCCAAAGAGAGTCTATTTGCTTTTTTATCTCATACATGCCAATACCACAAAATCTTAGGCAATAGCGGTAGCGTAACTCCATCCCAACCGCCGTTTAAGATATTAGGTCTTGCATTTCAGTCTGTAAGAATGCTCAAGCGCGGATGCATCTAAAAATCCAAAAGCAGTTTTCTAGACTTCTACCAAGTAAATGTTCTTTCATTCTGCATGGTGTGATTTTGGGGGTATCGAATCGAAGACTACCAGCGTTAGCCCTAAGTTAATTACTAAAGTTATATTCTTTTCTTGGTATGATGTAGTTCCTAACCAACGTGTCCGTCCATAATCCGGTCCATCGATGTGAACCTTTTCAATATCTGAGAAGTTACAAAATCTTTGAAAACTCTTCTTTTATTTAATATCCAATTAATTTGAATATTTCAAAATTTCTTTCTCATCGACTATAATCCAGATTAATTTACAGAATCCTATATCTAAATACAAGATATTAAGAATCTAATTATATTATCTTTGTTTCATGAAAGAAACTTTATTATCGGCTTGCCGATATCAAAATCTTGTCATATATATAATGTACTGCGATTTACCTGATATAGATCATAGAAAATAAAAAACTCGTTTAAGTCACGATCCTGACAATATAATTAATCTAAAATATCTCAATAAATAATCTAACAAAAAGTTTAATATAAACAAACTTTATAATTTTAAACAAATCTGATTTAGAACTTTTTTCAACTTTATTAAAATTATTCAATTCAACTTTATTCTTTCAATTCAACTTTATTCTTTCAATTTATCTCATTCAATTAATAATAATAATAATAATAATAATAATAATAATAATAATAATAATAATAATAATAATAATAATAATAATAATAATAATAATAATAATAATAATAATAATAATAATAAATATAAATATAAATAATATAAAATATTTCAATTATTATAATAATATTATAAATATTATTTTTTGAAAAAAAATTTAATTTTCAATTATCAAAAACAAACTGATATTCTGCTTGCACTCTGATATATATTCAATATTTAAATTTATTATAAACTTTTTAAAACTTAAATTTTCATTAGACTATCTCGAAAAGTCAGTGGTCCAAGGGGTGTAGACCCTTGATATTATTTATATATTTATTATTCAATATCATCTATATCAAGATTAAATAAAGATCAAGTAAAAAAACAAAAATCTCTACAATATATTTTATAATTACTATCTTTATTTTAAATTTTAAGAGATTTATTATTTTTTTTTTCTGGATTTCTTAAAAACAAACACCGTCCTTTCATTGCGCCATCCCATCCAATTCCACCACATCATATCCTAGCTATACCCGCCCAGCTTCATTTTACATGTTTGTCTTTTCATTTGTTTCGAGCTCGTGATCTAACAGGCACTAGATTCCTGTCTAGCAAGTGCTGGTTCATGTCTATCAAGACTCATTTTTAGCTATGGTAGCTAAATCGCTGGATAGATATTGAGAGATAAATGATCTCGTGTATAGCACATCATTTATTGGTCTCTCAATATCTGTTTCACACACCCTGCGGGAAAACATCCCACACACCTTTTGATGAAATGGGTGTTGCAACCCAAGTCATCCTCATTCATCATCCCATCATCATCTCTCCAAATCATCAATCCGTCCGATCGCCTTAAAATCCTTTCCTTCCTAACCCCTCGTTACTCATTCATCCATCATAGAAGAAATAACAATCGCTACATTGTCTGCTCAAACCTCAAAGTTTGCAACATAGCAGAACTAAAAGAAATAAATACCGCTGAAAGAATCCTCACTCTCATGAATTTTTTTATGAACATGAACGGAATTGTGTTGTATACATGAACATAAAATTGGTCTGTCAGAATATGATTTTGGTCACCGGGGCAAAATCATCTGTCTCCACCAAATTTGATAATGGTCGTGAAGGGTAGGAAGTGATTGATCGTTCGTAGAATAGAAAAAAAAGCACCCAGTATACCAGACGCCATAAAACTTTTGCAAAGATCACATCGAGTATGCCCAAAATCAAGATTAGACAAGAAGTAGAAGCAATCACACTTGATCCCTAATCGGAGGAAAGATGAAGACGAAGCGAAATCTAGCCACTAAGTGGGTACAACTTTTTTTCTTAATATGTGCATTTATCTCTGCTACCAGAATTAGCATTGTATCGCCTACTGGCTAAAAGATTTAACTTACTCTCCCACGTCGACTGTTAACTTGTTCTTGTTGCATATATGGCAAGTTTTGCATTCCATTAACAGGCAAACCACCATAACCATATGCTCCCATTCCCATTCCCATATTATTGAAACCAGGAGGTCCAAATGAGTTTTGTCCTACCATTGGGCTAGGGCTCATTTGTTGAGATGGTGGCTGAATGGGACTAGCGTTTTGCATTCCGCGATATTGATCCGTCATTTGTGGGGTACCAAATGCACCAAACCCTGATTGCATGGCAGGGTAGAAGCTGTTAATTGGAGGAGTACCTCGTGCCATGTTTTGGTACTGCAACTGTTGCATATTCATTGGTTGCATCATGCCTGTAGATTGTGGGAACATTGAATTCGGAAGTGCGTATTGTTGATAGGGTGTAACATTAGAATCCATGCTGTCAGTTCGTTGCATATTCATACTCATGTCGTATGCATTTTGCTGAATTTGTGGATTTTGTTGCATTTGTGGGTAGTATTGATTAGCACCATATTGTGATTGAGGTGCATGTTGTCCAATGGCCTGACTTTGTTGTGATCCAGGTCGAGGGCGATCAGTCGTTTGCTGTTGACTATGCTCTCTGCTTGGTCCGGCACTACCGTTACGAGTTGACAATCCAACCTCATCCATCAAGCGCTTATAGCCTTGTGCTGGTTGTGCCTTGAGGCGAAGCAGAACATTTCGAACGTTCTCAACCACCTTGCTTCGAATTGACTCATCAAAGAATGGAGTGGTAAGTACCTTAAAAATCAAAGTAGCACCACAAGCTTGATCGGATAAAATAGCCTCGAGAGTTTCGTCATCCTTTGAAAAGAACAATGCTTGAAAGATTTGATCGCGCGCATCAGACTCTAACTTTTGGTTGATGACTTTCAGGACCGTGAGATATGCTACCTTGTGCTTGCAAAGGTGGACGAGGTTTGGTACGAGTTGAGGTGCAAGAACAGATCGACGTTGCGGGAATGTGCAAGTATCCAAAAACCAAGTCAAAAGCAAAGCACCATTAGCATTAGTAGCCAATTGAACACTGTGTAACGCAATGGCGGCCGCCAACATTCGCTGTTGATCCTTGGTCGAATGGTGACTTTCCAAACAAGCTCGCATAGCCCTGGCACCATATCGTCCTTCGGAAATAGGCTTCATTTTGCTAAGCATGGCCTCAAATATGAAATCATTGTAAGGTGAACCAAACTTCAAGCAGCATTGCAAAACATAATTTCCGTATTGGTCAAGGAACAACGGCACAGTATATGGCGCAAGATTCTGAACTATCATAGTCATTTGCTTGGGGGTTTTGCATACGTCGATGATTTTCTGCGCAGCCCAAGTACCATTCTTGTGCACACCAATCTCCGCCATGTGGGGAGCAATGCGCTCAAGCATAAGGTCCCTAGTATCATCCGAGCAATGTTCGAATAACTTCTGGACAACAGTGTTTCCTAAGTAGTCGGATGATAACTCGGCAACTTCCTCAAGCATTTCCATAGCGATAGCTTCAATCTCAGCTGGTGACCAGCTTTGGTTGTCAATGCGTTTTCTAATGTCTCTGAGCTTAGGAGCATCGTGAACTCTGCTGTGACTGGGTTCTGGGATGGCTGGAATCTCAGACTGCCATTTGTCGTATGAGATGGATGATTGCAGGCTTTGACCAATCTTAACCTTGTCTTCTGCGGTGGCTCCAAACTCGGATACAATATTCAAAATGTCGTTCTTGATGTCCCTCAGCCTTGGTGAAGGAGGTTCAGTAGTTTCAGGTCTTGAGATGACTCCAGGAGCACCGTTGGTGTCGGTAGCATTTGCCCCTGAGTCGAGACCCTTGGAGAAAGGATCTGGGCTTGGAGAAGGGAATGCTCCATCAGGACCTGGCGTCGTTGCTGGAGATACAGGCTTAGCAAAGTTAATTCTGACTGGTCCTGCTCCTGGGAAAATTTCCTTTCCATGCATCAATGCCTTTGCTGTTATGGCACTATCAACGTGTTCAAAGTTAACAAACCCACAATTCTTGTGCGTAAGAACTCTTGCGGACTGAACTGGACCATGAATTTTGAACATTTCTGTGAGAGTAGAGGTGGTGGTTGATGATGGAATGCTTCCGAGCCAAAGAGCACTAGTTGGTCCCTCTAAGTTGTCGTTAGGGGAGAGGTGTTCATTTCGACTGTTCGAACGTCCTAGAGTCATCGCGGCGACGGCTTCGGGAAGAGCTGCAAACTCTTCCGCCTCTCTCAGCTCTGAGGCAGTAATGGTATTACCAAGACGAGACGCTGAAGGATAGTAGTCACGAAGTAATCTTGATGGATTTGGTGAATCAAGAACGCCGGCAGTCCTAGCTCTCGGTCTGTTTGCTTGGCTGGCGTAATGTTGGACGGCAAGGTTGTGCTGTTGGATCGCAGCATTGGTGGCAGCCATCTGCATCTGCAATTGAACTTGCTGGGCTGCCTGTGCCTGCTCGTATGGTGTCATGCTACCCGAACCATAGTCATCATCCTCCTCATCTTCGGCATATTTCTCCTTCGCATTGACAGAGTAAGAGCGAAAACGATTTGATTGCCTGTTTATATCGAGGATATTGGCAAACAATGGATTTACCAATTGTGCGCGAGGAGGTTGTGGAGTTTCCGCGAGGCCCAGATAATCAAGAGTTCTGATTTCGTTATCATTGTTTCCTTCCCTTGAGAATGAAGATTGTGCGGGTGAACTAGGGCCATTGGACGACTGGCTAGCAATACTTTGCAGAGTCGAGGTCCGATCACGGCCGCCCGAGGGCAAGCCCCAACTTGAAGTGAAGAGCCCCGAGTGACCAAACGGCGAACTTTTATATTGAGGATTTTGAGGGGTTGAACCAGAACGTAATCGATTCAACAAACCCGTGCTGGTAGACGGATCACCCAAATCATTGAGGTTCGGCGATGGAGATTTGAATGGAGTCGATGACGGTGTGGGTCTCGACGTCTTCGCTGCAAGACTTCCTGGACCTGTATTCAAAGGTCCTCCAGACGAAAACCGAGATGGAAGTGTGCCAGCACGAGCTCGTCGTGCTGGCGTGGTTTCCACCGTTGGCAATTGGGCAAAATCGGGGAAGCCATCCGTGGGAGACTCTAGGATAGTCTCCCGCAGCGGAGTAGAATTGCCACTTGTTGGAGGTCCCCATACATTGCTATTACTGAACCCTCCTTCTTGTGCTTGAATCTCTCGTGCCCTGTAGTTGATGGAATAAGCCATTATATCATACTAAATTTCAATCGAGTTATCATACCTCTTTGTGGGGAATAACCTGTTGGCACTTTGTTGTGTAGCAAGTTCATGCGATGGAGAACCAGCTCCCGACCGCGTATTACTGGCCATTTTGCCTGCGGAGTTTAACGGTAGACCAAATGGTGATCTCAAGGGAGCGCCTCCGATTGAAGCCTCTGTGGGGGATGTATTGGAAGTTGAGGAGCCCGAGCGAGGGAAACCGACGGCTGGCTGGGGTAAATGGCCAAGGTTGAGATGATCAGATCTCTTATTTGACATTATAGATTATCCCGTCTGCCACAATCTCTCGATCTGATACGAGAGATGGCAGATTGGTATGATTCCGAGTCAAGCTCTCTTGTTGAGGTCTGTCCTGATATCAAATTTGACGCTAGTAATCGCGTCAAGATGAGCTAGTTTAAATAACAGTTTTGATGTTGACTCGGCAGATTAAATTGTCGATGAGAAACGTAAAGAATATGACGGTTTAAGTAATCTGAATACTTCGTAAAGACTGTGTTCGCAGGGTTCGGAAGAGTTGTCAAGACGATGGAGATGTATTAAATTGACGAACTCTTCAATGAGCCAAATCAATGACTTTTTTCGCAAGAGAGAAAACTTTTGAAATTGAAAGCGTCGATTGAATTGAAGGAAGGACTATGATCCGATTGGGGTTCGGTCGTCCTGTGAAGCACAAAGTCCCTTGACAGTGAAGGAAGCTTGAGACTGATTGAGCTTGAATTAAAGCTTGGAAGGATTTCGTAAACTGGACTTGAAGTTTGGAGGGAAAAGGGTTTCCTGAAAGGATGGCTCTATCGATAATGGTTGACTGGAGAGTTTCCGTTTCAATATACAAACCTTCATTAATACAAAAGAAGAGATGCTGACATGAGAGACGAAAATATGATTGAGATACAAAAAGAGGGAGGGAATGATGCGTAAGTGAAATTTAAGTTGGGGATGTAAGACTACTATGTATGTATGTATTGTATTGTATGTGGAGGAGGTGAAGGGCAGGATGAAAGAGAGAGAGATATCATGGATTGTTGAGATCTGGTGGATGGACCGAGTGTCTTTTTTCGAGGAAGGGTATTCGCTTATGAAGTTTAGTGCGATGTGCTGAAACTTTGCTTGGATGGGATGGAGAGATGGTGCGAAGATGGATTGAATATGAAAATAATTAAATCATCAAATCCCTGAATGGTGGCCCTGGTTCTGGTAATGCGGATGGTATCTGTTACCCAGCGAAGGGCTTAAGCCAGACCTGGTACGAGAAACAAAAACGGCTAGTAAGAGCTGGGTAAGAAAGGTACCAAAGAGGTACGAAAGAGGTTATGGAGAGATCATCAGAGGTACAAGAATAAACGAAAGTTAGAGGTTAGTATAGCGTCGATTTCGATTAGTTTACATCAACGATGAATGGTAGATAGATGTGTTAATTTTGAGTAAGTAGGCAAGTAGGTGAGTGAGTGAGTGAGTGAGTGAGTGAGTGAGTGAGTGAGGGAGGGAGGGAGTGAGGGAGGGAGGGAGTAAATGATAATCTTATGTCTTACCCAGGTAATTCAATTACATGCAAAAGATATCAACCAGTAGAATAGCAAAATAATTATAATTCCAGAGTTTCTGACTTGGTTGATGTTTGTTACGTGACGAGTCGGCTTATCCTCACGGTTCTTTTATAGTTTGTTATTAGTCCCATTTGTTCCATTTAGACAAAGAGCAAAAAGCATGCAAGTATATAAGTCTTACATACATACTCATCTGCTTCACACAAATTGGCCTTAATCGTGTAAGTAGGATCTATGTTTTAGATGTTTATTTCGGTGCGAATCATCAGGTACAAAGTAAGACTCACCAAGCTTGAGAACGGACACTAAGAATCTATGGTAAAAAGAGCAGAAAGACGCCATCACAGATCATTTCCCCGTAGCCAAATCAATCATGACTTGGGTGTTCACTAGATAGTGTCAAAGTGATGTACTAAATCTTTCTACTCGAGTAATTGGAGTTGAGTTATCATTCCAAAATCAGATTCATCGCACCGTCTACATTTAAAATCATCTTCCAACATCCCAAGGACTCACTTCTGTACATATACTTTGCATCAAACCCTCTGATAACCTACCTACCTACTGCATGAGTTTCTCAAAATAACATCTCACCGCATATCAGGTACATACATATATTTCCGAATATCAAAACACTCACTCGTGCAGCTGGTAACCCGTCATTATTCTATGTGGTAACCGTCATGAATCTACGTAGTAACCGCCACCTGACTACGAAAACCATTATTAGTTATTCGTCTGCATATATAGCCAGCCTTGTTTCCATGCATGTACAGAGCAGATAGTGAGAGGGTGAGTGAGTACCTACCTTCCCCTTAGAGTTTCCTTGCATCCTACGAAAAAACTTCCTTTCTATTAGGTTTATCTCTTTATCCAGTCTGATCAAATCAGCCTCTATAAATAATTGGGGGCCGTATCAGGATTTTAAGGTACGAAATTGATGCAGTGTCACAATTCAATCATCCTGCATTTACACCAATGACTTCCTTCCAATGACTGCACGCACTGTAACCTCCCCTACCTGTATTTTCCCCTTTTTCTCAAAATAACATCTAGAGGATATTTTCCTATCCGTTCTAACGTAACATTTGTTTGATGCTTATTATCTCTTCCGACGGTTCCTGGAAAAGTACCGGTTGGTGACTGCGCTGAACTTTGAAGTATAATGCATTGATCTCTGACTTGTTTTATATGGCTATTGGTCCACGCACGCACTCCAGTCCAAGGAAGAAGTCGAGATTAATTGCTCGGATCTCTCCATGATTCAACTCACATTCTCACATTCTCACATCGGTATTTAGACTAGCTACTCGCAAGCAATTCACCAGTTCACCTAGACTACTTCACAATCTTCCCATTGTCCCGAATATGCCGTACTCTTTCCTACCTTGCCCCTTAAAAATTGGCAGTTGAGTATGTGTGGCAATGGCGTGGGAACACCAGAATTCTTCATACAGTATTTGAAAGTTTTGATCTTCACATACCTTCCCGCGTACGTTCAATTAATTATACATGTCAAAATGGCAATTGTGATTGGCCTTTTCATAATCGTGGCTGGTAAAGTTCATCTTGATGATGCATATTCTCTCTTCTCTGATTGATCTGTTTCTGCTGATTGATTCATTTTGAAACGTTAGCTTACATGCCATAAGTAAGGTTATGCCATGAGCAACTCCAACCGCACTCATCTCTAGAAATGGAAATATTTACAGCCTTGTCATGGCACTTTTTTATACTTGGATGAGACTGATGAGATTGACCGGAACAATTAAACAACTTCATTGCGACAGTCACACTTGATGTGATATGTGTTTATTTCGCTGATCACTTTACCACTATGATATCTGCGATACTTTTGAAAATCATAACGACACTCCTGCATCATTAGCATCATTACTATCGAAATAGAGGATAGATATATAATCATGGGAGAAAAACGTGATGTTTGCGAAATGCCAAGGTTTGAGATCATGGTTTCTTCTAGAAATTTTTGCATGAATGATACGATGATTTTCAGATAAAATATCGAGCACGTTTTGTCAAACTCCTGGCCCATCTAACATTTCCTATTTATAAATAAAACGGCTTGAGGAGAAGTGTCCTCAATATCGTACTGTACACAGCTGCAGGATGGTACGTCTTCAGAGTAACACTCCGAACTGAGTACCGGTCGGTAGATGGCGAGAATGATAACAAGGTTTCATAAGTCGTACGTACTTGGTGTGCCAAACTTTGAAAGGAAAGGTGCATCATGTGACGTCAGGTTGCACTCCGTAGCTTGTGCCCTGCCCTGCCCTGTCCGCGAACGAATGTGCGGCCACCAGGCCCAACCCTATGTGCGCACCATCTTCGGGTGATCTTTTTCATTCCCGCCGCTTTATTGGTTTCCGCGTTTTAGTCATAAACCGGCGTTGAGCATGTGCGACTTACCTAACTCAATCAGGAAGGGCCGGCTTAAGATTATTCCGCTTTGTTGATTTCATAGATGAGATTTATCCGAGAGCTTTCTTCAACAACAATAATTACAATCGCATTTGAGTTAACGTCGCGAGAAGCGTGTCGCGTTTCAAAAGCTCGGCAGTGAATGAAAAGACGATGATAATACTCTTTCCCGTATCTGCGACGGCGTATTCAAAACAAATCAACAAAAATGGCCGACGATATCGATGAGGATACCCCCATGCGAACTGAGGATAATTCATCCGATGACGACAGTGGTAGTGACAGTGAACAGAATGGCGGGGAAGGAGAAGTTGAATGGATGGTTACATCGCGACAAAAACGTTCCACTGCAGGAAATCGATTGAATGCTCTATTACAACAAGAAGAACCAGATGATGAATTAGAACTTTTATTCGCAGAAGATGAAAATGAAGAAGATCATGGATTCGTTGATGTGGAGGCTGATTCTGATGTACAAATGGATTCTTCCGATGATGATGATGAAGGACCTGCAGCTGGCGCCGATGATCTTGAAGGGGAGAAAGAGTTACAACGGAAGGAAAAGGCAGAACGATTGGCAAAGAAACGGAAGATGAATGATGGCATACCAAAGATATTCAAAAAGAGAGTTAAGATTGATCCTACAATTCCTTCGAAACCTGCTCCAAGACCAAAGAAAAAGTCCGAACGCGCTTCATGGATTCCAACTCCAGAAGATGCGCCAACTCGAGCATCGGCTCGTGGTACTACGAAGAAGAGTAAAGAACAATTGCATGCGCAGATGATAGATCGGGAGAAGAAGAGGTTGAAACAGTTGGCGAATATGGAGAAAGCAGCAGCAGCAAAGGAAGCCGCAAGGAAACCAGCCATGACACAAGAAGATAGATTGGCAGAAGCTGCAAGGGTGGAAAAAAGTAATTCGAAGAGTTTAAGTAGATGGGAAGAAGCGGAACAACAAAGGGAAGAAGAACAGAGGTTAAAATTGGCGGCATTGCATAATAGAAAATTAGAAGGTCCTGTTATTACCTGGTGGAGTGGACGCGCGACATGGGTTGGAGGAAAATTAATTGCAATTGGATCAAAGAAACTCAAATCGGATGAACCTAAGGAAAAGTCGAAGAAGAGAAGGGCTGGGGAAATGGAGGATGAAAATGAACCTGGATCACCGGAATCAACTACTTTGAAAGGTAATGCTACTCAAGGATCGGCTATGGCCAATGCGCCAATTAGTGATAGAAAAGATTCGATACCTGGAATCGCCTCCGGAGTCGCTACAAGTGATGGAGATAAAGATGGAATTGCATTGAGGCAAGAATCTACATCGATAAGTTCTGATGGCAATCTGCATCCTCATCCAGAATCGCAACTTAGTAGTATTCTCAAGCCACCACAATTACCAACCATTCCACCACTTAGCAGCGTCCTTCAACCACCCACCAGCATCCTTCAACCACCCACCAGCATTCTTCAACCACCCAATCAAACTTCTGGGGCTGTCCCAAGTATAAGTGGACTTCAACCACCACATCAAACTACCGGTGCCGTTCCTCATATCAATGGACCACTTCAACTTCCACAATCACATAATCACGCCGTTCCAATCATACCCCTTCATGCACCATCCGCCGTTCCTCCATTCTTCCTTCAACCTCCATCACTTGATGGTTCTAAACCTCTTCCTGGTTTTCAACCTCCGAATACGAACTATCCTCGTTTAATGCCTCCTCAAGCAACTCCTTTCTCTTTTGCCACTTCTCAACATTACTCTCCTTATACTTCAGCTCTTCCTCTACCTCCACCTCCACAACCACCTGTCACCGAATATGCGCTTAAGAATTGTCTCATCTTGACAAATTTCAATGAAGAAGAAATTAAAAATAAAGATGTACAAACGAGGATTTTGTTTAATCAAGCATTTCCTAAAGCTCCTAGTAAGTCTATTTCGTCTTCTCTCCTATTCTTCCATTCCCTCTTTTACCCTCACCTTCTCCCCTCATTCATCCATACTAACACCACTAAGCCAAAACCAAAACTCCTTCATCAAAATCCCACACCCTCTGCGCAATAACTCATTACCCCGCCAAATTTCGCGACCCAAAAACAGGTCTCCCATATTTAAATTGCTATGCCTATAAGGAAATTCAAAAATTAAGAAGAGGTGAATATAGATGGAGTAAATTACTAGGTGCATATGTAGGAAATGCAGCAGTAGCAGCAAGAGGTGTACCGGGAAGATTTTTAAAAGGCGGTGAGAAAGATGTATCGGTGATGTCGGGGATGACGACGGGTACGAGCACATCGACGCCGGGAATAGGGACGGGAAAGGATATTCCGATGACGGGGACTTCGATATCGACTTCGACACAGGCGCCTGTGATTGCGAATGGGAAGTAGATGGTTAGTTTAGTAGTCCAGCGAGTAGATAGTAGATAGGTGGTAAATATCTACAGCTACCGCGGATTAACTTGAATTTTTGATTTCCAAGCTTGTATAATAAGATCAGACGGGATAAGATGAGATGAGATAAAATAAAATAAGATAAGATTAAATATATTCATAATAAAATAATTTATTTAATAATTATATTTATATTTGTATATATAAAAAAAATCATTTGAAATTTATTAAAATATTAATTATAATTTAAATAATTTTCTTCAAAAATATTTCTAATTTATTTATTTTTAATTAATTTTTATTAAAAATTATTAAAAAAATTGTTTTTTAAATTTATATATAAATTATCATAAACACTCTTAGAATATAAATTATAAATAATATTAATATATAATTAATAAAACTTAGTAAAAGAAAAATTTAAAATAAAATTATTAAACTATAATCGATTTGAAATTGATTGATTGATGATTTTATAAAAAGATTATGTATTTTTAATTTGAAAAAAAAATAATAATCAAAAGTTTTGATATTATTTTATGTGATTTTTATATAAATTAAAAGTTTAAAATTTAAGTATTTAATTTTCAATTATAAAAAATTATAAAAAAATTATAAAATTAATAGATAAAAATTAAAATTAATGAATTTTTTTTTATATATATATATTATAAACTTCTACTAATCAAAATCTAATAAAAAGTTTAATTAATTAATTTATTAAATAAAATAAAAATCTTATATTTTAACTTTTAAAAATTTCCAAATTAAATTACTTTATTAAATTTCATTTTAATAGATTTATATTTAAAGATCTTTAAACAGAGATATATATATAAATCAAATATTCACAAAACTATTTAATATATTGATTTATTAATCTCTTACTCAATATTAATCATCAATCACCAGGATTACTACTCAATTCAACTACTTGTAGATTAATCCATCTAGAAAAACATCTCTCTCTCTCTCTCTCATCCACTTCTTCATCCCCTACCATCCATCCCCCTAATCGCAACCTATAAAACTCATTCCACTCCACTACAAGTCCATCCCATCCCAACCCAATCCAACCCAAATCCAATGCAACACGACGCAAGGCAAGCAATGCTTTCTTTCCATGCTCAAAATTTCCCTTCCAAACCATCTAAATACATACAACCATTTTGTGAAAATACCATATATATGCACACAAGTCCGTTATTTTTTCATTTCCATACTTCAATTCAAACTTTTGAAGTCAAACCGTAACTCCCCAAAAAACCAACCCGAATAACACCATGCATGCTCAAGGCTTTGAAGAAAACAAAGATCATCACACCTCAATGTAACAATATCTCGATATACACTTGATTTAACATCCCTTAATCAATGGTAAACTTCGCATTATTAACGTTTCCTTTGTTTCTTCGCCGCCTCACTTCTAGTTTGTCTCTCTTCCTCAATCGCTGGTGGTAAAATCGGAGCCGCTTTCTTAGCTGGTTTACGATTTCGTGGTTGATCCGAATGTAAATGACCCAATTCATTAATCGCCGTATTATTACGCCAAGATAAACATCGATGAGCTGTATGATCGACATGAGGTTGTTGTTTTCCACGAGTCGACATTCGCTTATGACTTGAATCAACACTCTTTTCATCGCTAGGGTTAAGATATTCCTTGCGCTTTTCCATATGAGTAACAATCTTGTCTTTGTAAAGTTGAAGTTCTTTTCGAAGTTTCAACTCGTTGTTACCACGGGCATCGAGCCAATTGAGTAAACCATCAACTGAATCAGGATCTTCATAGTATCCCCATTGATGAGCATTGAATACATGAGTATTTCCTTCTTCCATAACCTTCCGTTCCGGTACGGTCATATTGAATTTGTATCGATATTCATCTTGCCATTCAGGTCGCATTTCGATAAAACCTTCACGTTCAAGATCATCTGGTCCTTGAACCCAGATACATCCGTTGGCATATCCAGTATCAGCAGTAGAGCTTGTAGGAAGACCACTGTATGGCATACCATTACGTTCAAACCAATAATAGCGATTCCAAAATCGATCCTTACCAAGTACACGAGTACGAGGACAATCAGCCTCTCGAAGATCATTATCGAGTATGGCAATTTCTTCCTCGCACTCCTTAATCTTATCTTGTAATTTTTGTATGTCTTTAAGAACCTTTGTGAGTGCCTTAGATTGTTTCGGCACTTTAGGTTCAGCCTCTGCTTTTGCTTTTTTCTCCTGTTCAGCTTCACGCTTGCGCTTTCGTTCTGCTGCTCGATCGAGTCCACGACGTAATGATCGGGTTGGAGGAGCTTCTTCATCTGAGTCCAAAATTTCATCACCATGAGAATCTTGAACCTCTTCCTCGACGTCGTGCATAGTCACATCTCCATTAACACTAGCTGAAGCTTCTTTTTCCGCAGCCTTCTCTACAGCTGGTGCAGGACTTGGCTCAGGCGGTGGTTCAAGTGCTTTTCGCGTTTCGTTGAGTTTCTTAAGAGCATCATGTCTAATTCGGTTAGCAATTTATCAAGAAGTAGATATTGAGAGCACTTACGCATCCTTCTTAGTGCGCTGGAACTGAATCTTTTCCTTTCGAAGCATCGTCATATGTTCACTACTTTCTTCCATGTACCCACGAATTGCTTTGGTTTCGGCAGTAAGCATGCAGATGATTTGGAGTGCTTTGATACGAAGGTTGACGTCAAGTTTGGCATATTGAAGACGAGCAGTCTCTTGTGTTGGCTCCATGTCGAGAGGGGCGAGTTGAACGAGGAGTGCTTCACAATCGGCAAAATGCCTCTCATCTTTCGAAAGTTGATGCAACAGGCCAACCATGATAGCTTCCCAACCGCCATTTTTGAAGTCACGCTTTCTTGATTTCTCGATCCATTCGATGCTATCTTCCATCTCGGCTGCGCGATGAGTATTTAAAGGTCCAGCTGGTTCTTCCGGAGGTTGCTCGGCTGCCTTCTGTAAAGCTTCCGCCTCAGCTTTTGCCAGACTACTTCTAGTGGCGCGTCCCTTGGGTTTTGGCTCTGGTTCTGGTGTGGGTGTCGGCACAGCGCTAGCCTCTATAGAATCTTCTTCTTCATCATCTGAATCTTCCATTTCAGGTAGTTGAACCTGTAGCTTTCCATCATCGGCTTCGGCATTTACCAAGATCTTTAGAACCGCGCAATGAATTTCTACGAATAACTCGCAATCTACATCTTCTGATGTAAATTGTAATGCTTCAACGAAATCATCAAAAGTGAATGAATCCAATTTGAAGATTTGACAATAGACATTTAATGTGTCCCACGTTTCCAGTAATTGACCAATGGATGACATATGAATGCCATTACCCTCGGCGCTTGGCCTTCCAAAGATCATAGGATTGTCTTGCGAAAAGTACTTGAGGTCGGGTCGTTTCGGTCCATCAACTCTAGGGGCCACTTCCAAATCCTCAATTGGGTATTTGATAGGCGGTGGTGGAGGAGGAGCCGGAGGAAGGGATGCAAGAGGCGCAAACGCGAAGGTAGAGTTGTGGAAGTTTTGGAAGTGAGGTCCCACTTGTTGTGGTGGCCCATTGGCTTGAAAGGTGTGAGACATGAAGGGAGGAGCATGGGGATGAGAATTGAATGGAATTTGAGGAGGGGGTTGAAAGTGGGGATGGGGAGGAGGAGGAGGGAAATGTGTAGGAATAAAATTCAAAGGAGCAGGGTCTAAAGATGGCTGCTGCTTACTCTTTGCCAGTTGGGACTGTTGCTGCTTGCTCTTATGGCTCTTGGGTGCTGGCTTCAACTCCGGGAGTCTAGCTTGTGGTCCATTTCCTCCGTGAAAGCTACCAACCATACCATCGAAATCAGTCGTTCCAATCTTTTTTTGAGATTGGTTTTGTTTTCTTTCCGCCGCTTTACTCTCATATCGAAGATGCGGAGGAACTCTAATATCGATGTTATAAATGGCCGCCACATCATGCTTCACCAACCATGGCGCACCGGTCCATGCCTCTCTCGTAACAGTTTTCTTAATAAAAGACCGCAGAACTTGTTTTGTGAAAATCTTGCGGTCACGAGTAATATGAGCGTCGTCCACTACTGCCTCTTCGTTTGGTCGACCGTCCAGGCTAACAAAATATCGCGAGAAGGGTGCGCTCAGTGTGCCATCCGGCAAAACTTTGCTTCCAAAATGCGTTTTTTCTCTTACGGTACCAGTAAGTCGATCGCCTGTAACCACATGAACTGTGACGACCTCTCCGGGATAATAATCGGATCTAAACTCTTCGAAAATCGTGTCCACCAAGGTATCGATTCGAGAAATGGTTTGGAATTGTACACGTCTTAGGATTGGCTGCTTCAATGCATTCGGAAATGCCTCTTCGACCTCTTGCGCACCTGCCAACTACATAGTAGGTTAGCCCTCCCCCTCATTAGCCCGATGCGATTTAAAGAATTCCGTACCTCACTCTTAAGTGCCTCGAAGAATGATAGACCAGAATGGCCTGAGATTTGGCAAATAAATCGACGCTAGAGTTAGTTAGTAAACATCACGAGCTAGCTGTTGTTGGGAAAGTCTCGAACCTGTTTGTAGAAATCCATTCTTTTCCCGTTAGCGTGTTCCACTAGGGGTCGACAGTGAGGGGCAAAATAGTCAAACTCACCGATTTAAGTAATCTTCATAGTCTAAGAAATACTCCCCGGTAGCAGGAATCACCCAGACCTATGACCTTTATTAGCCATTGACGTAGTAACAAAATTTCAGACAAATGAAGTCCATACCTCTGTGTCTTCATTCTCAATTTCCGGCTTTGGTGCATATTGTACTGGCTTCCTCTTAAAGAGAACCTAAAGAGTTTAGTTATATTTATAAGTTTCGGGAAGACGGAAGGGAACAGCTTACCATTGTGGGGGTTAGTTATAGTCAAATAGCCTTGACCATGTAGAAGATCCTAAGGAGAAAGAATGTTAGTTTTTGATATACCCCTCCATAGGGCAAGTAAGATGCTTTGCGCCAAACCACTGTGACGGTTGAAAAGTTTAAAAAGTTGGTGGTGAATTGATCTGACAGTGACGTGGAGTTGGAGTGTTGTAGAAAGACTAGCTGTAATTGCCCTTTCACAGCTGGGGTGGTATTTGTGGAAGTATATCAATCTCTAAACTTACAGATATAGCTCTAGACGCGTCCGGGGGCTCGGTACGTGATGAAGAAATCCTACAAGCTCGTAGAATGGATGTGGTGAGTTGATGGTTGATGAAATTTGTTGATAGTTACGCGTTGTAAGAGTTAACAAGAGGAGGAAGAAGAAGTGGATTTGGAAAAGAAGAACGAACATGAGAAAAGGTCGGGAGGATGTGTTAGCGTGTGACAAGGATGCGGGCTAGTGAGAACGGAGATCGATTCGAGAACTTGCGACCCATAGCCGTACACATTTCTATCAAGAGATATAGAATTTAGAAATCTCATGAACTAAACAACTTTCTTATGCTCAATATGTAGCCAGAGATGAGCTCTACGATATGAATGTATGTTTATACAATTATCTTTGGATTTGACCAAATAACCCTGAGTATAGGATTTCTAGAAAATATCTTTAACTAATAGCCGCTTCTCATGAAATGCTCCTCGAATTCAGGCCTACTTGCCAAGGACTCGGGAAGTGCTTGAATGTCCTCGGATGTAGTTATTCTTCTTTATTACTGATTTTCTAAGAGCCTTTGAAGGTAATTTCAACTTGTTCAAGCTGTATTGGGGTATTGTGTGGTGAATAGTAGTTTGTTGACATTAGATAGAGGGTTTTCTCCAGATTCAGGGGTGATGAAGGGGAACGTTGGATATACTTTGAAATCATGAATGAATCTTTGAAATAGTTATTCCTAATAATGTTATCGTTGCTGACATTACTATTAATCAATCATGACTTGACCATTCTCCCTCTGAGTCTCACAACACAAGACTTTTGCAGAGGAAAATCCGGGCGGATGCCATCGTTGGCATTTGACAAAAGAGGTTTAGCGTTCCCGCTAAGCCAGCCGATTCTTTTAAACAACCCAACCTCAACTCCCGAGCTTTGTCCTGTCAAGACCCTACCAAAGCCCTGAAGATCCAAGGTTTGATTAATTCTCACATTATCATGAAAGACTGGATGAAATAATTGAACTTCACGATAAATTTACATGAAACCTCCAATATCTCTTCCTTCATATATAAATAGGGGGGTCGATACCCCTGCAAATTACATTTCATGACGTTGATATTGATGTGATGCCACGCTCTCCCTGAAGGAACTGCTCTGATCTCCCCACTTTCTCCTCCATTGAGTGAGATGCACATCATCATTATAACAACTTTCACTTCATCCAGCGAATACGGCAAAATGCAGTAGTCGATTTCTCCAAGTAGGCCTATTCAAATCGTTTGCATTCGCTTTCTTCTTGACCACGTCCTTAGTTTCCAAGATATTTTCCAGTACGATTACCATTCCAAATCCCATCATGTTCATATTTCGAACCCCACTTCTACTCAGACCGCCATAACTCTCCGGTATTCAATACCAGTATTCTAATCGCCACCTTAATAGCTCGTAGTAGTAATCAACCATATACTTGCCCCCCCTTAAAGTTGGGGTCGATTAGTTTGGTGAATGGCCCCATGCCCTTTCCCCCACCACCCTGAGATCCTCAGATGTCGACCCAAGATAATGTATGGATCAACAATTTGCTTTTCCTAGTCATCTTCAGATTAGACTCTCTACAAGCATAGCAAGAATTGTCGTACAGAGCAAATATTGCCCTTTGAACTCGCTTATGCGTTTGTGGGAAATACTGTTCGATATTGACCATCTAAAAGCATGCTCGCACATAACAATCAATGCTGCACTCAATGAAGTCTTATTTTGACTACAGGACTCCTAAGAAACAAAATGGGTATCATTGGCTACTCTTAACTTTCAAAATATACTATCAAAAATCCTATCCAGCTTCCCACAACTCCAATTGCCGAGTATGAACTTGTGAACATTAACGGCAAAAACTCTAACCTATTCCCGAAGATAACTTGATGTACCAGTGAGCAATACATTATTAGAGGAATGCTGACTGTAATGTAGAGTGTGCTAAATCTATCAAGTAAGAATATTCTTGACTTTGACGCTGGTGCCAAACGATCAAAGGCAAGGAGAAACAGAACAAGCCAGAAAATGGTATACACAATTTTGATAGGAAACTCCGCTGCTGTGAAAAGTAAAGGGAATAAAGAAACATGACCAGCCACAGCCAATGGTCGAAATGCCCCAAGGAATCGACGATCCTTCAAGGCAATCAGGCTAAATGGTATGATGACCAGAAGAATTGCTTTTTCGTGGACATGCCAGCTGAAAAGAAATGAGGAATAAGCACAAAGTGTTACACCTCCGATGAAGTTGTCCCATGTAGGACTCTTGTAGAGCTTAAACAATGGAATAAAATCGAAGATGGCGGTCAAAGCGAAAGTCATGCCTTTGGTGATTTCGGGTAACACGGCAAAGGAAGTATTTCCAACAAGACCACGAGTCACACTATTGACAGCCGTTTGGTCAACCGCGAGGCCGAGTTTGGGGGCGACTGTACATTTGTTAATTACCAAGTTAAGATTACAGAACCTTAAATACCAGCTGCCAGAGACTCTGTTTGGGTGAAGAAGACTTACCGGAAATCAAAACGCGATCAGTAAAGGAATACATAGCCCAAATATTTGGAGCCCAATAAGCATGACAAAGACCTCTTCCAAAGGGAAAAAGTCTACTTATAATCTGGGGCATTTGACCAAAATAAACGAAAGGTCCAAATGCAGCTCCAAATACTACTACAATACTAACTCCCAGCTTGATAGCATTCCAAAACTTTATATCAAAAGGACGCTTAGGTCCAAACTTGGACCCAAGACAGTACCCTGATAATAAAAAGACGAAATATGCTGGCGCAAGATAGAGGTATATATGTTTGAGGCAAAGCAATATTGCGAATAGTATACCACTTGCTAGCTTGGTTCCCTCATTTCTAGCCATAACTAAGGATAATATGAGGAGACCGTACATGAAACCATTATACTGGAAGTGTATATGATCGATAATAAGTAAACCAGGTGAAAGGAGGATCGAAAGAGCCGCTGCTTGCGAAGGACGCTTTAAATTGGTGGGGGCAGTTTTCACAAAGCTTGATAATGTTAGTACCATAATAAGCAAAGATTCAAAAGCACTTACAGATGAAGCGCATATACCAAAACTAGTTCGGTAGCAATAACACTTGCGCGTTGAAAGTAGATGGTTTGCCAACTCCTGTATTCCAAATTTTTGACCATCAACATCGATGGGTCAATCCATTCTGCGAACTTTGATAAAAATAATTCGAGATATGCGAAGAAGGGTGGATAATCGAGAGTCCATTCTGAAGTCTTTTCGATATACCATTCATTTAATGGTAAACTATTGGTGATCGCGAGCCAATTTCTATGAACCTCAAAGTCTGTGGATTTGCTAGAATATTAATCAGGATGAGAGTTCCATTGGACGTGGGAGGGGTATCGGCGGTTTTGTGAGGGGAAGCATAGAGAGAGAATACTGACTATGCGGGAAACAATAATATCTTGAAAGCTGTAGCTACAACTGCACATTGTGCAATTGAAGGATATACTTCTGCCATCTAGACATACCCAAGTTGAAGGTTTAGGTGCGTCGAAAATGTTTTGGCATGAATTGATTCTCAATTTGAATAAATGAAAATAGAATTGTGGTCTCAACATGAACAATTGTAAGAAGTAGCTCGGTAGTAAGGTACTCGTAGGTAAGCTTAGAAGTCCCACCAGACACACACCACATCACATCACGGAATTTATAAACACCGATAGTTCTTGCCCTGCAGCAAATCAATCACCTCACTCACTCACAGACTCACAGACTCACAGACTCACAGACTCACAGGGCCAAAGCTCTTCGCTCTTCCCCTGCTTAACATTTTGACACAAAACCCACCAAAGCAGCCCACCAACAAGGATAATAGAAACATCGGAAACATCACGAACATTACTCAAATAAGAAATACCGAAGCCAGCAGGGAGAAAAGAAATCGAATCGCATCGAAAAAAAACCCATCAAACCCCATCAAAACCCATAGAAAAGCTTCCATCCGTGAAAACCTTCTCTGCCGCTCACTCCCTCACTCCCTCAATCCCTCACTCCCCGCCGCAGCATGGATCCAGCATTTGTACCAACAGAAATAGCTATACGACATCTCATCAATCATAGATTCGTCATAGAAATTGGCCCTTCAATTCAATCATTGGGCAAACCCATCCGAAATCTTGTTATGACACTCGTGGGAATCTATTGTGTAAGCAATATACTTCAAAGCACATTGCAATCTGTCTTCAAACAGAACCGAAAGCGAAAAGAAGATTAGGTTTTGGTAGTGGGTGTGTGCTAGGTGGTATCACATAACATAGTGCTATGTATCACGGTATCTCACGGTATCACGCACCGCACCGAAGCTGTCTGTACCGTAAGAAAGTGGCCTGGGGTATTCAAATAGATCGATCAAAGCTGCCAAGTGTCTACAACATAAATTCAATTCCTTTCTCACAGCAGGATTAAACTTTTCACTCATACTTACTTACTGTCTGTCCTCTTCATGATTAATTAGTTCCTCCTCCTGGAATTGAGGGAAAGGGAATTTTAAAGGGACGCTGGCAGTTCTTATTCTTATTTTTGCTTCGTTACAAAAGAATAAGGATTGGGTTGGTTAGAAAAGGTTTCGAGGTTAAGCACAATGCATTTCTTTAAAGCATCCCTTACATCGGCCGCTGCATTCTTTGCATACACCCAAGCTACATATCTTAACAACGATTTGAGCTTTGGTCACGATGGAAAGTAAGTTACCTCCAATCCTCAATTGTCTCGATCAAAGATATTAAAAATGATAGGATTTCACCTAATGGTCGCGCCATTCCCAATTTTCATTTGATAGGACAGCCAAACTATCCAGATATCCTCAGTAATCGAATCGTTCTTACACCACCTGCATTGGGAAATCAAAGAGGAGCTGTATGGACGGAAAAGAAATTACAACATTCACAATGGGCTGCAGATATTGAGTTCCGTGCTACTGGTCCGGAGAGAGGAGGTGGTAATCTGAATATCTGGTATGCTAAGAATGAGGATATCAAGGTATCAAGCATATATACGGTTGGAAAGTTTGATGGATTAGCTTTAGTTGTTGATCAATATGCTGGATCTGTATGTCTCTTTCTTTGCGACTAAACCTGCGCAAAGTGCTAACGGATATTAGGCTGGTTTTATTCGTGGATTCCTTAACGATGGCACAACTGAATATTCTTCTCACCATTCAGTCGACTCTCTCGCATTTGGTCACTGCCCCTATTCCTACCGAAATCGAGGCACTCCATCCAAAATTCATATTCGTCAAACTGCCAATAATTTCAAAGTCGAAGTTGATGGTGCCCTATGTTTTCAATCTGATAAGATCAAGCTGCCATTAGGGTATATCTTTGGAGTAACTGCCGCCTCTGCAGAAAATCCAGATTCTTTTGAAATCTTTAAATTTGTCGTCACCACCGATTCCCATACTCCTGATGATCAAGTTCAAAATCCTGCGAACCAAAACCAACAACAATTCCAAGCTGCCAATAATCCTCCTCAACAGCAAAACCAACAAAACCAACAAAACCAACAGCAAAATCAAGCAGGAGCGACCCTAGATATTCCTGGTGAAACATCTGCTTCCGACTACAAATCCTCGGATGCTCAATTCGCAGATCTTCACAACCGTCTTCAAGCAATGATGAAACACATTACAGCTTTAAATCGCGACTTCTCTCAATATCAAGTCAACTCGATTGCTCGTCTCGAATCTCTCAATGGAAATATTGCTTCCCTCACAAACACCATCTCCCGTCTAGAATCCTCATTATCAAAATTAGATTCCGTTTCAGCCTTGGAAAGAAATTTGAGAGATGTAGCGAATGATGTTAAGAGTACCAAAAAGGAATTACACGAGGCCTTAGATAGACATGTATTAAGTTTGAAGCAAAGAGTTGCAGAAACTCATGGAAGTGTATTAGGTACGGTAGGAGAGGGATTTAAAGCTCATCAGTCGGGTATTGGATATGCTGGATTAGCATTCATAGTTGTGGGAAGTCAGATCGGTATGATTGTTGCATATGTGTTGTATAAGAAGAGAAAGAATGGTGGTCATAAGAAATATTTGTGAGGGGTGGCCGAGAGGAATAGATGAATGAATTGAGGCGTGTTTGTATATTATAGTATAGATTATCAATGAAGATATATTACTTATTAACTATTAACTTTTAATAATAGGACTACGATATTGAAGTTATTCATAATAGATACACTGTATAAAATAAGGCCTCTAAAGCAGCTATAAACTCGATAGAATTGATAACTACTAGATAGGTATATAAGATTGTTGTTTGGATTAATTGGATTAGATGTATGCTCTACTTGTGTATTATAAGGGTTTGTGGTAATCAAGAAAGAGAGATGGATGAATGAAGGGTTGGAAGGATTTTATTCATGAACAATTATAAGCCGGCTTGTATTACAAGAATACTTTATCTCATTCTCAGATCTTTATAAAGTATAATAGATTTATAACATTTTGTTATAAATCTGTTATTTTGTAAGAAAATTATTAATAATTTTATATTAAAATAGTTTATATTTTTATTAGAATGAGATAATAAAATAAATTCTATAAAAGTTTGAAAATTTTTAATTATATTTTTAATAATAAATAATTAAAATTATTTAATAAAAGTGTTTTATTGATATATTTTATTATTTCAATTTTAATTTATTAAAAAAACTAATTATATTATTTAAAAGTTTTAATTTTGTAATATTTATTAAATTTTTTTAAATTTTTTATATTATATAATTGATTTAAATATTATGATTTTCAAATATAGAATACTAGGGGCCTACATATGTCACAAATCACTTATATTAGAATTATAATGATATTATAAGAGTCGGTGATTTAATTGTCGACTACAAGAGAGTTCTTTATTATTACAATTAGAAACTTAAGAACTCTAGATAATTATTCTAGACAATTATAATATAATAAGACAAGTATCCTAACTTTACAAAATAGATTAGGATAATAATTATTCTAGGATATTTATCTTAGAACAATTACTTTAGAATATCAACTATCTTAGAAAAGGGATTATCCTGAAACAATTCCAATAGGATGGAATTGTTAGGATTAGTTTACCAAAATAAAAGATCACATGATGAAGTCTTTAGAAGTATAAACTTTTTAGGCTTTTGAAGTCTTCAAAAACATAGACTTTTCAAAGCTTTTGAAAAAGATTAGTATATAATCAGAATAGTTTTATAGTTTAAAAGTTTTATACTCAATTTAATTATGAAATAGTTTATCTATATTCTATTTGATCTAATAACGAATTCATTTTCAAATGAATAATTAATGATTAATAATCTTAACTCACAACTACCAATCATATAAATCTCAGACAGCCAATACCTCGATTAGATCATTACAACACCCCCCGGACCCCTGGCTTTTCAAGAAAGTTTAATGAAAATTCAAAGTTTAAAAATTTATAAAAATTTAAATACTAAATATATATTAGAGTACAAGTAGAATTTCAATTTGTTTTTGATAATTGAAAATTAAATTTTTTTATTTAAAAATAATAATTATAATATTAATTAGTATTATTATTATTATTATTATTATTATTAATTGAATAAGTTAAATTATATTAAATGATTTCAATAGAATTAAATTATTTCAATTAAATAATTTCCCCACAGAAGATTAATCGATAATAAATAATAATAATTATATTTAAACTCAATAAAATAAAGTCAAATATAATCATAAATTAAAATTAAAATAATAAAATAAAGATTTTTATTATTTTTTCTATTTTATTTTTCAAAAGATTCTCTAAAGAAAACCTTTATATTTATAATATTTAATGAGATTCTAATATATTTTATAATTAATAATAAAATCAATTTAAATCAAATTTTATAAAATCATTTTATATAATAATAAAAAATAAGAACTAATAATATTCAATCTAATAAACAAGAAATTTTATTATCAGCTTGTCGACTTTATAACCTTATGTCACAATTTACGATTAAGATAAGGATATATTAAGAGACAGCAATCAACGTGTCCATATAAGCTTAGGCCTTATCGAAAAGCAAGGCGATTCGTATACAAATTTGTATAATAATCGCTTTATATAATCTCCCCATCTTTAACAAGCTCGGATATATAATCTGATTCTAATCATATGATAAAAAACCCTAAGAACTTCGAAAGCTCTTAAAGCTTCAAAAGCTTTTTGAAGCTCTAAAACTCTATAAAGCTCCTTTATATTGTAAAAGTAATAGGTCGAGATACATGCGTCCCGATAGCACACTGTGAGGAGGGAATTGGAAGAGAAAGCTGAATTAGATTACATTGTAATATGTTACTTATGAGTAAAACGGGATTCACAATAGTTTTGGGGTTGATACTATATGAGTTCAAATATATATATGTAGAAGGTTAATTATTATGAAAAGAAGAAACAAAAGACTCTTCTTTTATATCTAACTACAGAAGGTCATATGATTGACTAGTTAAAACCTTTATATATTTGACCTATAATTCCAACTTTCTTATAATATTTATTAGTATATAATCAAAATAGTTTTATAATTTAAAAGTTTTATATTCAATTTAATTATTAATTAATTTATTTATATTCTAATTAATTTAGTAATATATTCATCTTTGAATAGATAACCAATAATTATTAACTTTAATTTACAATTATCAATTATACAAAAACCTAAGGTAGTCGTTACTTCAATCAAATCGTTACATTTTGAATATTGTTATAATTAAGTTATATACAATACAATAACTTTCAATTAATAATCCACCGAATCATCTCCATTTAACTCAATCGAGGCCCTTATTCAGATCATTGTTATTATAGAACACAGATAAACGATTCAGATATCTATTCTTAATCTATTTTATAAAAATCATAATAAACATCGAACTTTTATTATACAAATTAATCTTTATTATACCTTTAATAAACAATTTTTCTTGATTCCTATATAAAGAATCTTATAATTGATCTCCTTTTTTTATAGAACTATATTCAATTAAATTGAATCATTTTTCAATAACCTAATAATTAAGACTATTAATAATCAATTAAACAAGAATATAAAATCTGAGATTCATCATCTTTTTCTCAATTATAAATCGTTCAAATAAGGATTTGATAAAATATTCGAAAAAGTAAACCCTAATTATATAATTGAAAAAGCATTACAACAATTCAAATAGATTAAATCAATTATAATTTACATTATCAAGTTTCAATAATACATCAAGTATATTATATAGAATGATAATTATCTAAAATCATAGTTTTATAAAGAATTGAAAGATATTATTAAAAACAAATTAACAAAAGCTCCAAAACCATTTAACCTTTCCGAATTAATCGAAACCTTCATTTTCATTGATAATTGATTCTACAAATAATGAATAGAAAAAAAAGGAATTACTCAGGAAAACAAAAAGTTCCAAAAACCTCATCATCAGAATAGATATCATAATATCAACAATCCAATAAAATTGAATAATATTGAACAATATTATATAAAATCAAATAATCTAAATACTAACAAAAAGAAAAAACACAAAAAGAATAACTTATATTATATCTACAAAAAAAACAGATATATATTCTAAGATTGTTTTCAAAAAAAGAAATTATTTATTACAAAAAACAGAAAACAAATAAAATTTGAAAATAAAAGATAAGATTCTTGAAAAACAAGGATTTTGAAAAGAAATTCAAAAGAAATAAGATTATTGGAAAAAGATTTATTTCAATCTAATCCTAAACAATTAAAGAAATTGGATATCAACAATTAAAACTTTAAAATTAATATTAAAAATAATATCGATTACAAAAAAGAACTTTCAAAAAACCTCAAATTAAAAAACAAGGAACTAATTGAGGAACTCGAAAAGGATCAACAAACAATTGAATTCTATTATTTATCTTAAGAAAATAAATTATAATATTTAATCAATTATTTAAATAAGAAACAAATATAATATTATTATAAAGAAAAGAAATCTAATTTCATTGAGAAATATAAAACTTATAATTATCTCATTTTATTAATATTCTATATAATAATATATAATAATATTTATCATATAATATTTAAAGAAAATATTGAAACAAATAATATCAGAAGATATATTGTGGATATAAATTCTTTATTCTTTAATGAAGTATAGAAATATAACAAATATAATCTAGAAATTGAAGAAGTATAGAAGATTTTATTATAAATTAGAACTTATTGTATTTGGTGAAGAATCGATAGAGATAATGGAGGAGCATCAAATCAGGATTATTATCGAGATTTCTAAACAAGATTAATAAGATTATTATTTATTATATTCTATCGATTATTGAGTATAAATAAATATTAGTATAAATAATTGAATCTCTTTATTAGAGAACAAATCATTGAATTATTATTGTTAAAACTTAATAGTATTATAAGAATTGCATAGCTGATTATAATAATCAAATTAAGGAATCAATAGATCAATATTTTGATTGATTTTGAAGTTATAAGTATATTTATAGATTCCAATTTCGTTAAAAAAAATAGAATTCTTATAGAATTAAAATAGGATTTTTATTAGTTGATATTGTTAGAAGGAAAGAAAGTTAAGATTGATAATTGAATATATAAAGAAATTAATATTATCAAAATGATTATATCAAATAAATATATCAAATAAATCAAAATGGATTTAATGTTATTAGACAGATATATAATTATCCTTAATATTTTATAAATTAAAAGATACAATCCAAATATCGATTAAATAAAAGATATCTTAATATTCGATTATTATAATTATAATAATGAATGATTATATAATCCGAAAGAATAGATTTCTAAGAAGACTGGATATTATATTATAATAATAATAGATCCTTTATTGATTGATAAAATCGATAAAAAAGAAATTTCAGTATAATATAGAAGATTCGTTAAGTTTTTTGAGGATCTTTAAGATTTGAGGGCTTTATTAGAATATAAGCTTTAAAATTATAAGATCAATTTCAAAGAGGGATTTGTATCCTTTATTGAAAAGTTAAAATTATATAACTTTAGTATTATATAGATATGGGAAGAATATAAGATTAAAATTAAAAAGAAAGGATAGATTAGGAAATCCAAATCTTTTTATA